TACTGTAATATTAAGATTATATAACTGTTCGTAATGGAACGTTATATTGCTAAACATGACATTATACAGAAGAACATCAATTTTAAAATAAGAAAATAAGATCCTTATATATAATTCTGTAAGACAACATTTTTACCAGGAAATTGTGGACGTCCAGAAAATATGAGTAGGCTAATTAATGTAATTTTCATGTTCTATTTTAACCTTTTGATTAATAGACAACCATGATCAATAGTAAACACTCCATTGTAAATAGGTACCGGTACAACAATACAAATTAAGGTGTATGATAAACATTTAAAACACGTTGGTCCACTGAACACTCTGTATATTAGAAGGTCGCCAAATGTGATAAAAACTGTTAATTTATAAGATTCCCAACCGTATGATACACTATTGAGCTTTAAGTTTGTTTATGTACGCTTTAGTGGTTTGAATACAACAAAACATGGCGTCTTTAACGTTAAAAACATAGAAAGTCAACATGTTTAAAGCAAAAATTGTATTAATATTATTATTGTATACGACGGCGGATATTTGAACGCCTTCAATGTGAGGGACGCAATAGTTTATACTTTGGACCAAACGAACTCGTATTAATGTGTTGGACCAAACGATTTTGGACCAAACGAACTGTTTTACAACTGTTGGACCAAACGATTTTGGACCAAACGAACGTGTTTTTAACTGTTGGACCAAAGGATTTTGGACCAAACGAACGAGTTTTTAACTGTTGGACCAAACGATTTTGGACCAAACGAACGGCAATATAAACTGTGGACCAAACGACTTTGGACCAAATGAAATTGGATAAAACGATTTTGGACCAAACGAACGGCAATATAAACTGTGGACCAAACGACTTTGGACCATTTGAAGATGATCCCTATTTTCATCAGACTTCCAAATCTGCGGGGGTAAAATTCCGGCCGCGAACAAACTTTTGGCTTTGCCTAGGGGGTAAAATTCCTGGTGGATAAAATTCCGGCGACCCGTAAGGGTGCCATCGTGACAAATTAATATATTTTAATGATTTATCAGTAGGCCTATGAGGTTCACACAAATAAATTTTGCAAACCACTATGTCCAGTTATCAGGGCCGGATTTCCCAATAGGCCCGGTAGGCCCGGGCCTATGGGCGCAAGGTCCCAGAGGGCGCACAACCGAGAGGATTTTTTTATATCTAAAAATGAAAATAAATAGTCTTAGTTGATAAAAAAAACGGCCTGTTTAAGCGTTGTGATTCTGAGGTTCGTAAGAGGAAATAATTGTTAGGAAACTTAAACTATTTTTCAGAACTACGCATCAATTTCGTTACAAAATTGGTAGCGAACACCGGTTATACGGGAGTAGGCTGTAGGGATGTTGCCGTTGACAAGCTCCCTAGCGGTACGCATCGTATTGCCACTGCATTGCCACTATGCTGGCTCGGGCTCGGTACTATCTGATCAGAGTGATTAGGGGCGCATGCGTGGTAGACATTGTTACCACCCTCACTTCACAAAACAAAAGTTATTAACAAATAATATATATTTTTATTTGTTAATAACTTTTGTTTAACGTTCAATACGTTGTGTTGAATATCAAAACAACGATGAATTTACCTTTAAAATTTAAGAAAAAAAAATAATTTCAGTTAGCATTATATTTTAGAAAAATTCAATACCCTCCAAAGCACCATTAATGCTGTAATTTTCTCCTCAGACCTAAGGATCGGTATGGTTGGCCGGAATATTGCTCTGTTTTGCTTTGGAAATATAACCTAGATCATTGAATAGTCAAAGCCTAGATGCAGTACAACCATAGATTAAATATAACTCACTCAAGTCGACTTCTTATGACATTGTTAATTCAAAATTTGTCAATGTCTAGTTTATGACTAGGTTTTTCCTTTAATGTTTTCTACAAACATTTCCTGACTTATAGCCATATAAGATTGTCCATGTTTATCTTCGTTATTGATAAACCTAATCCGGCCGGTTTTCTCTTTCTCAAAATGCCTCGCTGTACAGGCAACACAGGTCATTAAAGGACCAATTGAGAACGAAAAGTCGTTTTGGGGTAGTGTTAGGACGCATTTGTAACCTAATAGTTGAGGTTGGCCAGGGTCAGGTGCTGACTGTGATGAGTTAAGCCTTATCACCTTTGACCACAGAAAACATACTAGTTTGACTATCATTTATGCGCCACTGTTCTGTAGCTGCGGTCGTTATCACGATTACGCCTCCTGTCTATGTTTCGTTTTCGTCGCGTCGGAGGCATTTAAAAGAAAAAAAAAACAGAAAATAAACAAATTATAGCTACACAAAACAACGATAAATCCACAAATTTAAGTTACAATCATGCTAACACGATCCGTCATAGTACACAAAACAAAACAACGATAAATACAAAAATTTAAGATACAACCGTACTAACACGATCCGTCTTGAAGGTTATGTTTACATAAACTCAAATAGTAAATAAATGTACTCAATGCGTTTCATTGAATAGAAAAATAAATAACAGCAATTAAATTATACAGCCGATCAAAATGTAAACAATTATGTTCTTCATAAGGATAACATGGAAACTTTCAAATCCACTGGGGCAGAGCCCAAGGGACTTTTTCAAATATGTAAGACCAGTTTGCAAATCTACGCGACACGCTCTTTCCAATGAGACGTAAATGGATAAAATCGGTTAAGAAATGGTGGAGGAGTACAACCGACTAAGTTTCATGTAGCGTATTAAAGTTTTGAAGGAAAGTAACTGTGACCAGACTAGGGGGCGGAAAATTGTTTTGGGCCTAGGGGCGCAAAAATGCTAAATCCGGCCCTGCCAGTTATGTGATACAGTATCGGTGTATTAAATTGACAGAGACTCACGACGCATGTACAGTGTACAGTCGTCACCACGGCAACCGTCGTACAACAATCACTCTGCATACTCAGGACTGTCTCTTGGTACCGTAGCTTAACGTTGTAAAGTCAAACCTTGTCTTATAACTGCAGACCAAGACTTGGGCCGCCTACATAACACCTAAACAGGTAAGATTGTTAAAAACGTTGAACTTGGGTTTGTGATATGCGTTAGATCATTAAACTCCCGTGTCTTTATAACGTTTGCGATTTGAAATCTCCCCATTTGACGAACTAAGGATTCAAGCCTTACTGATTTATTACTACAAAAAATAAGTGATTTTAAATTATAATAAACGTATAATCTCATTGCTGAGGTATATTCCGAATATAATATGGCACACAAAAATGCTAGCTATCCAAAAACATGTATTATTTCATCACGCACAGCTATCTAACACATATATTCGTATTTACAAGTATTTGGCTCTTTATTTTACAATGTTAAATAGCATAACGATTCACTTTGTCACACAAGGTCACAGTTTTCAGTTTTTCCATCATAAATGTTTTTATACTTAAAACTTGTTAGGCATTTAGGCTGTATATACCGAAACACTTGAGCGATCTGCACTACTAGCGTATAATTAAAATACTATAACATAAATGTAATGAAATAATGTATTCTATGCTACTAGTACTAGGTATGTATGTTAACTGCATTTTGACAGACCTACTGAAAATTTAAAAAACTACAATTTTTTTTACTTTAACAGAAATAAATGTTATCACGCAAACTCGAGTGTGGTGAATCATCTGATATCACTGACACGACCACGTAACATCCTGGGCCTGATCTGTATCCTTAACTAATGACGTATATCACTGATCAAATTTCCTCAGTACACTGTATATGAACGATCGCGACAATCAAATTTCCTCAGTACACTGTATATGAACGATCGCGACAAAGTGATGAAAATATGTTGTGCTAACTAGGATTGTTTTAATAAAACTATGAACGATCATGAAAACAAATTCTTGGATGGACAAACCAACTCAGTTGAGCTACGAGTGAACAGTTTTATTTACAACTTGTTTAACTTATTTAACTTGTTTTAAGTTTATTTACAACGTGTACCTATAACAAAATTACATGTTACTCAATATGAATATAAGGTACTTTAAAATACTACACATGCAATGTTTTACAGTACTTATGTGATACAAGTCCCTACAGTATGTTCTCCTCTGTAATTTGTACAATGTATAGGATTAGTGATCATTGTGTTTTACTTACAAAATATAGTAGGTTAAGAATATCTGTACCTATCTACTGTACCTAAACGTACACTAGTTACAAAATTGTACAGCTTTGTACACTAGCAGCGCCGGTAAAGTGTACAACCCCAGGACTTGGTATTTTCTTATATTCGAAATTCAAATTAAATTGTATTTATAACTACCTACAATTCCCGTTTTATTTTTGTTTCATAATAGATAAACATGCAAACTACGTGGTCGGTTTATCTAAAATGAATTTTAAACATTAATTGGTCTATGTGTGGTAATATTAGTATAATAGTACACAACAATAGCCTAACTAACTTGTCTGGATAGCCGAGTGGTTATCGTAAATAAAACTGAAGGTCGCTGGTTCGATTCCAGAGAGGTAGTTACCAGACCCGGACGCAACTTGTCATTGTGCTATCCAATAATAAATATTTCTACTTTTCGACTTTTCAGGTCGACGTTAGATAGTAACAAGGCCAGGATTTGGACCGTCCCTTACAAAAAAAAACACGTTAAAATGCCTCTGTCATAGATAGACACAATAATCAACAACGTGGTGCAAACAGTCGTCATTTAAATACTACCGTTGTTATTGTTGCCATTTCCTTTTTAGAAGAAAGTTACGGATTGGCACTTACGATGATTGAACATAAACAATTTTAGTTTTACTGCACACAATATCATATCATGTAGTACTTTGCGGACGAGACTGTAAATTAAAAGCTTTTTCATAAACAATCACGTTCACAAACTCGCATGCAAAGTAGTCTGATCACGCAAAGTAACAAAATCAATGGCTTAGTGGGCCAGGGTAGTCTCGTGCACAGCAGTTAGGCTAACCTACCAGTATACATTACAAGACAGCAACTACATGGCCAGGGCTGTTATGTTGTGAGTGAACACTACAGTAAAACCAAATAAACTTCATTCTGCACCGAAATGTCTGCACAAAAGCACAAGCGTCAACAATTAATTCTTAACCTAATAAATAAAAACTTATCCAATAAAATTGTCAACAGTAATGAAATACAGTGAATGAAAAATATTCGACAGCATAGGCTAAGTGTAAATATATATTTCAAGGGTTATTAGAAGTATTTTTGTTTTTACTCTTCGTAAATTTAACAACCTGTACGTACAATGCTAATCAAGATGTTTTAAAGTACGTAAACATGTATGAACCCAATTGATTCGTCATTTCAGTGTTACCACAACACAAAATATACTAATTAATTGGTATTTGTTGTATGCATTGAATCAATGTGACTGTAGGATATATTAAACGATACTGACAGTGGGAATGACAGTAAGTGGCACTGATTGTAGGCGAGGGGTTTGTAGTGGGTTCGATCGAAGAGTCACTCTCGTTATTGACAAAACGATTAAAATAAGCTACTTAGAAATCGCACGAACAATGAAAAGAAAGTAAGCCTGTTGATGTCACCACATTCAACATACGCAATATCTAGATATTTTAAAACGTTAGGGGTTTTAGCGTATCATTGGTATAAAAAACAACCTAGTTGAAAAACAATATATATTAAACTTCTTTTAAACTTACCTTCCATTCTCTCTCGATTAAGTTTCCATATAATCAATGGTGGGCGTATAACTGTTAATCACTCCGTCGCGAAGTACTAATGTTCAATAAACTATTAGAACAAATGGGAATTAACAAATATTTAAAAAAAAACTAGTGCACCTGTTGCTTGAATTTGAGCAATTGCAAAGTATTACAGGTGTTTTTTCTAAACGAATAACAGTCATAATTTCCGATGACTTAAAAGAGTCCACTCAAAGATAATGTAATCAATCACTCCACTCATCTCTAGTATACTATTACTACTCTAATATTACTTACTCTTACTCTTATTACTTACTCTTGCTCTTATTACTTACTCTTACTCTAGTATTATTAGAGACGGCTATGCTCCACTCCAGTTATCGAAACTGAAAACGAATGCTCTTGTGTGTATCATGTGTTTACTATGAACAGAATTACTACAAATTATTCGTCCGTTTAGGTAAAACAAAAACTTTTTCCTACAGTCACCCGACAAAGTTGGCTTCCTTGTACTGTTTATAGTACAGAAAGCTGCTAATTGCTGCATATTTATACTTTGCCGTACGGTTTATACTTTGCCGCACATCAGCATTCCAACGAAACAACACAAAACAGCGTGGTTCTATTATGCAGTAATCCGTGTACGCTTGGGAATAGGTTGGCAGCACTTAAAGATAATAATACTATGAGCAGCTGATTGACTATTATAACTACGATTTAACCTGTCATTTCGTGTTTATAGTTTCGGTATTTCTAAACTTTCTGGACTTTTCTTTTAAACGTTTTTCATACATTCCTACGATCTTAATAAACAAGAAAATACCTTCAAAGCATTTTTTAGGCGCGGAAACCACTTCAAATTACAAAAACATATGGAACTATATTCTCAAAACGCGGAGCACATTTCTTGCCGAGGAAAAACAGCGGAGTGATACGGACCGGGTACTACTTTCTCTAGGGCATCTAAACAGCGTGGTTCTATTATGCAGTAATCCGTGTACGCTTGGGAATAGGTTGGCAGCGTTGGCAGCACTTAAAGATAATAATACTATGAGCAGCTTATTGACTATTATAACTACGATTTAACCTGTCATTTTGTGTTTATAGTTTCGGTATTTCTAAACTTTCTGGACTTTTCTTTTAAACGTTTTTTTAAACATTCCTACGATCTTAATAAACAAGAAAATATCTTTAAAGCATTTTTTTAGGCGCGGAAACCACTTCAAATTACAAAAACATATGGAACTATATTCTCAAAACGCGGAGCACATTTCTTGCCGAGGAAAAACGGCGGAGTGATACGGACCGGGTACTACTTTCTCTAGGGCACCTATTTTTGTTGCCAGCTGAACCTAAAAACGTGTTGTATAGCGTTTCAAAGACTAATTATTTATATGCTTTATAGTGACTGTAGGAAAAATATAATGTGTAACACGAGTGCAAAAGGCCTTTGCTGCACTCGAGATCATTCCGCACTCGCCTGCGGCTTTCATGCGTAAACATTGCTCTCGTGTGCAGCAAAAGTGCCACTTTGCCCACTAGTTACACAAATAACTATTTGTATTTTTATTTCAATCCAGGAGTTAACTAGATTGCAGCATTGACTATTATTATTGTAGTACCTAAGCATTGAAATCAACCGTATAACTTGTAAAAGAATGCTGTAATTGATATCTTGGGTTGATATCACACACTGAACCTTAAATAAATGGGCGTTTTGCAACGATATGAACACACTTTGTCACGTTATTCAGCATGCCAAAAGAAAAAATAGTTATTTGTGTAACTAGTGGGCAAAGTGGCACTTTGCTGCACACGAGAGCGGCTCGTGCGGAATGATCACGAGTGCAGCAAAGGCCTTTTGCACTCATGTTACACATTATATTTTTCCTACAGTCACTATAAAGCATATAAATAATTAGTCTTTCAAACACTATACAACACGTTTTTAGGTTCAGCTGGCAACACAAATAGGTGCCCTAGAGAAAGTAGTACCTGGTCCGTATCACTCCACTATTTTTCCTCGGCAAGAAATGTGCTCGGCGACTTGAGAATATAGTTCCGTATGTTTTTGTAATTTGAAGTGGTTTCCGCGCCTAAAAAAAATGCTGAAATAGTTATTTGTGCAACTAGTGAGCAAAGTGAGCAATTGACTCGCTCGAGAAACCATTCCTCACTCGCCTATGGCTCGTGAGTAGGATTTCTCTCGAGTGAGTCAATTGCACTTTGCACTCGAGTTGCACATTATATTTTTCCTACAGTTACAATAAAACAAATAAATTAGTAAAGAAACGTGACATATTTCAAGTGAACTTTTAATATGACATTTAATAATCAACAACAATAAAACAGCTGACCAGCTGATTTACAGCCAGTGCTGCCAACGTATTTCGCGCGCATACGACCTTGTCTGCATGTTGCGCGCTCACTATTTCGTGCCTTCACGTTGCAAATCTGGAGTGAGACAAGGTAATTAGAGTGAGACAATGTTAACATTGTCTCACTGATGAGCGAATTGGCCACTTTGCTCTCTCAAATCGGTGAGAGAACATGTACATTGTTAGGTACCTGTAGGAAAAGGTATTTTCTTGTTCATTTAAGATCGTAGGAATGTTTAAAAAACGTTTAAAAGAAAAGTCCTGAAAGTTCAGAAATACAGAAACTATAAACACGAAATGGCAGGTTAAATCGTAGTTATAGTCAATCAGCTGCTCATAGTATTATTATCTTTAAGTGTTGCCAACCTATTTCCAAGCGTACACGGATTACGTGCATAATAGAACCACGCTGTTTTGTGTTGTTTCGTTGGAATCCTGATGTGCGCCAAACTATAAACCGTGCGACAAAGTATAAACCGTACAACAAAGTATAAAAATATGCAGCAATTAGCAGCTTTCTGTACTATAAACAGTACAAGGAAGCTAACTTTGTCGGGTGACTGTAGGAAAAAAACAATTAATACAACATCACTGTCCTATCTCATTCCGTTTTCGGTCTATCTATCCGCGTGATTTTTACAAACACATCCACAGCTCATGAACTTTTTGAGCTACAGCGTTGAAATTCTGTTAATTTTTTTGTCTTATTGACTTTGTGCAAAATATGAATAAAAACTCTTTGAACCATTAAAAAAAGGGCGGCTTATAAAAATATTTTTGATGCCCGATTCCACAAAAACCGTTAATTAAAAAAAAAATATTTGCAGGAAATGTAAAATGTAGTAAATGTTATACAGATTACAACGATAATAATCTTAGTTTGGACAAAGCACAATTGATCTTTTTTATCTATTTAAACAATGTTAAACAGTAGTTTTATCAATTTAAGGTTAGTTTAATGTGAAAATAATGTAGGCACGGCAAGACAAAAAATAATTTCTCAGCTATTCTCTGTCCAAACTAAGCTTATAAGATTTCGATGTAATCTGCATAAGAGTTACTAAAGTTTACATATCCTGCTAATATTTTGTAAAGTTAACGGTTTTTGTGGAATTTGGCATCAAATATCTTTAAAAGCCACCATTTCATAATGGTTCAAGAAATTTTATTCATATTTTGCACAAAAGAAGTGGTGAATAAGATAAAATTTTTTACAGAATTTCAACGCTGTAGCTCACGCATTTAAAGAGTTATGAATGTTTTTATAAACATCACATACAGCCAGACCAAGAAAATAACATAAGTTACAAAAACTTTTGAACCGTAATTTTGACGGAAATGACATTTGTACAGTTTTGGACAGGACTATAACATAGGCTACTAAATTTTTATAAACACGTTCGGGCCATTTTTTAGAAAATCTATTTTTTTCCCCTTATTTTATGGGTTTTTATGGGGAAATCCCATTAAAAGAGTGAAAAAAAAACGCCTGTAGATACCATGGAATAGTACCTACATACCAAATTTCATCAAAATCGGACTAAAGTTGTGGTATGTAGCTCTGTATACATACACACACACACAGACATCACTTCGAAAACAACTTTTTTTCTTCAGGGGGGCCCAAAATAGATATATCCACTCAAAACTAAAACTCGAAATTTTTAATTTTTCGAAATTTTAAAACTTAAAAAAAATTTACAGACTTTACAGTTTACATGGGCGTACCCAGAGAGGGGCAGGGTGACCATATAAACTTACACACTCATGAAAGATTCACTCACGGAGAACATTTAAAACTTGACTTGGAGCGGTGTCAACCGAGCGAAATTTCTCGACTACCGTTTGTTACGATATTGGACTTAAATCGATTCTTAATTTTTCGAGCTGCTGTGATTTTAAATCAATTGAAAATCCGACTTGATAATTTACTATTCAATGAGAGATAGACATTTGCGACCAGTTCGACGCATGTCAAATTTTCCCTCAGGAACGCAACATCAGACCTGTAGTTTCAAATCAATTTGACTAATTACTACCACACTTCAAACAATTAGCAATCCAGAGAATTATTGACATATGCTTTCGTTTCGACGCACATACAAATTTCACCCGAAAGCAATTTTCCAAGCTACGAATAAGATATTGAAATCATGGTCTGAATACCGGCGACACGACTACATGATGTCTATGCTCCAAGTGATCGTTCCACTCCACGCTTCTCCACATTCATATGTTTGTCTGTGAATCCCTCCGGGTTTGTCATGATTGAACAATGTTGAGCGTTTAACAACAGTGGCGTTTAAACAACAATAAGTGAATTCAAAATCGGCACATGTTATATTAAATTTTTTGTTTCTTTTGACATGCTGAATAACGTGACAAAGTTTGTTAATATGGTTGCAAGACACCCTGTATTGTACTTTAACATTAGCACACTTTTTTTGTAAAATTCAACTTTGTTAAATTTTGGTTACAGGCATTATTAATGGAACAACTCAGTTGCAACAAAGAAAATGAAGCGAACTGCGACAATATTTGTACAGGTGAGAGGAAAGAAAAGGAGAGAGACACAAGTTTCATCCGGAAGGTCAGCTTCATCCGAGAATCAGTAAGTGACAGCAGAGTGCCGGAAAGGAAATTCAGTGGAGCACCTGACTCCAAACGGAGTAGCGTGCCTTCACAAGAGACTGAGGTTGAGCATGGACAAGGTGAGATGACAAAAAAATAATACATGTATTACGTGGCTAATATTAAAATACTAGGGATGTGTCGATCCTCGTACCACCGATTTTTGGACATTATGGTATTGGTATCGATTGAATCTGCAAAGATCATGCGATTGAAAAATGCATGCTTTTGCCGCAATCACGGATGACAACGATAACATTTCTGAGACCACGCGGATGTATACACAGCCGCGGGAGATGTTCGTGATTTTTTTGCGATCGTTGAAGACGATGATGCTGTCTACATGATCATGGAAGATATTCAGAATTTGTTTGTAATCACGGGAGACGACAATGATGACTATACTTACGACCGCAGAAAAGTTCATTTTGGAAGACGGCGTACGGCGATGATGTTTCCGTGAACAATAACGATAATTTAGGATTTTTGCCACTATCACGGGAGACAATATTTTTGTTTCCGTTACCACAGGGAATATTCAGGATTTTTCCGTGACCGCAGGATACGATGATGATAAGCACACAACCGAGGTATGATCAGAGGAGGATGATCAGAATCATGCCACGATCTCGGAAGCTGGTTCTAATGTCTACACGAAAGCGGATTATAATCATTATCAATTATTTAAGATGGGGACGCCACTATCTGCATATTTTAACCCAAATACGAGTGAAGGATGAGTGACCCGATCTTGTAGTCTTGTTAGTGACTAAGGCGGACATATTCCTTAGACACATCTTTTAATTATTAGCCCATACAGCCAATGGCAACTAAGGAACCTACGGTTTATAGTGGAATCCGAACCACATTTTTTCCTTGTAATTAAAAAATAATCAGGATAGTACTGCGGATAGTGGTAGTACTCACTATTGCGGACTTTAATCCACACCAGGGAGCATCGCATCCACACTGCATGCCTATAAATATCCACAATTCTTGACCTTCTATTAGCTGGATTACAGGACGACGCCACCTGATTCATGAATTTGCCGCAATCGTGGAAGACGGTGATGATGATTCAGTTACCTTGGGTGATTTTCATGTGTGTATTGAAATCACAGGAGATAATGGTGATGTTTCTGTTAACGCAGGAAACATTTCAAGATTTTGCTGCGATTGTGGAAGAGAATGATTATGTCTACACGAGATATTTATGATCTGGCCGCGATCGTCGGAGTCGGGGGATGATGATGATGATAAAAAATTATTATATCAATACTGAGATTTGAGAATTGATTTTTCAGATATATACCAGTATAGATACCAGTACAAGAATTGGTAAATTTTGGAACTGAAACATTTCAAAATATTTATTTTAAAAATATACAAAACATTTCAAAAAAGGATTTTATATTTTTGTCGAGATAGCACATGAAACATCAAAAAGCCACGTAAAAAACACACATGCTGTGTAAACTTTATTTTTACAAAAAATATTTTCAAAATGGTCTTGTCAATTCTCTAGTACACTTATTTTAAGACTTTTCAATTAATATTATTTATAGAAAAATGAGCAAGTCAAGGTTGATATTACCAGTGGCTAGAGGTGAGGGCATGCATGAGCATTTAAACTTTGGTTTTGTTCAACATGTTTCCTTTTTTTTCTTTTTTTTAAAAAAAAGGTTGGCGACCTCTTTTAACCTTGCATTTGCCCGTCCACATAGACTAAGTGCCTGTGCGTGGATCGTTTACAGCAAAGCAAGGAGTGAGCTGGTACAGTACAAAGGTGAACTGTACTGATAAAATGTTATCGGCAGTGACCAGGATCCGAACCCACGACATCGCTGCCTTGGGCCCGAAGTCCGTAACGCTACCGACTGAGCCACCGACTCACTAATTAATAAACTGGCAGAATTATGGGAGCAATTAACTCTTAGCAACACGTTTGCACGTCAGTCTGCAATAGGCTTAAGTTGGTTAGGAATTTAATTAATATGACAAAAAAATACTGTATTATGGATTCAATTTGCACATGATCACATCTAGATCAGTAGTATTAAAACAAATTTATACTTGTAGTTTATTTTATAAATGAACAGCTCTGAGCAGTCCCAAGGTGCCCAAAAAGTTCATCTCTACATGGCGTCAAGCTTGTGACAGAACCAAGGATCGGACCAAGGAGCTGCTGAAGAGGTGGAGGACTCTCCCCGAGGGCAACGCAGAGATGATGGCAGCAGGAGCCTCACAGCTGCAGCCCCAGACTAACACTGACAACCCTCACAACTGGAGCGTTCATGTGTGGGGTAAGTCAAGTCAACCAACCCTACAAGGCATATAATACAACTTTCTGGCCTAGAGACTGTTTTTATTACTTTCACAAACCACACTAGCATAAACAAATAATTGTAAATTTTAGTTTGTTGTTAGATTAAATTTGTACTTATCAAACATAGGACTGTTATCATAATATGGAAGCATTTTGACTTGAAAACAGTTTTTATAAGAGATAACTTTAATTCCAGTTTATAAAATCCTTTATAATGGGATTATAAGGGATTTGAATTTCTTATGAAGGAGATATATACTGCTAACCTATGTATATTTAGAGTAAGTACAATTATGCAGTCAATCATGGTATAAGTCAATCAGCTCTTTTGGTCCAATATTACCAAAGGCTACTAAAGGTAGCGGTGGCGTAGCTAGGGAATGGCGGGAGGGATCACACTGCCTCTGCCGCCTAACGTAGGAGGGTGACAAGTTGAAAATCATAAGTTCGTTGAGATTTGTGTTGAGATAAGTTCGTAATGACATAACTAGCATTAAAATAACACTCTTAAGCTTATAAAATGCCAACATTTTTTAGGAAAGATCTTTGCCCTCAAAGAGTCTTTGTTTGATTTCAATTAGAGATGATCTAATCTTAGTCAGTAGGAAAGCTTTCATTGGATATAACACGTTGAATATTTAAACGGTGATGCTATGCAATTGTGCGATTGATAAGATACTCTCTGTTACCCACGGGCTTCACCCCGTTTGACTTCATAAGTATTAATAAAAAATACCCTCGCCGCAGTAAACCTGCAGACTAAGCAAATTTCCTTTCACCTGGCTGGATTTCTACTAAAATATTCCCTAAAAATTGTCAGACTTATTTCCTATTTAATTAACATTAGTGAGTTCTTAGTTTTGCTGCTACAGGGAAGATAGGCCTATTGAGATGGGTTTTATTATAGCAATGTTGATAGCTTAGTATTAAATAAACATCATTTCCAAATTTGGTTTAAATATATCCCTAAACGAGCAAACTACAACAGTTTATTTATTCTCCATAACAATAACATGGGAATTTTAAATTTACAATTTTTTTTATTATCTCCGTAACTGTTGGGCATATAACAACGCTTCAAGATACAAAATTATTTCTTTTTTTAAACTCTACTAAATGGTTTGGAGTGAAATGGTCAAAAATGGGAAAAATAAATTTCTACCCCATAAAACCACCCTTAAACCCCCGTTCCCATAGTCTGATTGTGCTGGTTCACGAACTTGTTTGAATAAACGTATGTTTACACGTTTGTACCAAATTTCATAAAAATTTGTACATTTTTGCTCGAGTTATCACGCTAACAGACACACACATATATATCTAATATATAAAATTCTCGTGTCACAGTGTTTGTCTGCAAACTCCTCCGGAACGACTTCACCGATCGACTTCACTAAACTATTTCCCGTTTCGAAATTCTTAAAAGGGCTCCGCCCCAGTGGCTCTGGAGTTTCCCATGTTAACCTTATGAGAAATGGAATTAATGAATCTTAACAGCTGTTTCAATTAAACAAGTTGGTTCTGTTCTATGATGTTCAATAGCATAAAAGCTACAAGGATTGCCAACAGGGTGCAGCACTATTATTTTTTTTAATTTATGACAACAGCTAATTTCCAACCAAAAGGTGAGTGAGCGTAGCGAACGAACTTCAACCTGGAGGCGAGTTAGCGTAGCGAACGAGCTAACCTGAAGGCAAGTGAGCGCAGCGAACGAGCTCCAACCTAAAGGTGAGTGAGCGTAGCGAACGAGCTCCAACCCAAAGGTGAGTGAGCGTAGCGAACGAACTTCAACCTGGAGGCGAGTTAGCGTAGCGAACGAGCTAACCTGAAGGCAAGTGAGCGCAGCGAACGAGCTCCAACCCAAAGGTGAGTGAGCGTAGCGAACGAACTTCAACCAGGACGTGATTGAGCGATGCGAACGAGATCATCTTGAAAATTAAACGTAACGGTACTTTCTTTCCATCGGTCTGTCTTAGGGGAAACCTATAACTAAGGCGATACGAAGTTCGCCGGGTCAGCTAGTCTATATATACAGGGTGTCCCGGAACTCTCTACCAATATTTTAGGGCATTGTTCCTGGGTAAGAAACATATCTAAATATCATATTTAAATTGTCCGGAAGTCCTTATTTACTGAGATAGCCGCCATTTTGTTTTTTTCACTTATTAATTTTTTTCTGAAAATTGGTTAAACATACGAAGTTGAAACTTTGCACAAACATTTATAACAACTAGACAAAGCTACAAAAAAATTATGACGATTTTTCAAATTCATAAAACAAAATGGCGGCTGTTTAAAATTTTGTTTCTTAAATTACTCGAAAACCCTTGATTTTACAAAAGTTTTGCAAGAATAACCTTTTTAAGGCAATTTTATTACAAATCGATTGACACCTTAATCTTTAAGATCGGACGAGTATTAACTGAGATATGGCAGTTTTAGTGATACGTGACCGCTTTCAGCATGCGCTGCAACTAATATCCGGCGGTCACGTATCACTAAAACTGCCATATCTCAGTTAATACTCGTCCGATCTTAAAGATTAAGGTGTCGATCGATTTGTAATAAAATTGCCTTAAAAAAGTTATTCCTGTAAAACTTTTGTAAAATCAACGGTTTTCGAGTAATTTAAGAAACAAAATTTTAAACAGCCGCCATTTTGTTTTATGAATTTGAAAAATCGTCATATTTTTTTTGTAGCTTTGTCTAGTTGTCATAAATGTTGTTGCAAAGTTTCAACTTCGTATGTTTAACCAATTTTCAGAAAAAAATTAATAAGTGAAAAAAACAAAATGGCGACTATCTGAGTAACTAAGGACTTCCGGACAATTTAAATATGATATTTAGATATGTTTCTTACCCAGGAACAATGCCCTAAAATATTGGTAGAGAGTTCCGGGACACCCTGTATAAAAGGCAAAGCCCTCACACTGACTCACTGACTGACTGACTCAGTCACTCATCACTAATTCTCCCACTTCCCATTTACCCACGAGGCTGAAATTCGGTACACCGATAGGCATTAAATAGGACTACTAAGTAGTTTTTATTCTGATCGGGCTTTCGGGCTCCGCCCCAGTGGCTCTGGACTTTCCCATGTTAACCTTATGATGTTATATATTTAAAAGGAATAATTAATGAATCTTAACAGCTGTTTCAATTAAACAAGTTGGTTCTGTTCTATGATGTTCAATAGCATTAAAGTTACAAGGATTACCAACAACTAACCTTAGATCGGTTAACCTTATGAGTACTTATATTTAAATGGATTTAAAGAATCTTAACAGCTGGTTCAACTAAACAATTTGATTCTGTGATGTTCAATGGGATTAAAAAGTTAATAGGTTTACAAACAGGTTGCAGCACTATAATTTTTTTAAATTCATGACAACAGCTAATTTGCAATCAAAAGGTAAGTGAGTGTAGCGAGCGAACTTCAACCTGGAGGCAAGTTAGCGTAACGAGCGAAGCGAGCAAAACCTGAAGGCAATTGAGCTTAGTGAACGAGCTCCAACCTAAAGGTGAGTAATTTATGAAAAAACAGATAGTTTTGCGCAAGGTTTCTTGTCATGACAAACATTTTAAGTATAAGGTTTATGGGGGTGTGACTTGTAGTTTTCTCGTTTGTGGGTACTTTGGGATTTATAAATGGATGATGTGGCATGTAATGAATTTTGTGTGTGACCTAATATATCAAATTACTAGCTGGCCCGACAGACGTCGTCCAGTCCTAATGTGGTTTTATGTCAAATGCTCGTTTATTATCAAGATGAGCTCGTTAGCATCGCACAATCACGCCCTGGTTGAAGTTCGTTTGCTTCGCTTACTCACCTTTAGGTTAGAGCTCATTCGCTGCGCTCACTTGCCTTCAGGTTTAGCTCGTTCGCTACGCTAACTCGGCTCCAGGTTGAAGTTTGTTCGCTACGCTCACTCACCTGTTGGTTGCAAATTAGCTGTTGTCATAAATGAAAATAAATAATAGTGCTGCACCCTGTTGGTAAACCTATTAATTTTTTAATCCCACTGAACATCACAGACTCAAATTTTTTAGTTGAACCAGCTGTTAAAAGATTCTTTAATTCTATTTAAATATAAGTACTCATAAGGTTAACATGGGAAACTCCAGAACCACTGGGGCGGATCCCTTTTGACGGATCTGCACCAAACTTCACACAAACAATTTTTGAATAATGCTTAATAATTCCTGAAAGTTTCATTACAATCTGTCAAGCAGTTTCGGAGTCCATAACGTTCAAATATATATGTATTCAAACTTCCTCTTTTATATAGAAGATAAAAAAAACTTTACTTTGAAGGTGTGTTTATTTATTCAAATTATTCTTAATACCCAGTATATTCAACATTGAATATTTATTCATAGGTCTCTTCTCCCAGTGAATAATTAATTATTTATTCAAATTCCAGCATCTTACATTAAAAGATATCCTAGTGAAGATGAGAATCTTATGTCATTTGATGAGAATGCACCTTCCACATTAAACCTTTTATCCTCCACACAAAAAGAAAAGATGAGCCATTTCTTTTCACACCTGCTTGACAGTGACCAAGATGACCTCATATCTGAACAAGACTTTGACAATTTTTCTGAGGTAGGTTATCTCTTTAATTATCAGTACGTAAATAATTTTTTTATTTGATAACCATCCATAGTCTCTTTATTGCTTACTGGTATTGCACTATTTGGGTCAAGGCTCTCTTACCTCAATAATGAATTTCCAAGCTCATGTCTGACAGCCTTAATTAATACATTCGAATTGCTAGAGACACCTATAGCGACGTTCCGATACTACCGATACCAGTAGGTATCGATACTTTGGGTCCGATACCAGTATTATCGGTATCGGTATCGAAACGTTCGATTCTGTAGTGGTATCGATACTGAAAACGGAGTATCGGAACATCGGTATCGGAAAAGTAGTTCCTACAGAATTAGGAGTTTGTTTAAGAAATACATTTTTGTTTTAAGTTCAATGGTCATGAATAATTATCTACATGTTTTTTCCGGTAAAATTACAATATAAAATATAGGGTACGGTTGAGATTTTTAAAAAACTTCCCTTATTAGATTGACTTAATAGATTACTCCGCTTAACGCCAGCCACAATAGCCAGCATAAGTCAAAATGCGTTTAAATGTGTTTACATTTGTTTAAATAAATAACACCTTTGTAATTTTTATTCGCCTATTTTATATTTATTAATTTTCCTTTTGGCTGTACTTTCATAAGCGGCACAAATGAAGGTATGCTATCGGTTATGTTAGGTTGGGTTATTGATAAATTACTAGGGCTTTCATTTGTGCTGCTTATGAAAGTGCAACCTGCTTTTTCAAGCTTTTGTTCTGTGTTCATTGTCCAGTTTATTTTTCCGATACTTTTGGTCCAATACTGAGATGGTATCGATACCACACTTCTGATACCATATCGATACCAAGTATCGTATCGAAAGCGGTATCGGAACGTCCCTAGAGACACCAAACAAGTTTCAGTGTTTATAAGGTGCGTTGTCCAAGGTGCGTCTGTTGCGTCCCTTGTCCAAGAGCGTGTCTATTCTGTTCAACAGTTGGTTATTCACTGTGTTAAACTCTAGTTTAGTACTCTCATTATGAGTGGGAAGAGTAAAGTGTTGAAGATTCTTTTGAGCGATGATATAGAAGACGAGGAAGTTCTGGTCCTAGTTAGTGGACTTTGATTGTGTAGGCATAGTGTTTTTACCAAGAGAATTAAGGAAAGAGGATATACCAAAACATCCATGCACACTCTTAAGTCCAATAACAAGAGAATAAAAGTTAGCTTTTACACTAAGATACTGTAAAGTATTGAATTTTTTAAATCTAAATTTTAAAGGCTTAGCTTGAACCTAAATAATTATATTTAAAAACCCAGTTTAGGTTTGTTTTTCCTTTAAAATTAAAGCCTCGTATGCACTGGCAATCATTTAACAAGAAAATTGTCGCTAAACAGTAAATATAAGCTTGAGAGCACTGGAGAACACAAGCACAACACTGCAATAGACGCTGACTAGACCATCAGCCATCCCGTCTGCTCCCGGAGCAGTGCCCCGCGTCAGACGCTCAGCGTCTCAAGCGTCACATGCACCATCTCAAGCGCCAAGACGCTTCAAGCTCCCCATTGAAATCAATGCTTAGGCACTTTCCATCCATCGCCAGCGTATATTTCTCAGCGTTGGACGAAACAGACGTATTCTTGGACAACGGGCCTTAAAACTGAATATGAATTATCTATTGAGTTATGAAAACAAACAGGACACCCTCAATATTTATTTGGGTACTGTAGAGTATATCTATGAAGTTTTTTGCAAAAATATTAATCCATGTTTGTATTTTGTTTGAGTAAACTATAAAATTCTCTATTATGGGTGCATCCTAACTATACACAAGTCCTAATTCTCAAAAGGGTTCATCCATCAACTCCTACCCCCCAGGTATTTGAGTCCTCGGCGTCTGCATTATTGGTTATAGAATGTGTCATTCCCCTACACAACAATAACTCGACCAATGTCCCAAACCAATGAGACAGAGTACTAAATTGTACATAGTCAGAGGTATCTACTTAACAATCATTTTTATGCTGATGGTTATACTCATATTTTGATTCAGAAACTGAGGAGATATGCAGATTGGTCAACGAACAGTCCTCAGTTTCTCATCATGGTCCAAGTACAGCAGGGATTCCTTGACACCTTCTTACCAACTGATCCAGAAATAGGTGAGTTTGAACTAAGTGCACATTAAAAAGATATCCTCCAATCAGTTAAGGAAAACTTACAATGTAAGTCATGAGAAGAAGAGTGAAGTTTATAATTTGCTGTTGTAAGTTTATTGTGTTGGTTGTGTGGATTTGTGTTTGAGTGTTTTAACAAACGTTACACTGTTTTATTAACTGTGAAGTGTGTATATATAAACTTCCTTCTTCAACTTGTGTCGTAGAAGGAGATGATGTCTCAGAGTCCTGGAAACGCTATGTCAGTCTAGAAGAGTGGCTCAGCACATGGGGCATGTTGGTGTCCAAGGCTACCAACCTTAATGACTTTCCGCTCTGGTTGCATTACCTTCCTAAAATTCTTTTCCAAGCAATTAACAAGAGTGGTAAGTTAAATCTAAGCAAAAACTCTATTATTATTATGTTAAAATGCCAAATTTTCTTGAAATATTATGTAAAAACTAGCTGACCCGGCGAACTTCGTATCGCCTAAGTTATAGGTTTCCCCTAAGACAGACCGATGGAAAGAAAGTACCGTTACGTTTAATTTTCAAGATGATCTCGTTCGCATCGCTCAATCACGCCCTGGTTGAAGTTCGTTCGCTACGCTCACTCACCTTTGGGTTGGAGCTCGTTCGCTACGCTAACTCGCCTCCAGGTTGAAGTTCGTTCGCTACGCTCACTCACCTTTGGGTTGGAGCTCGTTCGCTACGCTCACTCACCTTTAGGTTGGAGCTCGTTCGCTGCGCTCACTTGCCTTCAGGTTAGCTCGTTCGCTACGCTAACTCGCCTCCAGGTTGAAGTTCGTTCGCTACGCTCACTCACCTTTTGGTTGCAAATTAGCTGTTGTCATAAATGTAAAAGAAATAATAGTGCTGCACCCTGTTGGTAATCCTTGTAACTTTAATGCTATTGAACATCATAGAACAGAACCAACTTGTTTAATTGAAACAGCTGTTAAGATTCATTAATTCCATTTCTCATAAGGTTAACATGGGAAACTCCAGAGCCACTGGGGCGGAGCCCTTTTAAGAATTTCGAAACGGGAAATAGTTTACGTCCGATTCGCATACCTACAGAATTTACACACCAAATTTCATAACGATCGGTGAAGTCGTTCCGGAGGAGTTTGCAGACAAACACTGTGACACGAGAATTTTATATATTAGATAAAAAAAACACATTTAATTCCTTATACGTACTGTCCGTCCTATTATTTACTTTAGAAAGCTTTTACTATACCTTTTACTCTAGTAGATAAAACCAAAACAAGAAAGGAAAATAAATGGATTTTGGATACTTGTTTTAAATTTTTTTAACCCCTTAAGGTTTTCATTTTTAAGAGTTTAAATCAGTCAATTAGTTTTTAATTGTTTATGGTTCCTCAGAAAACCCTCGCAAGTCATGAGTTTTGTTATAATAGATAAAAACTCTGTTACACAAGACACAAGACGCTATGTGGAAACTAGAAACAACTGGAAGAAGTTTTATGCAGAGGTGGATTTAAACAAAATACTATATATTTTCAGGGAGTGGAATCATATCCAGGGATGAATTAGGCTCGTTCTATTCGTCCATACTGGGCTACACCACACAGCGAGTGGGTGAAATACTTGATGAGGCTTTTAACTCCCTCACTTCAGTAAGTCATCAACAAAAACTTACAATCATAAATAATTTATGACCTAATAAATAACCTTTTACTTTTAAATTAAATAATGGTCTTGAATAATATACCAGTACCAATAACTCGTAGACAAGGATCCATTTATCCTTTGGTTCTGTTTTAATGTCATCGTGTAGTAAGAACAAAACTACAGTAGATAATGAATGATAATTCTGTAATTTCATAAGACATTCAGGGTGTCAACATGATCCCGATAGCAGTACAGTATATAAAAAAATATTGCAACATGATCCTGATAGCAGTACAGAATATGAAATAATATTGCAACATTTATTTACCTAAGTAAAATATATTATTTCATATTTTTATGAAATGTTTTTGTATTTCCGGCTAATCAGGAAACTGTGGTAATCCGAACCAGATCCAATCCCAATTAGTTTGGATTAGCAAGACTCTGTTATAGATGGAATTTTTGTAATTTGAATTTAGTTTGATCATAATAACTGATTTGTTAAAAGTATTTATACAGAAACTTGTGTAAAAAGAAAATTTGTCAAAACAATTATCCATTGTTATTATTTAAAAAAATAATTCAATCAAAATGTTTAAATCAAACGATATAATATGTTCAATGTCCTTCACAAAATAAAAAAATAAATACTTTTAATATGTTCATAGTGTTCTGTATGAGACCCAAGCATTTTCAACTAATAATTCTGTCTACCTGTCTTCTAGCAGGAGTAAGCTCTTTGGAAATATCACTTTTCAGTTGTCACAGAAACTCTAACGCCTAACTCAAGTTGTAAATTCTCTCTCTTTTTTCATTTCCAGAATGGTGACCACCCCATATCATACTCTGTATATCGCTTGGTCTTCACCAACTTCCTTCTAGGGAGGTATCCCAATGGTCCAGGCCAGTACCTGTTTGGCTGTGTTACCAAGAAACCGGACTGCTTCCCCATTGACTACAGCGCTCTCAACTGTCAGCCCGAGGACCGAGAACACTACACTCCTGACAAGAAGAGCAATCGCGTGTCCATTGTTGTTTAGATTTCCCTTCAACTCAAAGAGAAGATGAAATCTCACGAATAACGACCCTGATAATTTAACTTGTAAATGTTTCAAAATTTACTTTTAACGTTTGGCTAAGTTTAAAATACTGAAAAATCTGATTTCATCTTTAGCCTGGCAAAACAAAAATAGTTTGTTAAGATTTAAGATTGTGATATCTAAATAAATTATTGGTTATGTGTAATACTCAGAAATTCTGAAAATTATATTTACAGCCATATTAACAATATTTATAATTCCATTTTGCAACATAAATCAATGAGATCAAAAAGTGTTTGTCTATGAATGTACTCTTCCTCAAATCACTGAATGTAGGAATTCAAAATTCAGAAAATGTGTGGAAATTTAAAAAGATTTGTTTCTTATAATATGGTGCATAATATGAGTGTTGCAGACTGTTTTACAGACAATTAATCGTGCAATATATAAAATTATTTTAAATTAAATTGATCTATTTGTTAAAGACCTCTGTAGGTTAGTCCAAAGAACAGATAAGTAGAAAAAATAAGTTTAGTATTAATTCATAACAATTTTACTAAAATAACAAAATATATACAGTAACAAAATAAAATACAATATATAAAACTTATAAGGACTAAGTGTAACATTTTACAGCAGACTACTGTAACTAATTAATAACAGTTTTTTTAAGTGACTACAAACATTCTACAAAGTTAATTAAGCATATAATTTATACAATTTTAAATGTTGTATTACAATTTTAATCAGTAAAGTCAACATTTTGATATATATTTTGATCGTCTTACATTAGATGAGCCATGTATTCACATATTTGGGCCAGCTTTATTTGTACCCTAAGATCTACACAAGCGAAGTGTTCTTCCATCAGTGAAGAAGTCAACGCCTCCTTTTCAGCCTAAAAACAATTAACAGGTACTTATTGCTTTATACACTCACTTTGATAATAAAATAAGAGAAAGTACCAAAATAAGTTTCAACGAGGGGACCCGTGCACAAATTACAAAATTATAGAGTTCAAACTTTTTTCCGAGGCAAAACTAATAATGAAATACCCTGTTACCTTTTTTATTTAACTTTGATTAAATCTGTTGGTTGTAGATCCATACCATCTATATAATTAATACGCTACTGTACATGAAACTTTGTCGGTTGAACTCCTCCGCCATTTCCTAACCAATTTTATCCATTGACGTCTCATTGGAAAGAGCGTGTCGCGTAGATTTACAAACTGGCCTTACATTTTTGAAAAAGTCCCTTGGGCTCTGCCCCAGTGGCTTTGAAAGTTCCCATGTTATCCTTATGAAGAACATAATTATTTCAACACATAGTTGTTTGAGTTTGTGAAAACATAACCCTCAAGATGGATATTGTTACTACAGTAGACTCCCTCTTATCCGGACTCCTCGGGACCGAGGCCAGTCCGGATAACGGTTTTTCCGGTTAAGCCGACGTCCCCAAAAACTCATTAAAATGGACCGTTTACGGTGATATTCGACTTAAATTTAGGAGAGCATTGTATTTAGACATGTGATCACTGGTCTCAAATCTTTCCTACGAGAACAGTCTTTACAGTACCGCACACTTCCTGCCGATCTAGTCCGGTTAAACCAATGTGCCGATAATAATTGTCCGGTTAAAGAGATGTCATTTCCGTCGACTGTAGTCCGGTTAAACCGATGTCCGGTTAAAAGGTGTCCGGATGAGAGGGAGTCTACTGTATGGTTGTATCTTAAATTTGTGTATTTATCGTTGTTTTGTGTTGCTAAGACAGATCGTGTTAGCATGATTGTAACTTAAATTTGTGCATTTATCGTTATTTTGTGTGGCTATAATTTGTTTATTTGTTGTTTCTTTTTGTTTAAATGCCACCAACGCGACAACAACGAAACATAGACAGGAAGCGTAATCGTGATAACGATCTGGTCAATCTCAACTATTAGGTTAAAAATGCGCCCTAACACTACCACAAAACGACTTTTCGTTTTGAGAAGGAGAAAACCGGCCGGAATGCTTTAGGTTTATCAATAACGAAGATAAACATGGTTCGAATTACATACCGGTAATCTTTGAGTTGACAATCAGGTTATAATATTACAAATAAAAGTAACCTAAGCTATTTAAAAATAAAATTAGGGATGTGTCGATTCACAATAACGATTCTCGTTGGTCAATATCACCGATACTTGGACATCGGTATCGGTATCGAGCATCGATCGTCAAATTTCGATCCTACACTAATACCCAATACGTCTGCGATGATCGCGCAATCAGGACAATAGCGGTAATTTTTCTATTGCGTGTAGGCTGATGATGATGTCTGCACGGTCACAGGAGGTAATCAGAATTTGGCCGCTATCACGGAAGACGACTATAATAATTACAAGTCTACACGGCCACAGAAGATGTTCATTATTTTTCCGTGATTGCGCAAGACGACGATGATGTCTGTGACCGCGGGAGTCGGTGATGGTGTCTACACGGTCGCAGGAGACAGTTACAATTTTGCCACAATCATGGGAGACAATTATGATGTCTACACGACCATGGGAGGTGTTCATAATTTTTCCGTGATTACAGAATACGTCGATAACGTTTCTGTGACTATGGAAGACGATGGAGTATCTGTTACTGCAGTAATGGGGAGCAAGCTGGTCTAGGGGTTAGAGCGTGGGACTTCGATCTCTGAGATTCCGGGTTCAAATCCCACCAAATCACCAATAGATTTTATCTAAGTGATAATGCCACAACCCCTAGGTCCAGCCTGAAGTAATGTGAAATCCTGGGCTCGTGCCTAGCGTCCTATAGGACAAAAAAACCTGCAGCAATAGTAAGACCCACAAATCGGAGGATGAAACAACGAACTCGCTCCTAGACTGCAATTATTTGTTGTTATTTTGTCAAACCATTGTTTTAAACTTTGGCTGTCTCAAATTCATTAAAGGAAAGTAATACATTAATTAACATGATCTCTCAATGGTCTCTCTTTTCCTGAATCCGGTCTACCAGGCCTCCCGTACAAGCCAGATTGTCGAGGTATTACTGTATTGATAATTTACTAAATTGAACTCTTATACTAAGAATTACTAAAATATAACTAATCCTCATAGTGGGTGTTTTTAAGGATTAATTCCCCAAGGACATCTTATAATTATAATAAACTGAACTATTTACCTGTAAGGTTGAAGTTTCATGGCAAGTAATTAACAATCCTTCATTTATGCTGTCCGTATCATTACTCTCTGGCATACAGCTCCTGCAATTCAATTTCATATTCATATTAATTTAATTAATTAATTAAATTTTTTAATTTTTTTAATTTAATTAATTAATTATTAATTTAATTTATATTCATATTGCAATTTTATTTCATTTCATTTCATTTTCATTTCATTTCATATTACAGTAGACTCCCTCTTATCCGGACTCCTTGGGACCGAGGCCAGTCCGGATAACGGGTTTTCCGGTTAAACCGACATCCACAAAAACTCGTAAAACGGACCGTTTAAATACATATTGTACTGTATTTGACTTAAATTTATGATGCACTATATTTAGACACTTAAATCACTGGTCTCAAATCTTTCCCATGAGAACAGTCGTTTCAGTACCGCCTGCTTCCTGCCAATCTAGTCCGGTTAAAGAGATGTAATTTCCGCCGAGTGTAGTCCGGTTAAACCGATGTCCGGTTAAAAGGTGTCCGGATAAGAGGGAGTCTACTGTAATGATTTGTAATTTATAGAAACTTATTATAACTACAGTCATAATAAGTTATTATAAGTTATAATATAAGTCTTGTTATTACAACAACTACAGTAATGATAACTACAGTGAACTTCCAAAAATCAGACACTCTGGGGACTGGCTCCATGCCTGATTACTAGAAATTTCGGACTATCCAGTTGTACAGTAAAGTCGCTAGAGGATGTACCATATTAGTGAAAACCGACTTATTTGTGATGGTAATGAGTCAAATTTGTATAACTGTGTTAGAAATAATAGCTTAACAAGCCTAACTCAAAATTAGACCAATAAAAATTAACTCTTTATTTTGCCTGTCTTTCCATTTTGACTTGTTTGAGTCTGTGGTTTGACTAAGGCTCATTGCCTCTAATTGAAATCAAACTGACTCACGTTCACATTTTCACTCGCTTGGCTTAACAACACAGAGACATTAGAAAATTAATTATTCCTAATGTTTTATAATTTCAGTAATATTTCCTTATTGTATTGTAAACATAAACAATACTTGTGTTATAATAAAATATTTATGAACAATTTGTAAAAGTTGTTGTCCGTATCAAGATTTTATAATTTTGTTATCATCTCTACTATCAACTTCAAAGTTCTAAATACTTTTTAAAATAATATCCAAATCATTAAAAACAAGATATTACTTAGTCTCCTTACATCTACAAAACTTAAACTTTCTCGGATGTTAATTTTGGTCTGCCCTAAAAAATTAATCCTTGTGAGAATTGACAATTCATTATTGCATACCCAGTTCCTTGTCAGTTATGTCATTATTCTAAAGTAGTGTTAGTGTTAGGTGAATTGAGATTAGTTGAGTTATGTTAGTTGCAACAATGATTCATCGACAACATTCCTGTAAAGAAGTAATTTAGAAGTAATACATGGTTATGTCATGATTGAAAAATTTAAACTCTTATAGTTAATAGTGAAAGGTATAGTGCCTGTGTAGAGCAGGCCAACATAAAATATTACAATATACATCACGTAACAAGTAATATATTTTTCAATATCAAGTTAAGGTTCCATTTTTAATTTAATTAATAAGAACATGTAGCAAATTAACTATATAACCCTATCATTTAACACGTAAACAAACTAACCTTATGATTGGATTTCCTCCTAAAGCTCTGATTTGCACTTTCAATGCTGATATATCTGATTTTTCTCTCTCAATCAAGGCCTGAAACGACTTTGCGAGGTTTGTCAACTCCTCAGCTTCCAAAGTGACAGCAAGTTCTTCTTTTTTGGCTTCCCAGGATTTTTCAGGGGCTGCAATGGAAAAATTAGTTCATTGAGAAATTAGTGAATTATGCGCAACCCTACGCACATCTAAAATCACACAACCATAAATGCCCAACTGTGAAAATCACGCTGCTTGAACACCTCTAGTAAATACTTTGGAGACGGTGCGTCTGATTACAGCATGACAAATTAGACATTTGACTACTTTTTTTACTTGCCCTAAAACTAGTTTTAATGATTTAAGATATTCCTGTCTATAAGATGGGAAACATCGTATAAAAGGGAGTACAAAGCAAAGTAATCCCTGATGCTTAAGGGGTTAATGATTAAAAGCTAAATACCAATTTATAGGTTTTTTAACCTTAAATCGGACGTAATGATTTCGGCCAAAAACTCCGTGGTCCGATATATTGGACGTCCGTAAAATATCCCGAAAACTCCGACGTCCAAAATATCAGACATCAGTAAAATCAATAGTAGACAAATAAGTCTTAAAATTGCATTCACACTCCAAAAATACCATAAAATTTGTTAAAAATATTAATTCTATTATTTTAAAAATGGCGGCCATTTTCCAAAATGGCGGCCATTTTCCAAAATGGCGGCAAACTAGAAAAGTGGAAAACTGTGTATTTTATGGTCTTTATGGAATGTGGATGCAATTTAAAGACTCATTTGACTTATTTACTCTTCGCATTTTCGCTATAAACCTACTTGTTTAGGGGCTACATGATGTAAAATGTACACCGGAAGTCATTTTTCCTTAGGCTGTAACTCCTAAACGAATGGGTAAAAAATATGATAAAATATAGGGTATTCCGTAAGAAATTTCAAAGTTGGCCGCCATTTTCCAAAATAAAAAAATAAAATCATATTTTTAACTACCACAAAAAATAAAGGAATGTCCCCCATTTAAAGTTTTCTCTAATTCTTACCGTTTCCGATATCCCAATGGTGGCCTCCTTGAGTTGATTACCCTGTACATGTAGAATCTCATAGAGGATAAAAGGAAACAAAAAGTATGCCCCTATCTGTTCAGACAAAAATATACACAAATTTTACCAAACGCTTACAAACATTTTTAAAAATGTCAGGAGTTTTTGGTTAGTACTGTTCCCGGCAAGGTACCGGCATTTTTGGCTAGGACCACAATTTTTTTCCTGGAGTGCAAAGGGTTAAAAGATAGTGAATATAGCACCAAAAGACGTTTAGCTGGGTCTAGACTCTCGCCAACTCTATAGATATACATATACAGTAGTTGGAGTGCCACACTCTTGCAAGCCTTTTGCACTGGCTCCGAATTTCGCTGAATTTATCCTGATCAGCAAAGATTATAAAACTTCTTGAATTTCTTATGTACTTGTTTTTTTTTTTTTTTTTTTTTTTTTTTGCTACAAGACATCTGAGCTCCCTAGTAAGCCATTGAGGGAAGGATGTCTGTTGTACCAGTCTTCTTGGATATTCAAGAGAATAGTTTCCTTTAAGTTGTTGCTAAAGTCAATAAAGGATTCTCCAATGCAGTTAATAGATACTGTAGCAGGGTAGGACTGTTTTTGAACTCACTTATAAACTTGTTCAAGGTTGCACTTGTGATAATCAGGCTCGAGAGTTGTAGGTTGTGCATTACTATTTTGGTGAGCATAAATGTCCAATGTCAAAGCAGGATGGTTATCATCAGGAATAATTAAAGGATCATCAGAAGCAAACACGTTCAATCCAGGATTTAAAGAAAACACTAGGTCAAGCAAACCACTCCTTGCATTTTTGATCCCAATGATTTGTTCCAGATGCAAGTAGTCCACCAAGTCCAGCAAATACTCAGGGGCCTCCTCAAATTTGGAGGCATTGTTCTAATCAACAGCAGGCTGATTAAAATCACCAGCGACAACGATAAGGGCTCCTGGACAAAGAGAAGAACTTACTTTTGTAGCCGCTTCACAGAATGAAGAGTATACTTCAGATGGAGCATTTTGGGGAATATAGGCAGCACCAATCAGGACCGTTAATCTAGGTTGCTGGACATTTGCAAATACATATTCCACATTGGTAACTAAAGAATGGATCTCACATGAGGGGAAGTCCCGATGTAATGTGACCATGACGCCACCTCCAACCTGCTTCCTACTAGTTAGAGGAGATCTATCATGTCTACATATGCTACATATTAATGAGACCCAATTCTGAATGTGATGTACCAGCAAAAATTGATGTAAGCAAATTATCTGGTTAGGAGACTGTGGTTGTGGTTGCTTACTTGTGAGTTTTAACACTAGAAAGTATACTCACGCTTGTTGTCCACAGTGTCACCACCACCACTGTGTTGATCTGTGTTCTCAACCACTGCCTCTACAACTATCTGGTTAGGAGACTGTGGTTGTGGTAGCGGTTGTTGTTGAACGGTTCCTTTACTCTCCCCTGGCTCTTCTACGCTGCGTTGAGATGTCTCTGCTGATCTCTCCAGCACCCGTAATTTTCTCTGATTCACACAATACAGTTGTTAATTATTTTTTAAAAGATAATTCCTGAATAGAATATGAGATGAATCATATTTTTAGGAGTAAACATTGCTCTGTTCTTAATAATTATACAGTGATGATAGAGTGTTCGTACCTAAATCCTCAATTCATGCCAGTACAAGCAGCTGTCGTAAGTCAATTTTAATATTTTTTAATGGCCAACATGAGCTATTATCTGCTGTAGCTACGGCAAACAAATTGTCAACATCAGTAGCAAAGCTTATGTATGCTGTATAACTGGCTGGCCATAATCGTTTACCAAAATCCATGGAACTGGAGACTATCTATTAGCCGACAATAAGAGAATAAATAACATGTTTTGGGAGTTCTGTACTGTATACGCCAACTGGGCTAGTGTGGTTTTGATAGGCCTACCTTGAGTTGTGTGATGATCCTTTGGACCTCCCACAGCTGCTCCTCTCTGCTCTTGGAGCAGAGTCCTGCTAGCATCTCGTTATGTAGCTGGCCAAGCAATGACTCTTGCTTACGAAGCTCCTCTAAAATTGCCTCCTTTGTTTCTGGTAGAGATGGGCTGCCACAGCTCATTGGAGGAATGTATCTATAATGTTTAAATAGGCTAATTATCATAAGGTACTTCGATTGAGACTAGTATGCTCACAGAATAATAACAAGAATTAATTTTAGTAAGTTTCATTTACTTTCAGCTTAGCTCACAGACAGATATCAACAACAACAGAATTTAATAATGCAAGGATAAAATTAAAATGTATTGTTTTTGCATGGGAGCCACTGTAGCAACTACTTTAATGCAGAAACCACCATAAAAATTACTACATTCTACCTACATGTAACAAGTGTTGCATGTAAAGTAGCAAAAATAGCCAAATACAGTGAATTAGCCTGTACTCAGAAAAATAACAATACAATTAATTGGTACTCTTGAGCGATTAAATAGATTTGGTTTTGCTAACTTTAATTGTGTTGAATGTGCTTGAATAACAACATTTATAGTTGGGTATGATGTTAAATAATCTTCACTCAACTCTTAACTGGAAGACAACTTACTTTACAAGTTCGCAGTCAGCAAAGAGTGTGTCACAGTGGCATAGTAGCGCAGAAGTCAGTTTTTGACTAGCTTGTATGACAGTTGACATTGAATTTGCTAGGTTCTGGGCACTCATCTTGTTGTTTTTCTCCTATAAAAAAGTACCATCAAATCAATGATTATGAAATATACGCATGTTATGATGTATTGAAAACTCTGTTTTCTGGTGATGACGACTTTATGTCTAGGTTTGGGTGAGCTTTCTTGATATTAGTTAGCAGTATGCAGAAGTTGTAACTTTAATTTCACTATTATTCATATTTAAGTTGTTTTAAAAGATAATTTTGAGTAGTTATCAATTTGTTTAGTAAATGTACACAAAAATGCCAGCCAAATGTAGGCCTATACATTATTTCTCAGATTATGTACCTATAACATATTTTCAGTGTTGGGAAGTAGCGCGCTACAAGTAGCGACGCTACAGTAGCGCGCTACTTTTTTAGTAGCGTTAGCTGTAGCGTCGCTACTTTTAAGATTTTGTAGCTTTAGCTGTAGCTAGCTACATTTTTAAAGTAGTTGTAGCGGAATTTTAGCTACTTTTCTCGCTACATTAACATTGTTTGAGATAGTGATTTTTACCATAACCTCAACCTTACGTGAAACAACATCTTTCAAACTGAGATTTCCAAAACAATTAGGCCTACTTTCTTGGCTTCATACAGCTGGTTGCAGCCGTTTCATTCCCTATTACAACGTTGTGTGGACATATGGAGGCCATTAAATAAGTGTTATCCACATTTTTAGCTTTCATTTCCTTAATTTACTACTCTATGATTACTGTCAGATAAAATAAAATCGCTAGATGCAGACGACGTTTAAACGTTACCGGTACCAGTGACAAGACAAGCTATTGAATGCTTGCAAGTGATTGACAGGGAAATTAGTAATCAATTTAGTTTCTTTGTTATATATTGATAGTGTTTTAACTAGGGTTTTAATGGAAACCAACACTAAACCTTAAACTAATGAGAAAGCTGGTCTATCAACCTTTGCTTCAGCTGTTGATTGTGGTTCATCGTCACAAGCCCTTCCTTGGTTAGATTACAAAGATTTTTCAAAGGTTTACTAAATTAACAAAGAGGAAATTACCTGATGAGATTTAAAATATGCCTAGACTACATGATAATAGTAACGAAAAAATCTCCATATAACATGAAACTTACATTAAAAAAATAGCATAGTTTGCTCCTGCTAACAGCTCTATTCCTAGGCTATGCTATGATTTAATGACGAATACCAAGTTTAATTATTAGGAATGTATCTGTTTAGTCCTTGCAAGAACAAAGCTACTATAGCCAACTTGTTACATTGCCAAGTAGGCCTACATGTTATTTTTACTTTACAAATTTCAACATGTTTAAATTAAAAGCCGATTTCAGGATAAGTTGCTGAATACTGTTTTCTGTACCAACTAGGTTGAAGCACAATTTGCCCTATGCATAATGACAATAAAGGACGATTTCTTGACATTGAAAAGTGTTATTCATAGAACAAGTAACTTATCACTATGGTTAAAAGTTATAGCAATGTCGTTTTTAACATTTAAAGTAAAGAAAGAAAAAACACTCCAATTTCAATAGGCTTGGCTCGGTAACACAAAAAAGTATTTTTAAATCATCGTTTTACAGTTTAAGTGGTCTTAATTGTTGATATAAGACATATATAAATGAATCTATATTAAAGATTTAAATTAACTTTTAAAATATAGTTTGGTTGTATGTCCTTTGAACTTAATGAAATTTACATATAAGATGCTTAAAAATAATGTAATATTAAAAAATAAGTACTAAATATGATGGGACACCCAACTATTTGATGCTGTTTTTGTAATGTTAGGTTTATAATGCCAACAAATTAAATAAAATCTAGGAATAATTTGTTTTCTAAGTAATGTTAGATACAATACTGACATTTCTTGTTTAAATGTTTGTTCAATAAAAATGTTGTTGCAATTAATTTTACATTTACCTAATGTGCGTGGAATAAAAAGTAACGTCTTTGGGAAAGTAGCTAAAACTGTAGCTGTAGCTACATTTCATTGTAGCTGTAGTTGTAGCTAGCTACTTTTTCGGAACTGTAGCTGTAGCTGTAGCTAAGCTACTTTTTTGGAAATGTAGCAGTAGTTGTAGCTAGCTACATTTTAAAAGTAGCTTCCCCAACACTGCATATTTTAAGTATTTGGAATAAAACTTTATCATGCACAATAAATAGTAGTATTGACTAAAAGTCAATCATAGTACTTTACTAAGTTAGTTTAAATGAAATAAAAAAAAATATTTCCTCACAAAAACCAAAGTAGAAAGTTAGGCCTATATTTACATGTTCAGTGACGTGGTGGAAGTGTTTGATGAGCCAAGCGAGCAGTTGGCGGTTGCAGTTTGGTAGTTTGTCCACAAGATATTTGAGTTCATATGATCGTGCAGATGGCTCTTTGATTGCAGCTGCTTCCTCAAATTTAGCCAACAGCTCGTTGGTTAATATGGGTTCAGGCAGTTCCCTAAATACCATTAATTTGATTAACAATAATTTGTAGCTTTGAATAATTCCTTGTAGACATCAGAAGAACAACCAAGTACGTGAAAGACTAAATTATGCAATCCCCATCAGACAGTTCAAAACAAAATGTTTGTTCAGGAAGTGTTTTACTGTTAGAACACCACCGTCAGCTTCACGTACTAGTGAAGTTGCACAGTTGGAAAGCTCGTGTTGTAGGGCCAACCAAAACCAACAAATAAATGTTTAAACAGTTGACATTCAATTTTACAAACAAGCCTGTTGCGACACATTATACAGACCAGACAGATAGCATGAATCACACCAATTCCATTAAAATTACAAATTAGTCAGATAAGGACCAAATCAATAACTACAGAGTGAGGTTAGGTTCATCTTACCTCAGATATGTTTTCAGTAGACTAGTAGCCACAGGGACATCATAGTCTGCTAAGTTGACTGCTTCTCTTTGGTTATAAAGTCTGCGTAAACTCTGCACTTTAGACTTTCCGCTAACTTTGTATAACCCATCAAAGTTTAAACCTGAAACAATATTTAAACTACAATTATTGGTAATAGGTCCAAAGAAAATATTATCAAAAGACAAATAATTGTTCACCCCTGTAAGTCAGAACATTTTTGTAAGTATTTGTTACTTTAGGTTCACCCTGAATCAATATGTTTCTAAAAGGTTAGGTTGTTCTTTTCAATTAATAGTGGATTTTGAGGCTATAATTAGATAGCGGGACAGTAAACTCAATATTTGCAACCAATCAATTTATTTTTACCAACTATTTTACCTGACTATTGCATAAAGAAGTTGGTTTTTGTCATCAAAATGTCATTTCAATCAAGTAGTAGCTCCTTTGGGCAACACTAATATTGACATTAAGTTTCATGAAGTGGGGAGATTTCTTTGGAGTTTATGAAAAAATGTTTATATTTAGATAGATAAGTAGAACTGTGTAGGCCCCTACTGCACTAGATAACAGAGCAAATAATGCAAACTCACCAACTTCCTGGATGTAATCAATGCAGTCTCTCACCACAAGAGGAATGTCCACTCCGTCATGACATCTGCTGCGTTCTACTGCCAAAGACAGAGCCACACCAAACACTGGCTGTTCCTCTGTCAAAAAAAAAAAAATACTCTTACGGTTATATAGGCTAAACAATTTGGCTTTTCCACCTTCCTATACATAGCAACAATAATAGTAAACCTTTCCTTTTTTCTACTTTGTTCAGTTAATTTCCTATAGGGAATAATCTTTTACTATTCTACTGATAATAGCCTTAGTCTCATAGTAAGAACTAGACCCGGGAAGGTTAACTTTTTTTGTTTTGATGTCCCCAGAAGACGAAAAGACTATTTTTGTAAAAATGTTTGTAAGCACAGTGTAAAAGGTTAGGTGTTTGATAAGCCAGGCGAGCAGTTGACGGTTGCATTTTGGTAGTTTGTCCACAAGATATTTGAGTTCATACAATCGTGCAGATGGCTCTTTGATTGCAGCTGCTTCCTCAAATTTAGCCAACAGCTTGTTTGTTAGTATGGGTTGTTTTGTAAGTAAGTAGGTTTTATACATCAAAATAAAGCAAAAATTAATAATCATGGTAATGTATACACCAGATGGGTGGACCATCTTAAGTGTGACAATTGCTATTTTTTATGGGACACTCGCCTGTATTTTTAAAATGTGTTTTGGGATGGTTTAGAATTTCAAAAATATGACTGTCATTTTTAAATATGCCCAAAAACTTAAATATTTCTTTTGGAACACCCTGTGATTGTTTTAGAATGTAGCATTTACATTTAAGATTTATTAACTCTTGAAATTTTCTCTTACTGGGGTTTTTAATTTTTTTCCTTAAAACATGTAAATGGTGAATTTTCATTATATTATTCTATTCATATAAAAGATTAAAACTGTTGTAGTTTACTTATTTATGAATAGGGCCTATATATTTTGATCAAATTTTGCATATTTATTGATTTCATTCTATTCTATTAACATTAAACCAAAAATATACTTTTTTCTTTCCTGTAGCAGCAAATATAGGTAAGTAAGGTACTTGTTAAATCTAATGTTATTTACATGGGAAATAAATCTGACATGTTTAAGGTAATATTTAAGGGGGGGAGCAAAATGTTAGAGGAAATGACTAGTCTGTCTCTTTTCTATAGTCCATTACGAGCACCACTGATATTATTTTAGGTAAGTTTTGTTATAGGTATTATATTTTTAAAAACAAATGTTTGACTGGTGACCTTGTGTGGAGGTGAGGTGTGTATTTACATTGATAACACCTACACCTCTTGTGCAATGCTACGTTTGCCCTACTTTTTAAAGCAACTTGACTGTAACAACACTCAAGCTCACGTACTTGTGTCTGACATATGGATAAACAGTGAGTGAAACATTCATCACGAAAATATACAACCTACTTGTGTTAAGTTTCTTTTAAATATGTTAATACAAAAATAAGAATGAAAAAAATAAATCTTATGCAATTTTATAACTAGTAAAAGTTCAAATGGTTTACTACATTTATTATTCACATCACTTATTTTTCTTTTGTTGTAAAAATAATAACAGGGTGGTCATAAATTATTGGACACATTTTAAGATTATATAAACAAATAACCTAGTATCTTAGAATCATGGGAACTGTTTTATTGAATAGCAAATTTAAAACAGTTTCATACAGTAACTGCAAAACAATTATTAGGTATATAAATGTCAGTAATTATAAAAAGTGGTAATAAAAAGTGTGCAAAAATCACGCAAACTGTGAGTGTAAGTTATGGTTTTTTCTCAATGACTTGTGTTGTGGCATAGTCAGCATGGCAAAACCTTCAATGGACCTTTCTACACCAGCTGTGTATGACATTTGGTGAATCAAACCTTAAACTGACTTAAGTAGCCTAACAAAATTACTTCCGTAGTGTGCAATAACAAGCAAAGTCTTTGGTTTGATGAAAGCAAATCTGTAATAACTGTTCGAAGAAGGCTTCGTTTTGAGTATGGCTGTAAATTTCCGTGTAACAATTCTATAAAATGGTGGTACAGACAGTCCAAACTACTGGGAAGTGTCCAACATACACAAATAAAGTCCTCATCTCAGAAGAACATAGCTTACAATAACAGTGCTGACATTTTAAAAATTAATTTTTTACAGTTACTGCATAAAACTGTTTTAAGTTTGCTATTCAATGGAAAAATTCCCATGTTTCTATGTTGGTGGGTAATTTATTTATTTTACCTTAAAATGTGAGGGTACAATAATTTATGAGCAACCTGTATATTATGTTAATTATCTTGGGAAAATATTAGCAATGATAAAGTTTAAAATTAGTTATGTTTATTGGTTTTACTAACATGAAAGTATGGCAATCTGAAACTTGGCTAAATGCTGAGATTTATTAACTATCTAGGCTATGAGTTTTGAGCAGGAAAAATAATTTCTCTACAGTACATGCATGTATAATGAAAATTTTAAAAAATAAATGTTGGTGACAACTTTTATAGGGAAAAGATGTAGGTAAGGAAAATGTCAAAGTACTCTGTAGCAGCATAATGAAAAACAAGGTTGTTAAAATTAGTAAAGCCATTTGTAACCCAGACTAAACAAATAATTAATTAACCTGCAATCTTTCTAGATCAAACATTTAAATTGACACACAATTTGTTTTAATAACTACTGAATAAATACAAACACATCTATTGTTTTAAAGTACATAAAAACAAACAATAAACTGTATGTAATAATTCAATTACATCAAAATGATTTAATTCCTACTGTTCATTCAGACATTACTAACTAACAGTATTGTGGCAGCTTACTCTGTTTTCTGGTGTTTCTAAAGCTCCTGGTCCGTTGGAAGTACCTCATGATACTGGCTCATGTGACCTTGTGAGACAGATAACCATCTCTGCCACAGTACCACACACATGTGTCACCTGTAGACTATAACTATGGTAGCCATCAGCACCACTAACGCCACCTCACCAAACGTAAGTCACTCTCACCTGCTATTTCCAAACTATCCTCTCCGTGCTTCAGCTTCTTCTTATCTTTTTTTATTTTGATTTTAGTATCTTTCTTTTTGTCTTTGTCCTTATCGTTATCTTTTTTCTTCTCCTTGTCTTTGTCTGCCTCTTTGTCCTTGCCATCTTTCTCCCTTGACTTTTCCCTCTTCTCTTTTTTGGTAGTAGGGAACTTAAACGGCTTTGACTTTTTTATTTTGGACGGACTTCTGAAAGATCATTAAAAAACTTATTTAGAAAATTAAATGCTAAATTATGGTTTGGTTGGATCCTGTATAAAAAATATGTTAGAGTAAACTTAAAAATCTATTATAAGGCCAACAAGCACCTCCAATACAACTTAATTACTAATTTTTTCTCATATCTCCATATAAAATATCAATTAGCCTACTATAGTATTTCTAAAAAGTATTTGTAGTGTTATAAAGAAGTTTAAAACGATCTTTTATTTTGTATATTATGTTTTGTTTTATACTTTAAATAAAGTTTTAAAACGAGTTACGAATGTTTATGTTTAGCTATCTTGGTGTAACTGAATCAGTAGCCAATGGATTTCAAATTAAGGAATAAATGTGATATTTTTAAGGAGACATTTTAGTGTAAATCTAATCAGGCAAATGGAAATTCGCTTAGTCTGCAGGTTTGCTGCGGCGGGGGTATTTTTACCTCTAATCCTATATTAAAGTCAATAATTATAGGTAATTCAACTGCCAAAATTACTTGAAAAAATAATAAGAGAAAAACAAATAACAAAAATTACATAAAGACATGATGAATAGAATCAGCTGTTTATTGTAAACACTATAGTAATTGAGTATAACAGTTGTTCTACGCATCACACTTCTAGACACAACGAATTGACACAGCTGATCCAGTGACTTATCAATTTTTTTTCCTACAGTTACCTAACAATGTTCATGTTCTCTCACTGATTTGAGAAAGCAAAGTGGCCAATTCGCTCATCAGTGAGACAATGTTAACATTGTCTCACTCTAATTACTTTGTCTCACTCCAGATTTGCAACGTGAAGGGACAAAATAGTGAGCGCGTGACATGCAAACAAGCTCGTATGCGAAATACGTTGGCAGCACTGGCTGTAAATCAGCTGGTCAGCTGTTGTATTGTTGTATTTGTCACTTCACATTAAATATTATATTAAAAGTTCACTTCTGTGTAAAAATATGTTACGTTTCTTCACCAATTTGTTTGTTTTATGGTAACTGTAGGAAAAATATAATGTGCAACTCGAGTGCAAATTACAATTGCCTCACTCGAGAAACCATTCGAGTAAGGATTTCTCTCGAGTGAGTCAATTGCTCACTTTGCTCACTAGTTGCACAAATAATATTGTCTGCGAGTTTCTCGTTGAGTTTGATAATTTCCTCAGCTTGTGTTGTCTGAGTGATTTTAATTGAGTTAATTTCAATTTGGAATTTATTTTGACCTTCACGATTTTCTGAAATTTGAGTTTGTAGTGCATTTTGGCAAGCTTGAATTTCTAGGCTATTAGCATCAACTTTATCATCGAAGCTTTGAGTGAGTTCAACTTTTAATGCATTAAGTTTGCTGTTGATTTTACTATTAGTTTCTGCTTTAATTTCGGCAATTGATTCTTCAATTTTGTTACTCAATTTAGTGTCTAATTTGGCCATGAGAGCAACCAAAGTGTTTATGTCTGATGGTGCGATTAGTGTTGATGTGACAGTAGGATTTGTTGTCACCGGTGCAATGATAGTTACGTTAGATTTGTTTACGAGACGTTACTGTATATATTAAATATTTTAACGTGCTCATATAACATTTAACTTCTGAGAGTAAAAAGGTCATTAATCAATTTAGGCACAGTTTTTAAATATATATTTTTTACTGTAAATTGTATACGTGTAAATGATACAAAGGGTTGCCTATTTCATGATGTGTTGGCTGATTAAATAGAATGTGATAACGTATAAACTGGTTATGAATGGATTTTTACCTATTTTGTTGTGACTGAATAAGTGTATAAAAAAGGAACGTAATTTCATATAGGGAATAAGCTATTACCGTAGTTCTTACGGTAAGACCTGGACCCGGGACCGATTTACTTTTTCGTTTTGAGGTCCCTAGAGGCCAAAAACACCATCCGTTCAAATTCATATACAGTATAGGGTGTCCAAAACCACTCGTACATCCCTTTAAAAACGAGGGAAACCTTTTCTTACAAACAAAAAATAATACAGAACGAGACAAAATGGGTACGGGTTTAATTTCAGCATTTGATTCTTCAATTTTGTTACTCTAAATTTAGTGTCCAATTTGGCCATGAGAGCAATCAAAGTGTTTATGCAAGTGTTTATGTTGGGATGGTGCAATGATTGTTGATGTGACAGTAGGATTTATTGTCACTGGTGCAATAACAGTTACGTTAGGGTTGTTTACGAGCCATCACTGTGTGAAAGACAGCTGATTTAGTTTACATGGTTCGTCGACTATGTTCAGGAATGATCGGCTATGTTCGGGAATGATCGGCTGTGTTCTGGTGTCTGAGTTATTGATCCGTTATGATCAATGTGACCTTGGCCATTGCATTGCTTCTTGGAATCATCTAGTCTGCTAGACAGTCCATTTGTAGGAATGTGAATACTAGCGTCTGATTGGTCCATAGACTGGTTGCTTTATTCCTCTGTGTGTTCAAATGTCTTTTGTTGTGTTTATTTTTGTGTGATGTCATCAAGATGGCGTTCCTCTTCCATTTCAGTGTCAGTGCTGTTGTAGTCGTAATCCGGGTTTAGGTATTAAAAGTGTTTATACGTTCTTTATACGTTATACGTTGTTTATATGTATAAGAAAAAAGTGTTTATACGTTTAGGTCTAAAGTTATATCCATTCTCGGCCATGATTAATTATTAAACTGATTATGCGAGTAGTGCGTGATTGATTAATGTTTTGTAGTATGGTTTTGTGTTGTCGTTGGCGAATGTAAATTACGGGACGTTCAATTAAATTTGGGTTCTTATAATCTAGTACAACTTAAAGATAGCGTAGATCGAAAATTGCAATATTTTATGACTACCGTAATATATTATTCAAAAGCCCCATGTTGGGAGCCAAATTTGCTACGCACAGGAAAACTTTCTATATATGTCTATTTATTATTGTTAGCTGGCTCTTTAAGAGATTTACCAAATTCTTTTGGCTGTGAACTTAGCCCTCACTGAACTCTATTTCTTAATAAAGATCATTCCTAACCAATGTTTTATTTATTTGTCTGATGAGGTAACTTAAGTCTTAATTTTAATGTTATAATAGATGAATTACTTTAAGAATAGATAGGTTTAGTAAGTTAAAATATATGATTTACTAAGAGAATCACAAATATGCTGGTTGGATTCTGTGGGGACTAACAATGGTAACTTACAAAATGGCGGGGCTTCCAAAAGTGGATGAAAGATTCTAGGCTTAAGTGGCATGTGTTTGTTTCTTCAATTATATGTGTGATAACCAATAAATAAATATAATTTAAGCTCTTTAATCTCAGGGAGGGGTGGTCGTGCCAATTCGAATGGTATATTAGGCTTTATGCAGCGGCAAGCGTTTAGTTCAGTTCCTGGCGCCGTCCCGGCATCTAGCGGTCAGCAGAGAACGTGTTTAACTCTTAACAAAACATTACAACCCCCATTACTGTGAAAATTATGGCAGAAAGAACACTCACAATTGTGAAATTATGGCAAAAGTTACTGCAGCTTTTGTAAATTTTCCCATAAAAGTCATGAGTTGTTGGAAGAAATAGCCAATGGGAGAAAGTAAGTGTTAGATTGCTGATAGGCCTACTGTTCATCCCCACTGTAAAACAAGAAATGGACGAATATTTACTTTAAAAAAGTGTTGCAGTTACTGAATCAAACTCAATGTAAATGTTAAATAGGGCACCTTAGTGAATCAAATCTGGTAACCCCAATGACTGATAATTGAAAACATCTTAGGTACCTACCAGAAAACCACGACCTCAATTTTGCATAAGATGTTGTGTTGCACAGTTTGATCGTCTTATCATGGATAGATGATGGAATTAAGTGTAGTAGGTATTCTTAGATTTAGATAACACTAGATAACACGTTGCTCGAAATCGAGCAAAACTGAAACTTGTATGTAAAAAATAATCCAAAAACATAAACAGCAAGACCTTAATCAAAGAATCGCTCTAAAATAATTTATATGACTGATTATAGAAATATAAAAATATTATGATGTAAAAAATATAAAAGTAATCTACAATATTTAAATTTACATTCACTCTCATACTGCTTTGGTTATCTCTTAGAAGGCGTGCACTCTATGAGCAAGTAGATGTCAACCACACACTGTAAAGTGAGCTTTTGACCTAATGTAGCTCAATTCCTCTCTTCACGCCAACCATGGCTACTCTTATTGTAGCATGTTAAATTATTTCTTTGATGTGTTCTGTTTTATGCTTGTTTAAATTAGAGGCCCCAACCCAAATCTCCGGTTGGGAACATAAGAGGGTTAGCAAGTGGATCTAACGACAGATCTAGAATTGAAACGCGTTTAACATTATTAATGTTGGAAAAAACTATACGATTTATTTGGCCAGGTGGTGCTTTTATTTTTCAGCTTTAAAAATTGCTGCAACATCTACACAGGTAGCACCATTGTAGTGAAGCGAGGCAAGACACTTCTTCTGTCTCTTATTATGTACATAAGAATCTCATTTGACTCCTCGGTGCTCTCGTCCCTAAATAATGTCTGCCACAGTCTTCAAAGATTTGCAAATGGGTTGGCATTGTGACCCTATTTCCCGCATATTTTTTATTGAATTTTTTGTTTGAATTGTGCTTAATTCTCCTTTGGGTTCTAGAGACATTGTCGTACTTACTTATATATCTGTGCGTATTCAGGATCATCACCTTCTTGAGAAATTAGAGGACCCACTCGATGTGGTAAAACGTGTCACGGATCTTAAAATTGTAGATCCCCTGTGGATCTTTCTCATCTTAATGAGCTTCGGAGCTGACCATGGTAAAGGCAGAATTGAATTGACGAACTTTATCCAAAAAAATTCTGGTTTTAAGTCTCACAGTCCTATTTTCAGATTGGGAGTTTCCAATAAGAACCTGGTGAATTGCACAAATGAGGTAAACGAACCTTTCATTTATGGCAACAAAGAGTAAAAACTTAACTTAACTGTCTCGGGGTAAAAACACAGTGGAGCAGGGCAGGTAACTGGTAGCCTGGCCGGTCGCTTAGTCGCTTACTGCGATGTAGAATTAAAGCACGCGTTGTTATGGGTACGCACACAGTCGCGCCTATCAGGTAGCCGACATGGTAGCAGTAAGCTAGGCGGCAAGCTAGAAGAATTGCCAAGTCGATTGTTTGGGAGCTGCAAGCGGGGAAGGCTTGACTTGGGCATGCGCAAATGGCAGAACTTTACAGCTACGTGATCTCTAGTGCGCAAATTCCACGCGGGATCTTTCACTGTGCATTCTTTGTATACGAAGTGTTGTTTGTTTTAGTTGATTTATTTAGTTTTTGTTTTGTTTACATGAAATAAAAAAATGGACGTAGACAAATTAAAATCAGAGGTTTTATCCGTGTGCCTTTGTGGAACCAAGCCCATCGACCACCAGAACCGTCACGTACTCGACGATCTATAGAATGAAATAGCAAATAAACTAGGATTCAAACATAAGTTTATCCTATCCTACTAATATTATAAGTGATAATATTAGTATCGGCAGCTGACAAGCGACTGTACTGAGCGCCACTGTGTGCATGTCCCAGCTACCCTCCAGGTAACCAGCCGTTAACCCTAGCAGTGGCCGATCAACGTCTGGTGACGATCTGACGTTGATGCTTAGAATGGCCAAAGTCGTCTTGTGACGATCTGGGCCGAAAATTTTTTAGCGGTAAAAAAAACACTTACAATTAACTCAGATGAGAATAATATATATACCATTCGAAAGATCACATTCTGAACTTTCATTTTATTACATAAACAAACCCTGTAGCAGGTATATAACAATGTCACGACGATTAGAAATCAAATGAAATTTTGACGCGGCACGACTTTTGCAGCCGACACTTGGGAACTGGCAAAACACGTCTTGTTTGGCATTACCCTGCTTGGGTAATTTTCGTCGTGGGATGTTGCGAGTGGTACCACTGGATAGCCATTGATTTTATCTTCATTGTGGCAGTAATATTTAGAACGAAATATTGATTGCACAAACGGTACGATTTTATGAAAACAGCTGTTTTCGAAATTTGTAAGAAATGGCAGATGGTCGTCAGGTGACGATGTGGAAAATACGAATTACATACAGTGTAATTTATTATTACTAGTCATATAGTATGTCATTTTGAAGAGGAAGAAATTTAGATTCAGAGAGTGGCAGCCCTGCACTCAGGGTTATTATTTCTGTATGCTCGCATGTAGACGACGGAAGTGAGTCATTACTGCTACAGTCTGTCAGCTGCAGCTGTCTTGTATTCACCATTGTTTGTTTGTGTTGTTGCCGCTAATAGTCTTCGTTCTCGTGTTATCCGCGATTTATTACTAAATATGTTATTAGTTCGTAGTGTTAGTGTTAGTGAAGTTTGTGTGTGTGTATAACAGTAATCTTCATGCATAAATATTACTGAATTGTGTGAAATAGTGTTCATAAAAGGTTGTATTTTGTTAGCATCATGTCCTAAAATGACGATTCTGACATTCAGAGATTGTTGTAAGAGACGGACCTTAGTTCGCCATGCTATATATGCTATATAATGATATACCCAAGGTGTTATACATTTTTATAAAGGTAAATGAATACACTACAACATGTTTATAATGGTTTGGGGGTAAAAAATGTTGTAAAAAAGTTGTAGCCTATACTAAATACTACTGTATTTTGTTAGCATCATGTCCAAAAATGACGATTCTGACATTCAGAGGTGCTATATATGCTATATAATGATTTACCCAAGGTGTTATACATTTTTATAAAAGTAAATGAATACACTACAACATGTTTATATTGGTTTGGGTGTAAAAAATTTGGTAAAAAAATTATATAGGCTACTAAATACTGCACACTCCATTTTCTCGAAATGCGCAAAAAATTCAAAACGTTCTCAAATTGATACATAATCATAGGTGAAAATAACTTTTTACCATCATACTTATGACTTTTTTGGATTCCTTACTTCATTAGCTTTACAAATATGTAGGCTACATATCATTAGCCTACATAATGTTTCACAACACAAACAAACACTGTAGGCTATAGTTTACACTTATTTGTGGTTTGCGGTTATTGTATTATTATGTCCCTATTACGTACCTACAAAAAAAATATTTCTAACATGTTATAAATTTTTATGTAGGTAATTGAATACACTACGAGATTATTATGTTGGTTTGAAGTAAAAAAATTTGGTAGGCTACAAAAGTTGTAAACTAAATACTGTGAATTTTTTTTCTCGAGAAATCGCTAAAATATAAAAACATTATTTTTTATACGTATGTTTATAGGTAAAAAATTATTTTTACCATAAACTTTATGACTTTTTTTTATTCCTTACTTCATTAGCTTTACAAACATGTATATATCATTATTAGTACACACATATATTATAGAACTTTTACAACATAAACTAACACTACGGTTTTCAATTTTTTCGGTTCTCCGTTTGTCATTATATTTTGCCCCAAAAACTAAAAAAAAAATATTTTCCTAACATGTTATATATTTCTATGTAGGGAATTAGATTGTCTACAAAATGTATATAATGAATTTCCCATAAAAAATCCGTAGGAAAAAAAATACCGAGGCCGCTTTTGAAATTTCAAAAAAAAAATCAATTTTTTTTATTTTTTTCACTTTACCGATAAAATACACTGTCTAAATCATTATGATATTACTATTTCTAGATTCAAAAAAAGGTCTGCAAAATCACCAAAATGGGTTGACCATTCCTCACTTCTAACATTGGCCACTGCTAGGGTTAATACGGGGATCAGCGTATTTGCAAGTATGCGACCTGCCCGGCTCCACTGTGTTTTTACCCTCGGCCAGTCTTTTCTTGCTTCAAAATATGTAAGCCACTACAATGTAAACATTTAACGTTCATTTGTCCGAGATTGAACTATCACAACGGTGGCACTACCACTATGTACCTGTCAAATGTTTAATTGAGAGGTTGATGCTAGCGGTCATGTTTGCGTTCCCTCCAGCCACTCACAGTTCTTCGCCGGCATTTGATTTTAAATTGAAATGAAATAAGGAAGTTAACCAAACAACAGAAAACACTATAAAGGAATTGGAATTTTGATACACATTGTAAATTACATGATAATATGGTAATGTAACGGATAACTGCCCTGCGAATAATCACTTTTAAACATTCACTTCATAACATCGAACTGTAACTACATGATAATCAGTAAAATATTATGTAAGGTAAATCAATTAAACCATATACAAAAAGAATTATTGAATATTTTTTCTTAAACTCTTCATTATGAACCAGACTTAGTTAACAGATTGAAACAAAATATAAATTCCAGCTTTGCTCTGGAAGTTTTAAGTCCTGCAGTCTGTGGTTATTGGTTAACCTTAAAAACTATTTCAAACTACGTCCATATGTTATTTGTAAACAAAGGGAAATGAGTTTGATCAAATGTCAACAGATAGCGCCACCTTCCAAACTTTAGCCCTTAAGTGTAACTTAAGTGGTGCCCTTTCTAAATATTCTGAGACGTATTTGCACATCTACGTGAAAATACCTTTATTTTGACACCTCAAACGTTAAAATCCATCAAGCCGTTATCGAGTTATAACTGTGAAAAGAAAACTGCTTGCGTATTAATATATAGATTCAGAAGATAAAAGTGATTTTGTGCCTGTTAGTTAGCCTATAATGATGATTAATTGACTACATCATTATCATATAAACTAACTTTTCATCCTCAGAGTCAGGTTAACTAGATCCTTTTAAATAGAGTTTTACAAGAAAGTGTTAGACAAAGGCTAAGAGATAGCCTAAATTATGCAAATTAAAACTTACTTCACATCAGTGTCATCTTCAGGTGAACTTTCTCCTTCTAGTGTTGCATATCGCAAGTCTTTCTTTGTGTCTTTTTTGTCTTTCCGCTTACCGATTAGTAAATCCTTCTTAGACACTCTTTCGTGAGCTTCATCACTGACTAGATATGAGAACAAAAAATTACCAAGCATGTTTATACAAAACAAATAATTACTGTAGGCCTATGGTCTAATGATTGGGACTAATGAGACCAAATCTTCAAAATTGTAAAAATTAAAAAAAAATAATGAGGTAAGTTACCGTACCTATTTACACTGCTGGGAAAAAATTAGTTTACTAAAACATGCATGGTCTTAACCAAGTCTACATTTTATGATAGCCAAGTGTAAATGGTAGTAATAAAATTAAGGAGGGATGCTAAAGAGGAATAGTGGTAAAACTTAGACATCTGACTCCAATGTATAAATTTACAAAAAAATATTGAATAAAATACTATTAGGTATTTTCAATCATATAAATAGTAAATCTATTATTTTTATAGCCTATAATGTTTTATGCTACCAGTACACTACCGCCGAACATTTGCCCGAATGTTCAGGTCGGATTGCGACCGCGAATATCGACAAATGTGCAACCTGAACCACCCCGGACTAATTAAGTATCCTACATTTTCGGCTGTCTTCGGCCGATCTATGAATATTGCGTATTCGTGGCAAAACATTCACGCCAAACTTTGTGCAGTATGGGCGCTGACGTCGAAGACTATTGAAGACAATTCTAGAATTTCCGATTGGTTCTAGACACCACTTGAATGTATCCTATGTTTCTTTTCTGTGGCTTAGTAATTTTAAATTAATGCTCACTTTTTATTAAAATGTTGGTTCTTTTCCGTTAATTAACTACCACACTACTTTTTTTTAGGCCTACGGTATTGCAATTCCGATATTCTAGAACAGTTAGCCTAGTCTATGAATATATCAATTATAAAGTGAAACTATTCTAAGCTAACCTAACCCACCAAACTTACTGTTTATGATCAAAAATTCTGGTAGTGAATAAACGGAATTTCAATAAACAAAAGTAGTGGTAAAAAAAGGACCTAAATGTTTGTTTTCTTAAGCGATATTTAATTTTAAATAAGCATTATTAAATATAATTAAATTATCCTACGGCCACAGAACAGGCTCACTATGCTATGGTATAGTTCCAAAAACAACAGTGTTACCTCATTAGACTACTCCATACTTTGTGCAATTTATCTCTAAGATCTAGTACTATTTTAAATAATTACATAGTAACTTAACAATTAAAAGTAACTTTAACTACACAACTACTGCAGTAAATACTGTAGATAGAGAGCTCCCGTGACTACGATTGACAGGGAGTGTGTACTGGCTGTGTTCGTGCCCGTCTGGGCTCGGCATTTGTCCTAGTTTGTCTTCTTTGATCTGTGACGGGAGACCACCAAAAAGCGAACGCACCTGAACACGAACGTAGGCAATGCCAAATACCCCGATTGTACACGAGCACACCGAGTACACTGTCGTGCTCGTCTTAGTTCGCCTACATTCGGCAATAGTGTGCTGCAGGCAATACAGAACCAGCAGAGCTGAGAAACAGGTTAATTAACGCATAAACTCAACCATAAACATTTAAAATGTGGTAATACTGTAAAATATTGTCCTAGGAAATCTTAAAAAATACATACAGTAGGCCTAATTTAAAAAGCATTAGGCCTACTTAAATCCTACTAATAAAAAAAAAAATTTAGTATATTGAAGCATTGTTGTATGCCTAAGGGTTACGGAGAATATTCGAAAAAAAGGCAAATTTAAAACTCCCATGTTATTCTTATGGAGAAAATGAAAACTGTTGTAGTTGACTTGTTTATGGATATATTTTGATCAAATTTGGCAACTTTATTTATTTCATCCGATACTATTGACGTTAGGTCAAAAAACACTGTTTACCTTCCCCGTAGCAGCAAACCTAAGCACTCGTTAAATCTAATATTATTTAAATTGGGAATAAATATGTCTTATTTCAGGAAATATTTTAGTAAAAATTTAATCAGACAAGTTGAAATTCGCTTAGTCTGCAGGTTTGCTGCGGCGGGGTTATTTTATTTTTTAGGTGCAGTGGTAAAACATTATGGCTATGGTGGATGTGCTATACTACTGTAGAGCATACCGTAAATTAAAAGAATCAAATTTAGTTACTTAGGTTAGGTTAACCTAACTAACCAATCTTGATATAAGTACCGGTATCGAATGAAATAATTGATATATCTATCGATACATTCATTAAATTTTTGGTACTTTGGTATTATCTGGAGGCCACCCTTATACAGCGCGCTGCGGCGGTTATGTTAGGTTGGGTTATCATAAATATGTTTGTATGACATTCCTCGTTTCGTTATGAAGGGACGTAACCAGATGAGTCATACTTTCGCCAGCCAAATCCCCTCCTAGTAGGCCGAGGTAAGGTCGTTGACCGGAGCATGTGCATCAACTGTCACCACATGTATCTGAGATAGTGTCCTGAGTGATGACTCATCTGGTATCATTCGATTCATAACGAAACGAGGAAAGTCAATACAAACATATTTATGATAACACAACCTAACATAACCGATGCAGCTTACTGCATTCAACTCAAATACTCGCCAACATCACTGCCTTCTGGGAGGCAGAACTCAAAGGCCGCTAATTGTATTCGTTTCAAATTTGTACAGTACCTAAGTCAATTAAAGTGCTAATTATAACTTAATTGTTTCAAATTTGTACGGTAAGTAAATTAAAGTATGTTCTTTCCAATCATGTAGTTATTTTTAAACTCTGGTACAAGTTAAAATAGATCCCTTTAAAATAAGTAAGGATAATACCAAAGTGACCAGTTGGTTTGGCCTCAATTATGAAAGTCTACCCCAGGGAGGGTAATAAAGTGTGTTTTTTATAGTGGAATAGATTACAGAATAGGACCGAAACCAGTTTGAGTCGGGTGGGGCGGGGCATGCGGCATCCAATCAGATTTTAGAAAACTGTCCACTGTTGCCAAGTTGTGCCACGCACTCGCACTCAGTCTCTGCCCGATAGCCGACCTGTGCGTTTCTAGTATACCCTCCTGTTTTGTCAAGAATTTGTCTGTGAACTGTGTTTTGCCCAATGAATACGGACAATAGTTTGTGACGTGGACGACCACGAGTACACGTGAAACGTTTGCGATATCGTAACGTCGGACGTGGTGTTCCTTTACGTGCGCAGGCAATTTCCAGTGCAATGTAATAATATTTTCTAATAAAAATAGTTATGTCATTTTGACAATAAATTGGCAGTTATGTTATCTATTTCCCTTTTTACCTGGTATGTTTTTTGAGGATTTCTAGAGTAACTACATTAGACGTTTTTTTTTTTTGTTAAAGAAGATTGAATATATGACTATTTTAATGAATGCAACACATTACGTAATGTATGTAAACGGTAGTTCAATTTTCTTATATTCAATATAGGCTAAAACTAACTGACTTTTTTGTCAAATCACAATATTACAGAAATGTCATTGTCACTATTGAGCTACCTGTTCTCCAAAAGTGTAAGTTCAGTCGAGTGGCAATAATAAGATTAACGGAGTGAGGGTCACAATAGGTGTTCAAAGAAAGGTAGCTTTGGGGTAATTCCTAAACATTGCCCAACTTCGTTTCCTAAACACAACCAAACTATATTGCTGTAAATGTTTAACCCTTAATTTGGCAAACAAATCTTTTTTTGAAAACTACTTTTTCCTCGCAATATTTCAATCAAAAGGGTCCAAAGGAACTTCAAAAAAATTATTTTAAAATTCTTATAAGTATTTTTCACAATTTTTTCATGTGTGCCATTTTTGGCACTTTGCCAAAGATGCGGAGATTTCTCTAGGAATCTTATGTTGAATTAAATACAACAAGTTTATCTGTATAGCACTTAAAAATAAACTTTAGGGTTTGAATAAGTCGACATTATCACATATTGGATATGAAAATTGTATAACTATAATTATATGTAAGATATAAAAAAATCAATTTCTCCACAAAAGTTATCAATCCAATATAAAATGGTATAAACGTAATAATAAAAAACTAACTAAAATGTATACACATGTATAACCTCTACAAAACTATGTGATTACAATAGAAAATACATTATTTTATAATTTATTGATATTTCATTAGTCATGCCCATCAGGAAAATCGTTTGAAATTTAATTAGGGTATGTCCATCAAGAAACGTCATCTACTTTTGGTGAAACCCCACAAAACAATTGCTATTTTCCTTCAGTTACAGCCTCGCATTGCACTTTGAACACACTATCGACGATTTTTTATTTTTGCAAAATCTTCATCGACCTCTTGATGTATAAAAAGAAAGGGTAGTGTCCAACACCATCAAAGCGTACATCTTCAACATACATAGAGCAGCTGGTGTGAGAAAAGAAGTAAACCCTTGTCTTTTAGAACTTGTCTTTTACTCCTTTCTTTGGTTAGCAATTCAAAAATCCCATAACTAAATTTTTTAGTGACATATTGTCTTGCTGGTTTTCGGTTTAATTATTTTCAACGTGGCAGCAATGCGTTATTCCACGATATGTCGATACGGTGAGCAAATATTTGTAAGAACCAAAGTCTTAATCGGAATGCACAATCAACTTTCATATAAGAAGATTCACTTTCAGCAGGAAATAAAACTCTATTTGGTAGATATTTGTTGCCATGGATGGTCGGGATTTTTTGTAAAGCCAAAGTCTTTTCTAAACAGCCTAGTGAAAAATCTTTCCTCACAAAAATATTTTTATTTTACAATTTGTGGAAATAAGAGACATACATTTACAAATGTAAATACCTTTCACTGTTTTATAAACAGTGTGCCACTTTAGGCGCGCCCAATCAACTAAAAAAAATAACTGCATCTTTGGTAATGTGCCATTTTTGGCTCGCCCAAAAATTTTCATTATTCCCTGGTTCTTTGGCAATGTGCCATTTTTGTCACACTCAAATTGTTTAGTTTATAAAAAATCAATATTCATATTTAAGCTAATTACTGACCTGGGTTATGTTTTCTTATCTTTATTCTGTGCAAATCACTTAGATATATGAGTAAACAGCCTAAAATATTGAAATAAGAAGTAATTTACTAATCTTCTACACTAAGCCTCCAAACTTCCTTTTCTATACGTTGGTCTAAAGTGATAGTAATTTCCAAAACATCCACTATAGTGCACTAAACCATAATAGCAATAGGCAAAGAACCTTTGGACGCCGTTTGTTGGAATTAAAAAGTTAACAAGCGAATGTGACATTTTTTTGAATCCTCATGTGCCAATAATGGCACGCTGTCAAATTAAGGGTTAATATGGAAGATTTTACCTTCTTCATTTCCATGTTAATTTGTTTTATGTATCAAACTATAAGCTGGGCAACAATTTACAAGATTTTTAGAACTGCTAGGCTATAAAAGTTGTTGGACCATATAATAAATTTGCTCTTATTGTTTAAAAATTATGGGTGACAAATGTTTGACTATAGGCAACATATTTCCAGAGACTTGTAAAGGTGACCCTATATAAAATGTATTTTCATTCATTATATTTATTAATTGTATGTTAATATATTTTTTCAAAAACTAAATCTGGTAGCGGTTTAACTTAAGTCATTAATCGTGCAAATAATCTATCCATAATCATGTAAGGGATGAATGTATCTTCCATATGATATAAGTAGTAAAATAAATAAATTTGCCAAGGTTGATCAAAATATAAGTAAGTTAGGCTACTCATAGGCCTAATCAAACAAAATACAACTGTTTAAACTTATTCTCCATTAGAATAACATAGGAATTTAAAAAATAACAATTTTTAGAATGTTTCCGTAACCAATAGCCTAACCACACAAAAACACTCCAATATAGCCTAGGCCTACTAAACTAACTTATTTGTTAGGGATTTCAAGCTCTCTTCTCTCTCAAAATGCTTCGTAAACCAATGAGTTAGACAATTGTAGCTAGCCTAGGGCAGGCAACCTATGAAGTACATAGGCTATGTATGATTTTGAATGGATGGTGTTTTTGGCCTCTTGGGACATCAAACAGAAAAGGTCCGAGTCCAGGTCTTACCATGAGGCCTAGACAATAATGGCTTGTTCCTAAAAATCCTTAACCTACATGGGAAATTCGCTAATATTTGTCACTGAAAGCCTGCATACAGCGATACTTACAATCACTTTCGTTGCTTTTCTTTCCGGATTCAGAGGCATACAAACCTGGAAAATCTTTCTCAACATCAGGACTTTCGAATTCCATTAGATGAGCGAACTAGTACTTATTTAGCAGGTTTAGTTAATTTCAGAAAATCGATAAAACAAACTAAACTATTAAAAATCAAATTTATAAGACGCGATATCAAATTAACTCACGGTCACAACCAGTTAGGTTTAAGCTTTAGTAGAATTTTGATTTTAGGTTATGATGGAATCGAATGAAAATAAACAAAGCAGAAAGAAGTTTTTCGCTACACTACACTAAACTAACACCATAGATAAAACATCTAACACCAAGGCGTATACTATACTACACTGACTGTGTAGTGTGTGTGGGTGAAATGACCTGTTTTCAGTGTTTTCGCAATGTTTATCACCTGCGAAAATTCATCATTACAGTACATTGTTTACTACGGCAACATGTTTCGTATTTTTTTTATTTTTCCAACGTAAACAAATAAAGATTTACGACGGCGCTGAAGGGCCACCAACTATAAAAAAATATTTGTCTTCATCTCTGAGAAAAAACTTAGAATTCTGAGATTAAAGTCAGAGCGTGAGAAGTCGGCTTCCTCTCTGAGAAAAAAGTCAGAATTCTGAGATTAAAGTAAGAATTTAACAAGTAGGCGTTCCTCTCTGTGAAAAAAGTTAGAATTCTGAGATTAAAGTCAGAATTTAACTTGTGGGCGTTCCTCTCTGTGAAAAAAGTTAGAATTCTGAGATTAAAGTCAGAATTTAACTTGTGGGCGTTCCTTGAATTGGACGTTCGTCTACTACCTAACGAAACGGCGAATTGAGCACCGAAATGGACACTAATAAAAGAGAAGCCATTTTGGTGATTATTTTAGATTATGCTTGGCTCAGACAGAAATATAGCTTTACTTTGTTGAGTATTAGACAGTTGAAACGTATTTTAAAAAGGTTTAGGTTTGTGTAGGATGATTAATTAGTCTTCAATTGAAGAGGTGAAACATTTCATTAGGAATGAGCTTAACTACTCAGACCAGTTAGGCCTAAATTGGATACAGATGGATGCATTTGAAATATATCTAAAATGGCTTTAGTAAAACAAAACACAGTTAGTTCGATTCTTAAAGCACTTGACCTCAGGACCCGCAAACGTTTACGTCGACGAAAATACAAGAACAAAGGTCCAAAGTATCCTTGGCATTTAGATGCATATGATAAGTTAAAGCCATTATGGCATATGTGTCCATGGTTGTAGTTGTAAAGACTGAGTTTGAATAGACTATAACTTATTCTACTCATTCACTCAGTCAATACTCAACTCAAACTCAAGACTAGCCTAGCGCTAAAGGGACCGGTAGACAGAGAGCAAAGAGTTAAAATCTGACTTAAATCTCAGAGGGGAACGCCCACTCCCACTAGATCTAGTTGTAATTTCTGACTTTAAACTCAGAATTCTGACTTTTTTCTCAGAGAGGAAGCCTACTTCCCGGGTTCTGACTTTAATCTTAGAATTCTAAGTTTTTTTCTCAGAGATGAAGAAAATATTTTTTTATTCAGTTGGTGGCCCTTCAGCGCCGTCGTAAAGATTTGTTAATGTTTTGTCAACTGTTTTAATTTTCAACAACCAAAACTGTACAACCAAGGAAATATTAACTGTTTACTAGAGGACCCATGCTCCCACGCAGCGTTAAAATAAATATAATATCCTAGAAATAATCAAAATCATAATTTTTGATTGAGTATGTTTTTTTATCTATGGTAATACCACCACGGCCGCCTTTAACTCCAGGCCGCGGCCTTCGAAGTGGCAACGTCGCAAGTGGTGTTGTAACAGCTGTTTTGTTTTTCCTTCCACTATGAGCTAATGGCTAATGGTATTAGTGTATTTACGAAAGATCGGTTACTGGACTATGACAATATTGACTCCGCTTAAAATATACAGATATAGATTTTAGTTCATATTGTTTCAGTTTTTAATTCTGTATGTTTTATTTTCAATATTTTAATATAAATTTAAATTTAAATCACTTAAGTGCGAACATGAGCTGATGTCACCTGTCTGCCATGTTCTCTTATGGGACGTCTGTCACTGAACAACACCACTTGCGATGTTGCCAATTCTACTAGGCCACGGCCTGTATAGTTAAAGGCGGCAAAGGCGGCCGTGGCTTAACTAATTCAAACGATCATAGATTATAGATAAATATATGCCGATGCTTTAGGCCCCCTTCACACTGGGCCACCATGGTGGTGACACTGGTGGCGACACCATGGTGGCTACGTTACATTAGCATTGATTTAAATGGGACATCTTCACACTGAGCTTTGGTGGCGCGTCTGCCCGCGCGACCAGAAATGCGGTGGCTCGGGGTTGCGATTTTCAGAGACACCAGTCTGGTGGCGCCACCACGTCGCACCATGGTTTCTTATCGGACTGTTCACATTGGAGCGACTGGCAGCGCCACCAGTCACTACCAGCGGGCATTACTCAGTATACTAATTTACTGTACTAATCTTTTGAAGTTGTTAAGGTAATAAATATGGGGAAACGATTTTAATGTTATAACAAAATGTATAGGTACTCTATTTCATTTACATCTTTTCGTCATTGCAATGTATACATTGAGTCAAGGTATTACAGTGTATTAATAAATGGTATATTAACTATGTTTTTATTTAATTTTTCACAACGTTAGTAGCAGTTTCTCTTCTCGGGATATTTTATCTTTCAGACGTCCCAGAAGCTCATCAAAACTTAAAACACTCATTCTTGAGTAAGTGTAAAACGTGTCAGGGTTATTTCTAAGATCTTTGTAGTGAATGAAAAAAGTCTCTCTGGTACCTAAATCTCATAAAAACGGATGAACAAAAAACTACGGGTTTTCTTATGTTTTCATAATTTCAAAAAAATATATAAGCTAATATATAAGCGTATATATAATATAATAATATATATATATAATAATAATTATATATTATTATAATATATATTAATATATATATATAATAATAATTATATATTATTATAATATATAATAATAATTATATATTATTATAATATACAGGGTGTTTTTTTAAAAACTTGCATCTTTATTTATGTAAAAACCGCAATAGATAGAAATATGCAGTTTGCGGAAATCATCTATTGACGTAGGGGGCCCAATTGTTTTGAATTCAACGTTACATTCACATTCCCCCCTTTCCCCCCCTGCCCCCAACTTATTTTTTTTAAATAGCAAGGTACCGCTTGTGACATATCAAATGAAAGACCATAAAAAAAGAAAATGTTTGATAAAAAAAAATTAAAAATCGGTTAATAAATTTGCGAGATATTTCCCCCCCCCCTTCCGCGGAACTTGATTTTTTTTAATAGCAAAGTACCCCTTGTGACATATCAAATGAAAGAGCATGAAAAAAGAAAATTTTTGGTGAAATTTATTTTTCATTTGATATGTCACAAGGGCGGGTACCTTGCTATTAAAAAACAAGTTATGGGTAGGGGAAAAAGGGGGGGATTATCTCACAAATTCATGAGCCGATTTTAAATTTGTTTCCACCAAAAATTTTCTTTTTTCATGCTCTTTCATTTGATATGTCACAAGGGTACTTTGCTATTAAAAAAATTATCAAGTTCCGGGGAAGGGGGGGGGGAATATCTCGCAAATTTATGAACCGATTTTTAATTTTTTTCATCAAACATTTTCTTTTTTCATGCTCTTTCATTTGATATGTCACAAGGGGTACCTTGCTATTAAAAAAAAATAAGTTGAGGGCAGGGGGGGAAAGGGGGGGAATGTGAATGTAACGTTGAATTCAAAACAATTGGGCCCCCTACTTCAATAGATGATTCCCGCAAACTGCATATTTCTATCTATTGCGGTTTTTACATAAATAAAGATGCAAGTTTTTAAAAAAACACCCTGTATAATAATATATAAGCGCCTGCCTCTTCGACGTCCAACTGTGAGCTTTGTGGCTGCAGCTGCTCTGGTGGCTGAGCTGGTGGTCCATGCGCATTTTGACCGGCCACCAGTGTCACCACCGGTGTCGCCACCATGGTGGCCCAGTGTGAATAGGCCCTTATGGAAAATCTGTGCGTGCCTACCTTTAATTTGGGAACTCATGAAAGTCAGGTAGAAGAGCCAAATGAAACGATCTTGGAAAAGAGAAACCAAATTTAACTCCCATAAGAAATACATGAGGAGCAAATTTAGTTTACATATAAGCCGAGTGGGATTATAGATAAATACATAACGATGCTTGATGGCAAAACTATGTGCGTGCATACCTTCAATTATTACGTTGATTACGTTGCATACGGTCATCTTAAGCCCCCCACACACTACCAGACCAGACCTCCAGACCAGACCGTCTGGCTGCAACCAGACCGTCTTGGACGGCTCTACACACTCCCAGACCAGACGGTCTGGTCTGGAGGTCTGGTCTGGTAGTGTGTGGGGGGCTTTTCTCTCTTGACTATAGAGAGTAAAATTCATTTTTAGTCCCTAGGGAGGGAGTAAAAATCAGCTGTTGTAAACTGTTGTAAATTTTGATTGTGACAATCGTTTCTGTATCGATGGAAATTATTTATTCTATGGTTTAACATGTGCTTAACTTAGTCTTTTCTACAGGAAATGGACTATAATATGCTCCAGCTGACTTATTTTTCTCAATCATAACCTAAAACATGTTGACTCCGAGATGTCAATTGAAATGTCAACTGATGTAGTGTAGTTATCCCACTGACAAATAAATGTTTTTCAAAATGAAAAGGTTCTCAATTTTTGCTGGTTGAAAGTGTGAGCTGTAATAGATAATTCACTCAAGTCAGATTTTTTAAATTAAAAAATATCCATTTGCCATTTAGGGTTTTCAGTTTTGAGTGTAACATCATTATTATTATAAAACCAGTCATAGACTTCTCTTCAAGCTGTTTATTTGAATCTGAATGATAATTTGTCAATCAGTACTTAAATTAGGATATGGAAGTGGCTAAATCCTTATTTAGCTCTAGGGCTCATGAAGGCTACTCGGGCAAAGAGAATTACAATGTAAGTAAACATCAGCTTAGACATAAAATTAAATGGGGGTACAGTTTCTTAACTGGGTATAGAATAATTAATTTATAAAACTCATTTTAAGTAAACTCAATCAAAACTATTTATTTACAAAAACAATAATCATGTAAACAAACCAAATAGCAGATGATTCATAACTTTATAACTCAGCTGATAACAATAATCCTACATTTCTCCCCACCCAATTTAGGCTGAGTTTTCGAAACTATGTTCATCTTCAGGTTCCGTTTGCATTTTCCATTTGAGGTGGATCAGTTGCACCTTCTCTTGCTCTCAGCTGGTCAGCGTGTTTTCTCTTTATTTCTCCCCCAACTAAAACTATGTATGATAGCTCTCCCGTCCTTTCTTGTGCAGTTCCTGGTCTCCAGCCCTTCTTCGTTTCATTTTGAACCTACACTTCTTGTTTGGCAGAAAACTCCTTTTGTTTAGATTTTAAGTTGTGGTAGTACTTCTGTCGCCACACTTGATTTTCTATTCTCTCTCTGCTATTAAACCACCTATCCAAAGCTGTTGGTATTCTTCTACCATAGAAAAGGACTGATGGTGGTTGTCCTGTGGTTTTTTGTGGGGTGTTTCGATAAGCAAGCAACACTTGTAAAAGTGCAAGTGATGAACTGAGACCTTCTTGTTTGCAAGCACTGTATCGACTCTTGAAGGTTCTGATAATCCTCTCTACTAAACCATTGGTTTTTGGATGATACGGTGCCGATGTGACATGACATATGTTATTGTTCTTACAAAAAGTCTTAAACTCATGGGACGTGAAGGGGGTGCCATTATCAGATACAATTTTTTTAGGAACACCATACCTCGAAAACCAAGTCCTTAATCTATTTACAAGAGCAGCAGTTGTCGTACGGTCCATAACTTCGATCTCAACCCATTTTGAGTAAGCATCGATTCCTACTAACCAGAACCGGTTGTCGAATGGACCTGCGAAGTCGAGATGAATTCGCTTCCAAGGATCACTTGGCACATTCCAAGGATATAGAGGTATTTCTTACCTCTGTGTCAATTGATTGGTTACTCTGGCAAGGGTGGCATCTACGGACATAAACCTCAACATCCTTATTCAGATTAGGCCACCACACATACCTTAATAGGGTAAGGTAATACCTACCTTGATAGGGATCTCATGGCCTCTATTCCAGGATGACCTTTGTGGAGTTCTTTCAATACATTTTCTCTCAAAATCTGTGGAACCACAATTCTTCCTAATCGCATGATTATACCGTTTTCTAATGTCAGCTCTTCTCTCTTATTCCAATATGGTTTTATGGACGGTGATAAGTTTCCTGTATCTTTTGGCCAACCATGTTCCAGGTAGTCTATAAGTTTCTTCATATTTGGGTCTTTCTTATACTCCAGTACAAGTTCATGATTTGGATAAACAACGTCAATTTTCTCCTGAACCAATGCTCGAATCTCTCTCTCATCTGGATCCAATACTTCTTGTGTCTTGAGTGAAAACCTAGACAAAAAATCAGCCAAACAATTATCCTGTCCTTTGATGTACTGGATCTCAAAATCATACTCCATTAAATACAAAGCCCAACGAACCAAACGGTTGTTTACTACTTTGGTAAGATCTCGATGCATTCTGAATATTCTTTCAAGTGGCTTGTGGTCCGTCCTCACCTTAAAATGTCCCCCACTGAGGTATTGTCTAAACTTCTTCACTGCAAAAACTAACGCCATCGCTTCCTTGTCAACTGTAGCATACCTTTTTTCTGCTCCCGTTAGAGTCCTCGAGGCGTGCATTACTGGCCTTTCCGTTCCATCCGGCATCAAATGTAACAGCACTGCACCAACCCCTTGTTCACAAGAATCACATTCAACATTGATCGGCTTTGATATGTTGTATGGAACTAATGTCTTCTCTAATGACAGGATATTCTTCAACTTGTCGAACGTTGTTTGTTCGGTGTCTGTCCATTTCCATTTAGTCTTCGTACCAGTCAGCTTATGCAAGTTCGAAGCGATCGCATGAAGATTAGGTATGTACCTTTCGTAAAAATTTAGTGCTCCTAGAAAAGCTCGTAATTCTTTCACGTTTCTTGGCCTTGGTGCGTGTCTTATGGTTTCAACTTTGTCTTCGGAGGGATGAATACCATTCCCATCTATTGTATGACCCAAATACTTTATAGATTTCTGAAAGAACTTACATTTTGACAGTTTTGCTCTTAATCCACTTGATTCTAGCCGCCTCAAAACTTCTCTCAGAGTAGTTATATGGGTAGTCTTATCCTTACTAGAAATGATTATATCATCAAGTAGAACTCCGACATTAAGTCCTTTTAGTAAACTTTCCATGTACCTTTGAAATTTTGCCGGACTCGAGAAAAGTCCAAAAGGCAACCTTTTGTAGCGAAAGTAACCTACATGAGTTGCTATCGTAAGATACTTTTGTGACTCGGGGTGTACTTTCATTTGCAAGTACGCGTCTCGAAGATCTATGACTGAAAACATCTTTCCATTAGTTAATTTGGAAGTCAAGTCATCAAAGGTTGGCAAGAGGTGTCATTCCGGGACGATGTTTGGATTCAAGGTTGTACGAAAATCGCCACAGATTCTTACTCTACCTTCGCCCTTGTCTACGTTGACTGTTGGGGTACTCCATTCTATCGGTGTTTCGGAAGGGTCCACTGCTTCCAAAACTCCTTCCTGTACTAATCTCTGTAGTTCTCGCTCCACTGCCTCCCTTAAGGGGAATGGAACTCGTCGTGCCCCGTAAGATACAGGTTTTGTTCCACTTTTTAGATGGATGACTTCATTAGAGTCAGATATCGTTCCTAGCTCATCACGAAAGAGTTCGGAAAACTCCTGAGTTAATGCCTCAACTTCTTTTTGTAACTCTTTTCTATAAATTTCTTCGTTCTTACCTGCCTCTTTACTATTTGTCTTTCCATTGTCAATACGCCTAACCATTACTTCTCTAGGCAAATTAAGATTGAAAGCTACACTCCACGGCAACCCAAATAATGGAACATCATCTTCTAGTAATACAATAACCGGAAATCGCTTAGTACGATTACGTAAAGTAACGTCCACAAAAGCCTTACCCATGACTTCTAGCTTATTTTTCCCATAGCCTGTGATGACATCAGACGTCTTTTTGAGAGATTCGCCACTTGAATTTATCTTATCCCAAAGAGACAAACTTATAGCACTTACCCGAGCCCCGGAATCAAACTCCATTCTAACATCATACCCGTTCAATTCTACATCTATTGTAGCTCTGGGAACCTTACTCTTGACTGACCTAATTTGTGTTCCACTAACATCAATATCAGAACTACACTCAGCATCATAAGTTTGATCACAAGAATCATCTACTTTTCTCAAATTACCGTCTGTTCTCTTGACAAAATTATTTTTACTTTTGCACATTCTTGCGAAGTGGCCTCTGTTTGAACATTTCTTGCACACAGCAGAAATAGCAGGGCACCTATCTTCACTAGGGTCATGTGTAAACCCACATCTATAACACCTATTGAAACCAGTAGATTTCTGTACCTCTGGTTTCCTCTTTTCCTTACTGTCACTTACTTTGAAAATCTCATTTTTACACGAATGTTTGGAAACTTCTTCTCTCGCGCGTTCCATGGATTGAGCTAACTCTAGTACTACTGTTGACTTAACACGCTCACCTCGGTTATTAACTCCCTCAGGACATCATTGTCTGACTTCGACTTCAAATTCTGGACAGTTGCTTCCTACTGCAAACCTATCTCGTACTCGTTCATCTAAGCTATCTCCATATTTTCAACTTCTAGCTAAAGACTTCAATCTGTTATTAAACAAAATAAATGTCTCACCATCTTTTCTTATAGCTCTTTCAAACTCAAACCTTGTTGCAAAAAGGGTCCTTGTAGGCTTGAACAACCGGTTGGCTTCCTCTTTGACTTTGTCGTAGGTGCATTCCTCCCAGGCCCTTGGATACATCTGGTCCGACAGTGCCCTGAGATGCTCCTCTCCGATATTTGCCAATAGAAGATCTCGCCGAGCCGCTTGTTCTTCTGTGTTAGCACCACCCAGTCCCTTAACTCTGCAGGTCAACTCAAAACGAGCTATGTAGTCTTCCCGCAATTGTTTACTATTATACTCTTTAAATGAAAATCTGCTCATTCTATCTTGTATGCAAGACATGTTACTACAATCAATTACACTCTTATACTGAGACTGGTCTGTTTTCTTCGGCATTTTCTCGTCGCCAATATAGAATAATTAGCTAATTTATAAAACTCATTTTAAGTAAACTCAATCAAAACTATTTACCTATTTACAAAAACAATAATCATGTAAACAAACCAAATAGCAGATGATTCATAACTTTATAACTCAGCTGATAACAATAATCCTACACTGGGCTAGGCCTATGCTAATATCGATTGAAGCTATCGATTCGATTAGTAAACCTTCATGCAAATTTTTCACTATCAGCAAGTTTGGTTGGTTAGGTTAGGCTATGATAGTTTAATTGGCAAATATTTACTGTATTTACATTGGGATATGATGTAATTTTTATATGTCTACTTACAGTATTTTTAACGCTGAATCCAAAAATGCAATCAGTTTTTGTCGGAGAGATTCCTAAGTGGCCGTAGTGGCCGTAAAACAAAGGTTAGGGTTACGAATCTAAGGAAGGATAATTGAGCGGTATTGAAGGTAATGGTAATATGGCGTGGTCTGGACTGGACGGGTCCGCACTGAGTGAGGAGTGAGGAGGACTGAGTGAAAAGAGCAAACAATTGTTTATACTTGATCTAATGCGGAATAAAATAAAATCAATTTGTTTTGATTTTTGAAATCAAATAATCAGTTCTTATTTAGGCATGTGAGGAAGGTAGGTCGGACTTTATGCGGATTCGTGACTGTATTAAGTGTTTTGAAGTTAGGTTAGATTATAACCTTACCTTTAACTTACCTACCTAATCTAACCCCACTTCAAAGGACTTAATATAGTCACGAATCCGCATAAGGTCCAACCTATCTTCCTCACATGCCTTTTCTGACATAAACTGCGATTTAAACATTAATATTAAGGTTGGGTTGGGTTAGGTTAGATTATATTAGATTAGATTATGTAACATCATTTATTAGTTGCTGATACATTAAATTATGCACTGTGGCACGTTTTCACTTTTAGACACAATGGGATTATGTACTATGGGATTATGCACTATGGCACGTTCATTAACAGACGTTGAGGCATTAGCCAATGGTTAAGGATTGGAATGAGGACGATGATTATGTCGGCAGTGGCCTAGCTTCTATTACTGATATTTTATGTGAATAAATTCTATTTTGTTTTATATTTTATGTTCACGTGATTAATAGTTTATGTATCGTAGCCTAGTCAATTTATGAGACGGTAATTATTTACTGTATTGTCAATACAGTAAATAATTACCGTTTAATTTTATAATAGATATAGGCTATTTAAAAATGACGATTATTAGGCTAATCAATATTTTGAATTCGATAGTTTCAATCAATGTTAGCATACTTAGCCCAGTTAAGAAACTGTACCCAACAAGACTCTCATATGGATTATAAAATAAGACTTGTTATCAAGGTTGACTTCTTATCCAGGTTTACAATAACATGTGTTTAAAGTACAGTCAATCCGTATCCAACATGGACAAAAATGGCGTCCATGGAATTTTGTCTGAAATTTTTGTTTTTTGGGGCGCTGAATCCGAATCTGAAGTTGTCCAACAAATATTTCTTGAGCGTTCCGACATATTTGCAAAATTTTAGCACTTTTTTCAGTTTTTATATTATAAGTTGAAAACTATGAATTCTAGTGAATTTTACCTCGTACAAAATGGAAGGGGATAAAATTTCCTTCAAAATGCACTATTTACACTTTAAAATTGATTAGAAATAACCTCCGCTAGTGTGCATTAAAAATTGGTTATTTTTCTGAATTAAAAAAAATTCAAGCTTTTGGTCTGATTGTAATATTACTCAGCAAACACCCACACCCATCCACCCTATAACTATCTCAACCCACATTCCCCCATCAACCCCCCCCCCCCCCCACCCAATGTACTATACCACTCTCCCCCCCCCCATTCCACAGCGTTCTTTCTACTTTTCTTGGGCGGAATGTGATAAATAATGTTAGAGAGGTAGGTTTCCATGGTTATGATTAACATGACGAGGCAGTTGCTATAAATACTTTACTTTTCATTTAAATGGCGACCATACAATCATTGTCCCAACGACACTACACCAAAGAATTACTATTATAAAGCAGTCTGAAAACAAGCTAAAGGAATCCTTGAAATTCAAGCTAAGGCCGTATCCTTCGTCATTATTTCAAGAAGGGTCCACAAGGAAAGGAAAGAAATCGAGGCTTTACAAATCATTCCATCATTTGCCTGATTCTGAAATACCAAAAGACACCCAAAATGTTATATTTGGAGGGTTTCTACTGCACAGGGTGGTTTGGGAAAATAACTGAATATTTGATGAGATTGGTGACTCAGTCATGAGATACATAAAATGGCACTACTCCAAACCCGTGGTATTTTTTGACGCGTACCCCGATTATCCTATGACCAAACAAGCTGAACGTTAAAGAAGGGCCACCAAAAACACTCTGTGGAAGTGCTGTTTGAAACTGGATAGAAAGATATGTAGAGGCTCGATTTCTTTCCTTTCCTCGTGGATCCTTCTTGAAATAATGACGAAGGATATGGAAAGGATTCCTTTATGTAGTTTTCAGACTACTTTATAATAGTCATTCTTCGGTGTAGTGTCGTTGGGTCAATGATAACAACTGCCTTGTCATGTTAATCATAACCATGGAAACCTACCTCTCTCTAACATTATTTATAACATTCTACCCAAGAAAAGTAGAAAGAACGCTGTGGAATGGGGGGGGGGGGAAGAGTGGTATAGTACATTGATGGGGGAATGTGGGTTGAGATAGTTATAGGGTGGATGGATGTGGGTGTTTGCTGAGTAATATTAAAATCAGACCAAAAGCTTAAATTTTTTAGAATTCTGAAAAATAACCAATTTTTAATGGACTCTAGCAGAGGTTATTTCTAATCGATTTTCAAGTGTGAATAGTGCATTTTGAAGGAAATTTTGTCCCCTTCCATTTTGTACGGGGTAAAACTCACTAGAATTCATAGTTATCTACTTATAATATAAAAACTGAAAAAAAGTGCTAAAATTTTGCAATTTTTTGCGAATATCTCGGAACGCTCAAGAAATATTTGTTGGACAACTTCAGATTCGGATTCAGCGCCCCAAAAAACATTAATATCATACAAAATTTCTTGGACGCCATTTTTGTCCACGTATGGTTGATTTTTACGACGAAAATAATTTCAAGGGGATTTGAAAATTACCCTTGTTATCAAGAGTGTCTTGTTATCGAGGGTCTTGTTATCGAGGTTCTACTGTAATATACCATTTTTTGGCAAGTTGGCTATTGCAGATCCATGGGTACTGTACCTATTGCAGCAGCTGTGTACCGCTGGGGGACTTGGCAGGGCGGAACGCTGCCGCGTTCCTTAATATAGAGAAGGGGACTCGTGTTCTAATATTAAATTTTCTACATTGTTTACAGCTGAGTGAAATAACTTATGTGTCTGTTTGTTTAGTTTTGAATTGAGTTATTCTTATATCTGTTTCCTTAAGGTAGCCTAAGCAATTTAATCTTACATTAAACATCAAGTTACTGGTAACTTAATTGTAAAAATATCAAGTTATTTATGTGTCTTAAAAAAAATTAAATCAATTACAGGATAAGGTAGAAACAGCAGCGTCTGATGATGAGGAGAGCAGAGTTGGTATGGAGGGAGAAGGGCTCGGCCTGGCTGTGGAGGGGATGTCACCCACTCCCGGGGGTCCGTTCTCTGCCCTCACGCCCTCAATGTGGCCCCAGGACATCCTCAGCAAGTTGGGTCAACTACCTGATGATCCTAACTCTCAGCCTGACTACAGGTAAGCTAGGCTTATGCTCATGAACAATGTCATAGCTTGCTGAATTGTAGCAGTCAGAGTCTCGATTATCCAACCTGAACTTGCTTGGGTAGCAAGGAAAATGTTTGAACCTTTGTAAACGAGTTTAAAAATCATTAAACCTACAGTTATATAGTTACATTACTTAAGGTTACGGCTTCTCAGTTGCCAACTCTATTAATAACTTCAAGCTTTTTTTACAGAGCCCACACTAACTTTTTCTATTTTGCAGCCATCATCACAATTAACATTTAAGTGAATTGACAAAGAAAACCCTTAACACTGTAATTTTTAGCGAATTTCCTATATAGGGAATAAGTTATTACCGTAGTACCTACTCATGGTAAGACCTGACCCGGGACTGATTTACTTTTTTGTTTTGAGGTCCCTAGAGGCCAAAAACACCATCCGTTCGTTCGAATTCATATATATACGGTAGGCTATATATATATAATATTTACCTCATATATATATATTTATTTATATTTATACGGTATGTATATATATGTGCCTGTTATCACGATAACTCGAGCAAAAATGATTCGATTTTGATGAAATTTGGTATAAACGTGTAAACCTACATTTATTATAACGAATTCCTGAACCAGCATGATCGTACAGTAGAGTCCCGTTGGTCCGAAATAGTTGGGACCGGACCCATTTTGGATTACCAAATATTTCGGATCAAACTTTTTTTTTATTAATTTTTTGAAAATTTTTAAAAAAATTTGTATAAAAAAATAATTTTTTTCTTAGGACGCTAGGCACGAGCCCGGGATTGTTTTTCACATTACTTAAGGCTAGACCTAGTGGCTGCAGCATTATCACTTATTATTAAAATCCATTTGTGATTTGGCGGGATTGGAACCTGGGACGAAAATGAAAAATGTTAATAACAAAAATGGTGAAATATTTACTAAAATACTCTACAAAAAAAAGTTTATCTCGCCCAGCCGCTCCGGAATACTTTGACGAGATACAGCTAAATAGGTGTTAAAAGTTTAATAAAAACATTTAATTTTTTTAAATAAAAAAGAAAAAATATTTTTTGTTTTCAGACTTTCAGATTACTGTTCAGATTATCGGGACTCCACTGTACTATGGAAACTGGGTTTTATAGGCTAATATTGGTTTTCCCATTTTTGACACTAAAATCATAAAATTTTACAATTTCTTTCCAGACCATTTTGCAAACTTTAAAAAAATAAATAATTTTGTATCTTGAAGCGTTTTTGTATGCTTAACGGTTACAGAGGTATGGTAATTTAAAAAATTGTAAATTAAAAATTGCCATGTTATTCTTATGGAGATTTAATAAACTGTTGTAGTTTGCTTGTTTATGGACATCTTTGAATAAAATTTGGCAACTTTATGATGATTGCTATGGGAAGGAAGGGAAACAGGTCCGTGACATAGGAAGTGGTGATGAAAGTAGTAAAGGCGAGCAGTGCGGAGTGTGGGAACTGTAATGATGATTACATTAAGGCATCTGTAATCCAAAAATGCCCTTTCGAAGGGAGGGAAACAGGTCAGCGAGGTAGGAAGTGGTGAAGGAAGTAGTAAAGACGAGCAGTCCGGAGCGTGCGAACTGTTTATGACGATTGGATTAAGGTATCTGCAATCCTAAAATGCTATGAGAAGGGATGAAAACAGGTCCGAAACGTAGGAAGTGGTTAAGGAAGTAGTAAAGGAGTGTTATCCAGAGTGTGTGAACTGTTTATAACGATTAGATTAAGGTATCTGCAATCCTAAAATGCTATAGGAAGGGAGGGAAACAGGCCCCCGACATAGTAAGTGGTGAAGGAAGCAGTCAAGCAGTCAACTTCTGTCCGTAGTGTGGGAGCTGTTTATGATGATTAGATTAATGTATCTGCAATCCTAAAATGCTATGGGAAGGGAGGGAAACAGGTCCACGACGTAGGGAGTTGTGAAGGAAGTAGTCAAGGCGAGCATTGTGGATTGTGGGAATTGATTAATGTATCTGCAATACTAAGACTGCTTTCAGAGTAAACTAACGATTTTTCCCGAGCAAAGCTTGGTCCCAGGTACTGTTATTTAAATAGGAAATAAATCTGACAATTTTCAGGGAATATTTTAGTAGAAATCCAGCCAGGTAAATGGAAAATCGCTTAGTCTGCAGGTTTGCTGCGGTGGGGGTATTAAAACTTATGATAGAACAAAATGTGGCATTTACTCAGCCACAGGTCCTAATCCAGTATGATGGGAGGTGAAGTACAGCTATAGTTCGGCCGCTTAGAAAACAACCTGCGCGCTAATGCTAAACCAATGCTGGAGGAGGTCGCTTTCTAAGCGGCCGAACTATAGTTATAGTGTGGTATACAGCTGCTTGCAAAACAAGAAGTAGGCCAAATTCTGCTGCCTAAGGCCTGGCACTTTTCTTACAATACACAACAGGTTTACACAAAGTACAATAAAACACAAATACACTAAGTACACAAGTATACAGGCGGCAAATATGGTTGTCTCAACGCACCTGCTACGGTGTACAGTCATACTTCAGGGAGATTTAAAGATATTTCATGGTTCTTGATTGTCTGCAAAGATTGGATAATCTGTTTTTCTTGTCAGCTAAACTGTGGCTTGGACAATTGTTGTCTTCAGATGTGATAATGAAGTTGTAAAAATTAAATTTGATTAGAGGTATGCTAGGCCTATACACGTTTTCAATTGTAGGGTTAGGCCTACTGAACTTGTATCCAATTCACATTTTGTATGCTGCAAACCTTGAATATGTTGTCCCAAAATGCCTTGACATGGGCATGAATATGACAAATTTAATTATAACTAACTATTCCTGCAGATTTGATGAATTCGGGTTCCGTGTAGAAGAAGAGGATGGTCCTGAGCAGAATTCTAACAAGCTTCTAGGAGTCCCATTTGTTGAAGATACACAGCATAGGTAAGGGTGTTGTATATTCACAGCTATATGGTGATTTTCGCAGGAACCAGTGATGCAGGACTCTGTTCAGGGATACTGGAGAGATTATCTGTTCAGAGTTACTGGAATCAGATATAGTTCTATAAAACTCTGATAGTAGTGTCTAATTTATCAACATCCATTCTACAAAACATCTGTTTTGTATTCCTGGTATTCCCAAAAATGTGTGAGAGAAAAAGCACGGATCAATTTGGAGCTTTGAATGTCCTTAATGTGTTCCAACTACACCACATTGAAGTCAGCACTTCTGGATGAACAGGTAAAAAAATAAATACTCTTCCTGGTGTTCTCCTGCACAGTATCATAAACAAGAAAGATACTGGATTGCATTAATGGAGGTTATGTATGAAAAAGTATTATCGTTGCCTGCTTGTACTTTCTAACAGATTTTAATTATGTTTACTGTCTTCCTTAATACAAAGTTAGTGAAACCATTTTTGTTTGTTAAAACTTTCACATATTACTTATTGTTGCTATGTTTGTTTTTGGACCCTGTGTACCTAAAAGTTTTTACTGTCCGTATGTGCTGTTTTAATAAGTTTTGTTGAATTCTTGTATTTAATACTCAACACTGTTTAACCATAACAAAGTAACACAACCCACACATCTTAATTTATGTTGTGGTAGGCTAAAGTGGTTAGCACACCTGGAGTTCAGCCACAACAAAGAGTCAAGTGACTTGTCATGGGACAGTGTGGAGCACCGACTGCCTCGCACAGACAAGTTGAGAGCAATGTTGCGCGAAGGCATTCCTCACTCACTCCGTCCTCAACTGTGGATGAGATTGTCAGGTATATTGAGTAGGAGTCAAACAAAGTAGCCTAACCAAAATTAATAATGAAAGATTATTTTTAAGCAGCACAATCTTAATTGTGCTGTTACCATTGCTTGAGTTTGAAAGGACTCGATGGAAAATTGCTAGTATGAATAAATAGAAGTATTAGTGATTGTATTTTAACTAAACTGGTCTTACCATACCACTGTAATGGGCTGTAATATTCATTCCTCTGTATAATCAAATTTAGTTTAATATGTTATTGATAATATTTTGAACTTAGGAGCACTAGAAAAGAAGCTTTCTTCTGAAATGTCATACAAGGACATGGTCAAGGCCAGCAACAATGATGCTTTGTCCACATCTAAGCAGATAGAGAAAGACTTGTTGAGAACGATGCCTAGCAACGCGTGTTTCAGCCACCTTCACAGCACTGGGATACCTCGGTTACGACGTGTGCTTCGAGCATTGGCATGGTTCTACCCAGACATTGGGTATGATTAGCATAAGTTCAACTTCAATTCAGGCTAGCATAATCATACTGGTTGATCATTAAAATTTTAATAAATTTAGTTTTAAATTGCTGCTACTAAAGGTTCTGCTGATTTTAGTTAATAACAAAACTTCTGTCTCAATCTTTAATTATTCAAAGTACAGATCCTGGTTGGAGCAAATTTAGGCATATTAAATTATTAATATAGTTAGCATGTATTGTACAATTTAAAAGCTGACACTATAAGTATAAATTGAAAAACCAACATCCACTTTACACTCAAACTAGGTATCAAATTGATTTGAGTATGAATTTGTTTTTAATAAAAAGAGCAGGGTTACCTGTACAGTGGGTGAGTCCTCGCAACTGGAAAGACATTTATATATATATATATATATATATATATATATATATATATATATATATATATATATATATATATATATATATATATATACACACACACATACAATTGCAATTTTCCATTTATATTAACAATGTGGACAGTGACCGTTAATTTTTTTTTTTTTGCGTTTATATAAACTACAACTTGGTTAGTTGGAGGGGCCACGGACTAAAGGCCCAATGCAGCGGTGTCGTGAGATCGGATCCTGGCATCTGCCACTATTTTTTATTAGTACTCTTCACCCTTGTACTGTACAAGTTCACCTCATGCTTTTGTGGATATGTTGAACGCACAGGTTCAAGGTCTATGTTGACGGGCAAATGCAACTTTAAAAGAGGTTGCTAACATCTTAATAAATAAAAACAATGAGCTTAAGCTTGGGATTCTTATTCAACTTTGAAAAAAATTAATATACCTATTAAACTATTTCTTTCCTGATTAGTAATGCTATGCTTTGTGCATACATTCTTAAAAGGCTTGATTTATTTCAGTACTCATCAGTTTAAACAGTTGTTTTTTTTTTTTGTACTCTAGGTATTGCCAAGGTACAGGAGTGATGGCTGCCTCCCTACTCTTACTCATGGAGGAGGAAGATGCTTTCTGGATGCTCAGTACCATTGTAGAGGACATACTACCGGCCTCATACTACTCCTCCACATTGATTGGTAAATATTTCTTACACTTATTGTCAAAGCTCTCACTAAAACAAATCACAAAATTCTGAGTTTAGTCCATGTGTTGTTTTCAAAACCATTGATCTCCTAGTGCATTGCCTGTTAGTTCTAAAACATTCAACACTTGTCGATTGAATACTTATGAGTTTTTCTCGACAGAAAAATGATTTAGAAAACATATGTATCAATGTAGAAGGTAAGTCTGCCAAAGACCATGCCACCACACCAATAACGTAGTAATGTTAAGCTCAGCCTCATCACACTACATTGGTTCTTCACTGTCTTTCTCTTTGTAGGTATCCAAGCAGACCAGAGAGTGCTAAGGACGTTGATATGTTCATACTTGCCAGATGTGGACCTCACTCTGAAGCAGCATGACATTGAGCTCAGCCTCATCACACTACATTGGTTCTTCACTGTCTTTCTCTTTGTAGGTATCCAAGCAGACCAGAGAGTGCTAAGGACGTTGATATGTTCATACTTGCCAGATGTGGACCTCACTCTGAAGCAGCATGACATTGAGCTCAGCCTCATCACACTACATTGGTTCTTCACTGTCTTTCTCTTTGTAGGTATCCAAGCAGACCAGAGAGTGCTAAGGACGTTGATATGTTCATACTTGCCAGATGTGGACCTCACTCAGAAGCAGCATGACATTGAGCTCAACCTCATCACACTACATTGGTCCTTCACTGTCTTTCTCTTTGTAGGCATCCAAGCAGACCAGAGAGTGCTAAGGACTTTGATCTGTTCATACTTGCCAGATGTGGACCTCACTCTGAAGCAGCATGACATTGAGCTCAGCCTCATCACACTACATTGGTTCTTCACTGCCTTTCTCTTTGCAGGTATCCAAGCAGACCAGAGAGTGCTAAGGACGTTGATATGTTCATACTTGCCAGATGAGGACCTCACTCTGAAGCAGCATGACATTGAGCTCAGCCTCATCACACTACATTGGTTCTTCACTGCCTTTCTCTTTGTAGGTATCCAAGCAGACCAGAGAGTGCTAAGGACGTTGATATGTTCATACTTGCCAGATGTGGACCTCACTCCGAAGCAGCATGACATTGAGCTCAGCCTCATCACACTACATTGGTTCTTCACTGTCTTTCTCTTTGTAGGTATCCAAGCAGACCAGAGAGTGCTAAGGACGTTGATATGTCCATACTTGCCAGATGTGGACCTCACTCTGAAGCAGCATGACATTGAGCTCAACCTCATCACACTACATTGGTCCTTCACTGTCTTTCTCTTTGTAGGCATCCAAGCAGACCAGAGAGTGCTAAGGACTTTGATCTGTTCATACTTGCCAGATGTGGACCTCACTCTGAAGCAGCATGACATTGAGCTCAGCCTCATCACACTACATTGGTTCTTCACTGCCTTTCTCTTTGCAGGTATCCAAGCAGACCAGAGAGTGCTAAGGACGTTGATATGTTCATACTTGCCAGATGAGGACCTCACTCTGAAGCAGCATGACATTGAGCTCAGCCTCATCACACTACATTGGTTCTTCACTGCCTTTCTCTTTGTAGGTATCCAAGCAGACCAGAGAGTGCTAAGGACGTTGATATGTTCATACTTGCCAGATGTGGACCTCACTCCGAAGCAGCATGACATTGAGCTCAGCCTCATCACACTACATTGGTTCTTCACTGTCTTTCTCTTTGTAGGTATCCAAGCAGACCAGAGAGTGCTAAGGACGTTGATATGTCCATACTTGCCAGATGTGGACCTCACTCTGAAGCAGCATGACATTGAGCTCAGCCTCATCACACTACATTGGTTCTTCACTGCCTTTCTCTTTGTAGGTATCCAAGCAGACCAGAGAGTGCTAAGGACGTTGATATGTTCATACTTGCCAGATGTGGACCTCACTCTGAAGCAGCATGACATTGAGCTCAGCCTCATCACACTACATTGGTTCTTCACTGTCTTTCTCTTTGTAGGTATCCAAGCAGACCAGAGAGTGCTAAGGACGTTGATATGTTCATACTTGCCAGATGTGGACCTCACTCTGAAGCAGCATGACATTGAGCTCAGCCTCATCACACTACATTGGTTCTTCACTGCCTTTCTCTTTGTAGGTATCCAAGCGGACCAGAGAGTGCTAAGGACGTTGATATGTTCATACTTGTCAGATGTGGACCTCACTCTGAAGCAGCATGACATTGAGCTCAGCCTCATCACACTACATTGGTTCTTCACTGCCTTTCTCTTTGTAGGTATCCAAGCAGACCAGAGAGTGCTAAGGACGTTGATATGTTCATACTTGCCAGATGTGGACCTCACTCCGAAGCAGCATGACATTGAGCTCAGCCTCATCACACTACATTGGTTCTTCACTGCCTTTCTCTTTGTAGGTATCCAAGCAGACCAGAGAGTGCTAAGGACGTTGATCTGTTCATACTTGCCAGATGTGGACCTCACTCTGAAGCAGCATGACATTGAGCTCAGCCTCATCACACTACATTGGTTCTTCACTGCCTTTCTCTTTGTAGGTATCCAAGCAGACCAGAGAGTGCTAAGGACGTTGATATGTTCATACTTGCCAGATGTGGACCTCACTCTGAAGCAGCATGACATTGAGCTCAGCCTCATCACACTACATTGGTTCTTCACTGTCTTTCTCTTTGTAGGTATCCAAGCACACCGGAGAGTGCTAAGGACGTTGATATGTTCATACTTGCCAGATGTGGACCTCACTCTGAAGATGTGGACCTCACTCTGAAGCAGCATGACATTGAGCTCAGCCTCATCACACTACATTGGTTCTTCACTGCCTTTCTCTTTGTAGGTATCCAAGCAGACCAGAGAGTGCTAAGGACGTTGATCTGTTCATACTTGCCAGATGTGGACCTCACTCTGAAGCAGCATGACATTGAGCTCAGCCTCATCACACTACATTGGTTCTTCACTGTCTTTCTCTTTGTAGGTATCCAAGCAGACCAGAGAGTGCTAAGGACGTTGATATGTCCATACTTGCCAGATGTGGACCTCATTCTGAAGCAGCATGACATTGAGCTCAGCCTCATCACACTACATTGGTTCTTCACTGCCTTTCTCTTTGTAGGTATCCAAGCAGACCAGAGAGTGCCAAGGACGTTGATATGTTCATACTTGCCAGATGTGGATCTCACTCTGAAGCAGCATGACATTGAGCTCAGCCTCATCACACTACATTGGTTCTTCACTGTCTTTCTCTTTGTAGGTATCCAAGCACACCGGAGAGTGCTAAGGACGTTGATATGTTCATACTTGCCAGATGTGGACCTCACTCTGAAGCAGCATGACATTGAGCTCAGCCTCATCACACTACATTGGTTCTTCACTGCCTTTCTCTTTGTAGGTATCCAAGCAGACCAGAGAGTGCTAAGGACGTTGATCTGTTCATACTTGCCAGATGTGGACCTCACTCTGAAGCAGCATGACATTGAGCTCAGCCTCATCACACTACATTGGTTCCTTACTCTCTTTGCATCCGTAGTCCACATGAAGGTGCTGCTTCGCATATGGGATCTCTTCTTCTTTGATGGCTCTCTTGTCTTATTCCAAATCACACTTGGGATGTTAAAGATTAAAGGTAAAGACTATATAAATATTATTCCTTAGCCAACGGTAGCATTCATGCAAGAACATTGGCTAAGTACTTACTTACTTACTTTTGGTAAGTACGAGGATTGTCTGTAAATTAAGGTCTCCAACGACCTCTCCTAAGGCTAATGGAGATTGTTTACATCCTGCACCAGCCCCGTGTTTCTTACTTTACCCAATACCATTCCACCTAGTTTCCACCCCTATTTGGCAATTAGTCTTGTTGTAGTAGCCGATAACAATGTAAGGAAAAATCAATGCTCACAAAAAGTAAAAATTGTGATTGGGTGCCTATTGCAAGGTGTCAATCCCTACTTTATTTCTGTTGCTAGTTGGCAGATTGTTTTTAAGCTAAAAAGTTTTTAGACTTTTAAAATGGACATAAGTGCATAAGTGGCTTAGAGAGTTTACTGTACTACTGTATAAATAAAATTGTGAATAGATGTGTATTGTTACTTTTCCAGAGCCAACTTTAAAGGGATTAGAAAACTCTGCCCAAATATTCAATGCTTTGTCTGATATACCTGGAGATATTGAAGATGTAGATCAACTTCTTGAGGTAAATATTTCATTTAATGGCCAAATTATTCATCATTAAATCCACAAAATCAACAATTTTTAAAAATCTTTCAAAGTTTACTTTTCATCTTTTATAGGCTTTGATTTTTCATTATAACTGCAGTACCTCTTAAAATTACACAAGGAATACAAAAGTTGGTCTACAAAATTTTGTAATTGACCTACCTACTAAAAATTAAAAACATTTCTCTAATGCGTCGATTTCGGTTTAAACTCACAAATATTGCGCTGCCAATAGGTCCGTCCCCTATTTACGTATTATCCCTATTATATAGGCCTACCCAATTATCTGTAACGAGTTTTGACATCGGTTCTCGACACCAGTGGTAGTGAGAATCACTTTTAGGTACCAGCAAATTTTTAACTTAGTTATTGTTTGCGTTTCACCCTTTTTTACATAAATAACAAATACAAGATCCCCATCTATAGAGCAGGCACACTGCTAAACAAGTCTTAAACAAATCAAATTGAATTTTGTGTGATACAGCAAACTATTGCTACATATAATCTCGTGACAGGTGGCGTTCCGAGTGGCTGGTTCGCTGAGTGAGGTTATGGTGGAGACTCATAGGCGACGACACCTTGCATACCTGATGGCAGACGCAGGCGCATTGGTTGGCAACCCTGAGGCCGCACCTAACCTACCCAAGCAGCACCTGAGCAGGTTAGCGTCACTTGTGCGTCGTCTGCTGTTCAATCTGATGAGGCTTGCTGTGGGGGCTTGCATGCCACGCCGTACCTGACCCTCCCAGTAGAGAGATTCAATCAGTAGAACTAATGCTTTTGTTGCTCTTTTACCAGTAGTTTTACACAGTTGACTTGTAGTGCTTGCTGTATATAAAAAACTCTATTTAGATTTGCATGTCACCAAAAGCTTGAATCGATCCATAACAAAGTTCTCAATTAAATTAATTTATTGTGCAAAGGCAAAACCTCGGTTTGGTTGCATGGCTAAGTAAAATTATTAATCAGTTTTTAGCTTTGGTAACAGCATTCTTGTGGATCTGACTCAAACTTTCATCAAAGTTTTCTTACTTATTCGTTCAAAATATTTACCCTGTGCTTTGTTTTCCATATTTTGCATGTGCATTACAGTAGAAGAATATAAATATCTTTTTTCACTAATCTAAATCGGGGACAATAGCTTGATTAAAAAATGTACTAAAAGAGTACAAAATAAACTTAATTTAACCACTCAATTAATATTAATACTATTAATACTGGTAACTAAATCACCATCCAACATTCTTCTAAGTGTCATATTACGGTTTCATTGTTGGATTATTTTAATTCTAGGGTCCCTTGGGCCTTTCATAAAAACATACCTTATATTGTCTATTGGCACCCCCAGTTAGACTTGGTCTCATTTCTTATCAACCATTTCAGTATTGATAGTTGATAAGGTGACTCGCTTAGTAATTAACTTCCGCGTAGCTGTAAATGTTATGTTCATCTCTAAGGTAAAATGTTTTTAACCTAGAAATCTACAAGAAATCACTATTCAATAACTCAATTGAAAAAATAACTAAATAATTGAGTTAACTAATTAATAACAGAATGTTAAACAAGCTGGCCTATTTTATCTTTCTAAAATTTATAAAATAAATAAACCAATTTTAAATGTCTTAAGGCCCCAGTAGGGGTTTTTTGTAAATATTTATCATAAAAGTGGACCAAAAATCCAAACCAAAGTATTATCTGGATATGGTCTATACAATGCTATAACATAATTATATCTTGATCCAATTTAATATTCTTTGCCCAACGATTTGTTTGCCAAGTTTTGAACTTGGACGACTTTTTATATTATGCTATGGATACTTTTTAATGGGTATTATTTAATAACTATAACTTTTTTTATTTACCTAGTTTTTGGAAGTTTATTATTTATTTACTACTATTAGCTCTATAATTTAAACTATTTGTTTACAAAGCTGCTAGTATTACAATTGTTACCAATAATCTCCCAAAACCAAGGTTTTGCCTTTCAACGTTTTAAATTGGTCAATTGTTTAATTCCTTTTAATAAAGAACAAAATAATATATTGAAACAAACTTAATAAGTAATTCATTGCTTTATTGTAATCAAATTTATCATACTAATTTAGCCTATTGTAATATTATTTATAGTTATTAAAATACCTTTTTATCTTACTATCTATGTGTAATATACATGGTAGAATCAAACTAGTCAATAACAAACTATTATTTTTTATTGGTTTTTGTTGCTTTTTTTTGTTCATTTTTTGACTGAAACTAAAGTTGGTTTTAATCTACTTAATTGTCTTTTATTTCTTTTACATTCCTTCTACAATGTTTTCTGTTTCATTTTTAACATAACACACATTGTATAAAGATTAAGATTATGTTTCATACAAATCCTGGAAAACTTCTGTGGTATTATATAACTCCATATTGTAAATATCAATGTACAGGGTGAGGCAATGAGAACGCCAATTTATAAATAACACATATTTAATACTACTATTGTCCCTGTTGCTTGAATTCGAGCAATTGCTTAGTATCACAGTCGTTATTTTAAAACGAATAACAGTCATAATTTCTGATGACTTTAAAAGATTTGACTCAAAGATTAATACTCAAGATGTACATAACAGATAGATATAGGCCTAATCAACATTTCTTGTAAATATCTTATCACTTTTCAAAAGCTGATCTTGTTTTTTAGTGTTTTCTTACAAATAGCCTAACTCATTGCCGCATTAGGTTGTCCATAATAATAACGATTAAAAATATATAAAAAAACATTATTTCTATTTCTTCACCTTGGTGGTGTTTTATGCCTTTCTTATGTTTCCATAGTTTGCAAATGGGCTCTTTCAATGATTACTAAGAAAATGCAGCACAGTGTTAATTCAGTTTTCTTTTTATATATCAATTTATCCAGGCTCTCGCTTTTTTCCATTGTAATATTTACGGCAACCCTAATTCAAATAGTAAATATTTCATTTCAACCAAGTCAGTAAATTTTTGTAGCAAACTGTTAAATTAGCAAACTTATTGACTGTTTACAATTAACATATTTTCTTCTTCTCACTTTTAATTTCTGACAACAGCTGGAATTTCATAACAATTTTTGTTTACCATGTTAATCTTATGGAGAAATTTGAAACTTTAAAGGGCTCCAGGGCCTCACTCTCTAATTATTTCCCTAAAAAGAAAGTTTCCTGCACAACTTCACGTTACGCTCTTTCCAATGACACCAAAAACATGTCAATCGCTTCAGTAGTTTCAGAGGAGTAATTGTCACAAAAAACCTGCTTGCGTATTAAATAAGTAATAGATTTACACTATACACCTAAATAGCACATCAAAACAAAAGTTATCTTATGCCATTTTAACTTGACTAAGTCATTTGTTCATTTCTTAAAAACTATCACTTAAGTGACGACCTTGAACACGTTGACATTCCTCAACTCGCTTGAAAAAACTGTTGAATACTCGTTCCAGCATTTCTTGAGGAATCACTTGAACTTCTTCGGCGATTCTTTGCTTCAGTTCGCGCAAATCTCTGGGACGACTTTGAAATACCCTGAATTTCAAATAGCCCCAATGAAAGAAATCACTGACAGACAAATCTGGTGATCGAGCTGGCCAGGGTATGTCACCGAATCTTGAAATCAAACGACCTTCTTAGTGCGGTCATGGAGTTATCGGCTGTGTGTGTGCAGTGGCTCCATCCTGCTGGAAGTAGAGCTGCTCTGTGTCAATTTCCAACCCCTCCAAATTTGGAATAAAAAAGTTATTTAACATGTCCACATATCAAACTGAATTCACGGTTACTGAGTTCCCACCATTATCTTCAAAGAAGTAGGGTCCAAAAATTCTCTCGTTCGAAACTGCACACCAGACGTCACTTTAGGGCTGTGTAAAGGCTTAGGATGAAGGTCTTTAGGATTATCAGCACTCCAGTACCGCATATTATGTTTGTTGACGTGGCCAGAAAGGTAAAAATTTGCTTCATCAGACATTATTAACAGGTCCGACAAATTTTGCCCTTATTTTTGATTGTCAGTATTTGATCACAGAACACAGTCTTCGATTGTAGTCTTATGCTTTAAGTTCTTGCACAACTTGAATTTTGTAAGGATGGAAATGAAGATCTTGATGCAAAATTCTTCGTAGAGATCTGTTGGAAATTTGAAGTGCCAACACTTGTTTCCTAGCGGACCTCTTAGGACTTCGCGTTACGGCGACTCACACTCTTTCTACACTGGCTGGTATACGTGCAGTCTTGCGGCTTCCACCAATTTTCTTTTGTGTTGATGCCGTACTTCTAAATAATTTTATCCAGTTCTTTATAGTTTTCCGATCGGGGACAGCACCATGTCGTTCAACGTTGAAATGTGTCCTAAACAATCTCTTGAGTTTTTACAAAAGACTTGGTGCTTGATTGCTAGTATCTTAGCTGGTCAGGAATCGTTATCACATCCACAATGGATCTAGTCTGTCAACTACACAACTTTGGGAACAAAGCTGCGGTGTCCCTATACTGCTACTCTTTGGCCCAAGGTAGTGAAAAACTGCAAATAAACAATGCAGTTACTTTTCAATTTTTGAGTGGGTAAAAATAAAAACATACATGCATTACCAAAAGTAACAGATGTGATTCACAAAGTAGAAACTCTATCCTAAACTGTTAAAATATTAGGTCATTTGAAAAAGGTAAAGTTTAAAAGTTAAGCTGGCTAAAATAACTAATGTTTGATGTCCCTAAGGCTAGGGCCACACTTGGTGACTTTGTCGTGGCGACTTTTTTTCACGCAACTTTGTCGCGACGACAAATTCGCTGGGGGTGGCCACAATAGGCGACAATTTCAACCTATCAGTTTACTTTTTTACCATACCAGTAAAAATAGAATTTTGAGATGTTTATTTGTATTTTCAACATTTGTAGCAAATTTAATTAAAATCTCATAATTTTTGCTCAAGTTATCGCGCTAATGGGCACATAGACCTATATAACCATAAATATAAATATATACACTGCATATGTATATAGACTTATATATATGAATTTGAACGAAGGGTGTTTTTGCCTCTGGGAACCTCAAATCGAAAAATTTAAATCGGTCCCGGGTTTAGGTCATACTCTGAAACCTAAGGTAATAGGTTAAAATTCAATAAAGCAACTGAATTTGGCCTAGAGTGTAGGTTTGCTGTAACAGGGTTACTATGCACTGGTGCACATGTGGCTTTGATTTTTAGGTGATTAATGCACCACAAAATGGAAAGTAATTTATAATGGTGTTGGGCAATTATCCTCATTTAACAAATAGCAATTTGTAGCAACAAATTTAAGTACAGTGTTATTTATATTAGAGGGTGAATTAGGTGTAATTTACTGTTTATTGTGGACTGTTTAGAATAAACAAACAAAATATATAACCATATCATGTCATAAATCAACTGCAGATTTGCTTGTTTTGCTGGTTTTCTCTAACGTGTTTGAGGATTTTAGTCTGGGCGTCGACCCATTGTAATTAACGATGACCAGGAAATTTGGGTGGACAAAGATTTTTTGACTGATTCTGACTCAGTTTTTTGCGCTGATTACGAATATGCCGGGTGCCACCTTGGCACCCTTGGGCAAACGCCACCATATTGGAAAAATGGCGGCCAAAACTGGTTTTTCGATAAATACTCGAAAACGGTTAGTTTTAGAGATATTTATGTGGAGACATAAAATGTAGAACGTAAAAAACTACACAGAAATGATGTCAACACTTTTTTTGGTAAACCTCACGGTTTTAGCACAATTTTGTGAAATTGAAGTTATTATTAACATAAAGTTGTAATTTAGTGCCAATACCTATGACATGTTACATTCATTCTTCAAAAAACATAATTATATTATGCATTACACATTTGTACAAGTAACCTTTGATTAAAATAATTGTTAGTTTCATCTAACATCCCTCAGTTACCCACCCCGTGGCCATTATGCTATTTCTGTTTGCGAGTCTTTGGCGGGCTCGGTGGCGCGCTCAGCCTTCAATAAAGTTTCAAATACAGTTGTGATAGTTGCTTGTAAGTGGTGTACAAGTGATATGTAGTTGGATACTTTGGTTGGAAATCACTAAGGTAAATTATCTTAAAATTAGATTTTTATACAGGGTGTCTCAGACCACCCGGCCGGCTTGTATAACTCCAATATGAAAGCAAATGGAAACCTAATTGCAACTGGAACCCCCTATTGTGACCCCAAGGAATTCAGCTAAATTACTTTCAACCCCAAAAAAGCACCCCAAATGGCAGATTTTGGGGGGTAGGGGTGGTTTTTGGGAAATTTTCAAATGTAAAGGGGGGTCGTGTTATACCTCATTTTAAAGGTCCTTTAGTCCTGAGAATTTTAGTGGAAAAAGGTTTAAATTATCTTCATCTCTATTTACAGGGTGTTCAAAAACGTACAAAAAATAGACCTTTGAACTACTTTTCACTGTTAAGAGGTGGAATTTCGTGGGGGGTTCAAATTTTGATAACACTTTAATTGCTAAAAGAGCTTTAAAAAAACTCTGGTTTCAACCCTTTTGCTATCTTTTTACTTATGTTATGCATTTTCAAACTTTTCGAAGTTTCAAAAGCTGTTATCTCAAAAATTTCAAACGGCAACATGGGTTTCATTACAAACCAAATTGTAGCCCTTAAAATTAGCTACAAAATTTGTATTTAATGTTTTTTGGTATCTTCATTGGTTAAAGAGATATAGCGAAATTAGTGTATTTTAATATTTTATTAAATGGTATTCAAAGTGTTTGCTGTTGTAAATGTACACCTCTAGGACTCAATTAAAACTATTTTGGTCTAAAAATGCTTAAATTGACTTCCGTTTTGTTCAATGCAAACCCCAACTCTGTTTATAGGCACATAGTACTTCTTCTCCACTATGCTATTTACGTACTGTATTGCTATTTTACTACCGCAGGTGCATTCACCTCTCGTACAGGTCCAGTAAGTTCTTTAAAATTTGTTTTATCTGATCAAACGTGACCAGTTTCACGCACACGCTCATTGATTTCATGATGATTTTTTTTTATTATTTACAAGTATCATTTATAGACAGTATTCATTCAAAGCACTATTAGAACTTTGGAATTGTAAAATAACTAAGAATATTTGCAGTTGTGTTCTTTCCTTTATCAATCTTCCAAGATCAACAATCTGAGTACTATTTTATTTTTTAGACAAAATTAGTTTTAATTGAGTCCTAGAGGTGTACATTTACAACAGCAAACACTTTGAATACCATTTAATAAAACATTAAAATACACTAATTTCGCTATATCTCTTTAACCAATGAAGATACCAAAAAACATTAAATACAAAATTTGTAGCTAATTTTAAGGGCTACAATGTGGTTTGTAATGAAACCCATGTTGCCGTTTGAAATTTTTGAGATAACAGCTTTTGAAACTTCGAAAAGTTTGAAAATGCATAACATAAGTAAAAAGATAGCAAAAGGGTTGAAACCAGAGTTTTTTTAAAGCTCTTTTAGCAATTAAAGTGTTATCAAAATTTGAACCCCCCACGAAATTCCACCTCTTAACAGTGAAAAGTAGTTCAAAGGTCTATTTTTTGTACGTTTTTGAACACCCTGTAAATAGAGATGAAGATAATTTAAATCTTTTTCCACTAAAATTCTCAGGACTAAAGGACCTTTAAAATGAGGTATAACACGACCCCCCTTTACATTTGAAAATTTCCCAAAAACCACCCCTACCCCCCAAAATCTGCAATTTGGGGTGCTTTTTTGGGGTTGAAAGTAATTTAGCTGAATTCCTTGGGGTCAAAATAGGGGGTTCTAGTTGCAATTAGGTTTCCATTTGCTTTCATATTGGAGTTATACAAGCCGGCCGGGTGGTCTGAGACACCCTGTATTATTGCATTATGTCATTGATTTAACCTGCTTATAAATACCTGCCAACTACATATGCTATTCTAGCTATAGGAGTAGATAAATACGATGATACTATTACATAATTTTTACTCTGTTGGGTATTTAATTGACAAGCTGTAATACTAGTTAGTACAAGGTTCTATTATAATGTATTATGTATCAATATAGGCCTATACATTAAATTGGCAAATAAAAATGTATCGAATATTAGAACGAATGATTTTTTATTTAAAAGTTTACATTGAAAAAAAATATATATACATGGTGTGGCATAACTTTACCATGCTCTTCCCCCCAAATACCACCACCCCGACGAAAAAAACCCAGATCCGGCACAGTATATGTTTGTGGAACGTCTTTATAAAGTTAATGAAAATTCCAATTGATGTGTTTTGTTCTAGATTGGAACAATGAATTGAATACGATAATGACGGAAAATAGAAGTGTATTAGAGGATGAAAACTTACCTCAAAGGGAAGGGAATATTCTTGCTTTTTAACTGAGGAAAAAATGGAGAGTTAATAAGTGGATGCCCTGTAAGAGTCTGATCAATTAAATCAGCAAGTATTGAACTACAAGATGAGTTGTTCATCTACCTGGATGAAAATTTACTCGATTATTTTCATAAATCTTGTGTGTCCTCTTCCTCATAGATATCAAAGACCCACATTCAGCGTGCATTTAAAACATTAGCCCGCCCGTAGTTCCTCCACCACCCAAACGTTTGAAAAGATCAGATATAAAGAGCTTTGATTTTAGACTATATTGCCTGTACTGTGGAGAAAAATGTTTGAAAATTTATCTGAAACATCCCGACCAATGGCAACTATATTCCCGAATCCGAACTGTTGGTAGACCGAACAAGCCCACTCTAAAACAATTAGTTTTAGAAAAATGTGAGTTAAGGCAAGATGAGTTTTCTATTAAATTAAAGTTAGAATCAATGGGGTAATTGGAGATTGAAAACAAAGACCTATTCGCAAACACAAATCTTGGTAGTGAAGATACTATTTTGAAATCAATTATTAATATAATGAAAGAAGACCCATCACACGTTTGGAACTCAATAGAGCTGTTTGAGTTTTCTAAATCCCAGGGGGGGGGTCAATTATAACACGCAAAATTCTGGTAAAAAAAAACAGACATCGTAGGACCTAGCTTGATTGTGTTATCTTCTCCTGGAAATACTATCATCATATATCATCATTAAGTTACTGCTAAATAAGAAGAAACTGATCAATGAACTACAAAATTTGGTGTAACCTGTACATACAGTGAGGCTCGGCGGTTTAAAGCATCAGCGGCTGTTGCAGCTAGTAAAAATCCAATGTTAAGGGGTTTAAAAGACCGCAAACATGGATTTATACACGCTGTAGGTGACAAGTTCGATACATTTTTATCTACAAATAATTGCTTACGCCAAACCCACAGCATGCCTTTACTAATGACTCAAGCGAAAACCTCAAGCGACTTCTCAGTTATATGTATTAACTCCATTATTTACATTACTTAAATTTAAATCTGTAACTGTACCTGTATTTTTCTTTTACCATCACACCAATAAGTACTATTGTTGCTTAAAATAAACCAGGAGATTCTCACTGTACCTGCAGATTGGGGGAATACGAGAATGTACAGTGTAATTGTTTAGGGGCGAGTGTGATGTGACTGGGGGGGGGGGGGGTGGTCTTTGAAGGCACTAATAACAATTATTTTTAACAAAGGTTACTTGTACAAATGTGTATTGCTTATATAATTAAGTTTTTTTAAGAATGGATGTAATATGTCATAGGTATTTGCACTAAATTACAACTTTATGTTAATAATTACTTATTTAAAAAAATTTTGCTAAAACCGTGAGGTTTACAAAAAAAGTGTAGATATCATTTCTGTGTAGTTTTTTACGCTCTACATTTTATGTCTCCACATAAATATCTCTAAAACTAACCGTTTTCGAGTATTTATCGAAAAACCAGTTTTGGCCGCCATTTTTCCAATATGGCGGCGTTTGCCCAAGGGTGCCAAGGTGGCACCCGGCATATTCGTAATCAGCGCAAAAAACTGAGTCAGAATCAGTAAAAAAACCTTTGTCCACCCAAATTTCCAGGTTCCCCTAGCTGACGCCCAGACTATTTAGACAAGTTTTGTTACACCATTGTCTGGATGATTAAACATTGAACCAATGACCAGGATATAGGATTTCATTAGGCAAAAACCAAAGACAGCTTCATCCTTTTTTTGAATAGATGAGGATAGAATTTCTTGTTCCCAAAACCCTAAACAAATAATTTAATAAAAGTACTTATTTTATAATTTGTATTTTTTTTTTTTCATTTAACCATAGTACGTGTGTATATAATTTTTATCTTCATATCGTCCAACGCTTCTTCATAGATTCACAGATAACAATTATATTTTAAAATAATAGCCTACTTCAAAATCCATATTTACTTATGCGCTGATTATAATCTGTAAAATTCCATTTTTTATCAGGAGACAAGTCAAAAAGAACAAATCAGTTATTCAACTTTTATTATTTGGAGACGAAGTCACTGAAGAAGACATCAAGTCTAAAAACATTAAGCAAACAGGTAAGAGCCATCCTTTAGTAACCTGTTCAATTTAAATTACCTTTAAATATATTTTGTCTAGGTAATACATTTTATAAAAATTGTAAATGCATGTTAAACATAAGTTAAAATGTGTTTAATTATTTTTGTTAGGACTATATTCGTTTTTGTCTCCAGAATTTACACTATAACTATAATATAGGTCCTGTATTTTTTGTAAATTTTGATCCACTATAATATAAGATTATTATCAGTTTTTAATTATCATATTTCCATTTTCAAATCTCATAAGATCATCAAAAACACATATCGTCCCAAGAAACATTTAACACATTTTAACAAAAATGCCATAACATCCGACCCGATATAGTCCCTTCCGTCCACTGGGCCAGTGTCTGGACATTCTTGTTTTCATTGTCCAGCCTTCACATCATTATATTTTTTTTACGTTTATTCCCCATTATGGGATGTTCAATGTGATACTTGTTTTTGTCAATCCTATGAGATTTATCAATGAAGCTATAACTTCCTGAAATTAGTCATCTGAAAATAGACAGTAGATTTTTAACGACAAAAGATATAGACTTGCATCATTATTTTCATATAGGACCATATTTCAACATCAGTAGTATCAGTATCTTTTTTTTTTTTCAATGAAGGTACAATATACAGTAATCCTTTTACTTGTGTGATGTTACTGTAGCAATCAAGCTGATGGTGCCTGGCTACTGACTGATATGTCATGTAACCTTGTCTGTGTTGTCTGACAGAGATCCTTGTAGACCTGAGAGAGGCCATCCTGCAAGTAGCTCGTCACTTCCTACAGACAGACCCCAAGCTACACAAAGATGTATCTCTGGTGGCAGACTACAGCATACAGAGCCACACACGAGACCACGAACAATATCTGGATGTGTCTCGTACTAGGAAGCGCAGAGCTAAAGCTCTCCTGGGTATGGTTGCTGATGATATATTTTTTTTTTTATTAAAATAATTAGTATATGTTTTTCTTTATGCTGAATCAGTTCCAACTAGACACATTAATTTCAGGTCTTAAATTTTCAAATTAAAGCTTGATTAGGCATGTTAGCTTGATTACATTTTGTGTATGTTATAGATTTTGAGCGTCATGATGATGATGAGTTAGGTTTTCGCAAGAATGATATCATAACAATCATCAGTCAGAAGGACGAACACTGCTGGGTTGGGGAGCTGAATGGACTTAGAGGTGAATATATTCTTGATTGTTAAATGTCTTCAAATCTTTCTTTCGCCATTCAATTAGGCCTACTAATTAATTTTTACCTGTCTGCTATTAATCCAACAAACATGGTACAGTGTTATTCCTGTAAATAATTTATAAATTTACTACACTTACAAAGTTTGCTAAGGACATTTTATTCATATAGTCCAGCATTTATAGGGGGTTGAGTATGTACTGAAAGTGTAAAGCATTTTGATTTTTGATTGTTGTTGAGGGCATCTTGGAGATTACAAAATCCAATGTTGTTGCCTCCAAGCAGGTGCACAACTTGGGGGTGAGGGGGATATGGAGAGGTGTTCTTAAATATTGCACATATCTCGTCAACTAGACATGATAGAAAACTAAAATTCTAAACGGTAACTAAGTTCTAAACGGCAACTGAGTTCTAAACGGCATTGTATTGCAAACTTCATCTTCTTTAAAAAATATTATAAGGAAATATACCTCATCTATAATAATAATTGAGTTATTTACCCTTTTTTTGTGTATACCTAAAACCCAAAATAACTTTAGAGTAACCCTAAAAACACTTTAAACAACAAATAGTACTGTCAGATATATCTTTTATCAGGACAAATAAAACATCAAAACAATACTGATTTGTTTTTGGAAAGTTACCCTGTAGGTGAGTAGCGATGTGAGTAGTGTAGGTGGATCTGTGTGTTGATACTGCCAGTGGATGACTTGTGATGTTGTCAGGATGGTTCCCTGCCAAGTTCGTGGAGGTGTTGGATGAGCGCAGCAAGCAGTACTCATGTGCAGGAGATGACAGTGTGTCAGAGGTGGTCACTGACCTAGTGAGAGGCACCCTGTGTCCAGCCGTCAAGCAAGTGCTGGAACACGGCATGAAGCGACCGTCATTTATGGGTAACGACTTTATATCACTGTACCTCATTCACACCATCCAAATTATTAGGAATGTTATATTTGTGTTTGTAGGTATTAAAATATAAACAAACAATGACTCCTCTAGAAGTGCTTGTCACTCAATTTATTAGCTGAGCCAAGGCTCGTCTAAAATGCTAAAACCTCTAATTTGGTTCTTAATTTCAGGACTACTTTAGAAATGTAGCTTCTGAGTTATATGGTACTTAAATGCTGAGGGACTAATTAGAGTAAAGTGTAGTCACCCAGGCAAAATACTGCTTGAAAATTAAGTTGATGTTTCTAAACAACAAAGGGCGACACCTTGTTAGTGTCTTGTGGTCAGCATTGGGGTTTGTGGAGTTAAACAGATATTAGACAGGACATAGACAGGGTGTCCACCAACCGGGAAATCCAGGAAAACCAGGAATTATGCATGAGTTTTTGGAACCGGTAATTATGTTTGAATTTCTTATCTCTACTGGGAATTTGTAATTCTGATATTCACCATAATTTTTAAGGAAATTTCCGCTTGGAAAATATTGTTAATTGTCGGCAATTTTGTGGCGTCGCGAGTTACGATGATTTTTTTTAGATCGGAGTAATATTTTAAAATTGCGTACTTGTGTCAGGAAATATTAAAGCTATCACAAATTTGGTTCTTTTAACTCAGTAGGCAATTTAAGATTGGTAAAATAGTGAACCGAGGTGGCTCTGGAGTTTGTGCAAAAACAAGTGGGAACTGGAATTACTCATGAATTTTTTCTGGTTATCCCCCCTGATAGACAACAAATCCAACAAAAGTAATTATGACAGTATATTTTTGTTGTTTTGAAAACACCTAAGATAAGCATAGTTAACATGCCTTAGAAAATGTAAAAAACCAATCCAGCATCTAACTACATCCTCCATTAAGTAGTGTAATTTGTATTTTGTGTTTGAAGGGGGCCCCTGTCATCCCTGGTTGTTTATCGAGGAAGCTGCCATGAGAGAAGTGGAGAGAGACTTCAGCTCTGTCTACAGCAGACTTGTGTTGTGCAAAACATATCGGCTCGATGAAGATGGCAAAGTCCTCACACCCGAGGAGGTATGTTTTATTACTTACCAGAACATTATTACTTAGCAGAATCCACATTATACAGAATAGCTTTTAGAGCATTAGTTCTTTTCTTTCCCTTAAAAAAAGAGGTTGGCGGCCTCTTTTAACCTTGCATTTGCCCGTCCACATACAGTACACTACAGATCTGTGCATGGAACGTATCCAGCAAAGCAAGGGGTGAGCCGGTACAATACGAAGGAGAACTGCGCTGATAAAATGTTTTCAGCAATGACCAGGATCCGAACACATGTCATCGCTGCCATGGGCCGCAACACTACCAACTGAGCCACCGACTCACCAAAGACCAACATTAAATTCATTCAATGGTAGTTGAATTAATTTAGTGAATTGACTAGTGGAGTTTTATCAATACATTTGCATAGCATTTATAATGTTGTCAAGTTTTTTTATAAGACCCAAACCAGAGAATTTTGTTTTATTTGCTATTTTATTTTTAATACCGTATTTCCGTTTAATTATATATCACATCATACAAGATAATTTTAGGATATTGCATTGTAAATCGCACACTTTGGGTGATGAATTGTGCACTTGTTTGCAGTTGTTGTACAGGTGTGTCCAAGCCATCAACCTAAGCCATGACAACGCCCATGTACAGATGGATGTCAAGCTACGTAGTCTCATATGTCTGGGACTCAACGAGCAGGTGCTGCATCTCTGGCTGGAGGTTCTGTGTTCCTGTGTTGAGGTTGTGCAGAAATGGTAAGTTATATGATTCAAACCTGATGGAATACAAACCATGAGATTTGAAAATGTAATAAATCATAGATCTTTAATTAGAGATAAATTTACCAATAGAAAAATAATTATTTAAATATCATTACATTTTGATTGAATATTATTTTATTGATTTTACTACGCCTATGCAAAATGAATAATTTTGAATGTATATTGATATGGCTGCACTCCAATGTTGTTTTAGTGATTGTAAAGCACACTAACATTACTCATGCACATTAGGTATCAACCTTGGAGCTTCATCTGCAGTCCAGGCTGGGTACAGATCAAGTGTGAGCTCAGGATTCTCTCTCAGTTCGCCTTCAACCTCAACCCAGACTGGGAGTTGCCAGCCAAGAAGCAGCCGTCACAGCCGCTCAAGGATGGAGTGCGGGACATGTTGGTCAAACATCACCTGTTCAGTTGGGATCTCTGAGCCTCGACCTCACACTATCTCTTCAGCTGGGATCTGTAGTATCCAAGCTATCCCTTCTCGTATCCACTCAACTGAGTGTTCAATTGGAAGTTTTTGCTTAAGGTTGGTTTTGTTTCCATACTGATTCTACTCATGCCACAATTTTGGGAATGTAAAGAATTGGTGATCAAATGCTTGAATGGAGATTATTTCCCCAAAAGTAGGTTGGTGTAGTTGCTGTGTACCTTACTTCTCTTTCTTATGTGGACGGACTAAGGACATGTGGATGAACCATACTTCATAACAATGAGTGTGTGTATATTATCTTTATTATCTTCATTTTTGCTTAGTCTTCTTTTTGTGCTGCAGTATCTAATCGTCTTTGCCATAAAAAAACATAACTAACACAGATAGTGCAACCCTAACATAAATGGGGTTTGGGCCTTCATTTGGGTATTGTACAAGTAAATTTAGTTTTGTGTGCTATATTTATAGTAAGGTTTTTTGTGATTATAGCAAGCTTACCTGAATGGGAAAGAGTCCATACTGGTAGAAGATACATAAAACTTACTATAAATACAAAACATTAAAATATTCCACTCACTGTCACTGGCACTGGCAGAATATTCTACTGTGTTGTGTATATAGTGTAAAATGTTGTATATCCTGTACCAGTTTGGATTCCAATTCAGGTAAGCCTGCTATCCTCACAAAAATCCTTAAACCCTAGGCCCTCATGCTCTATGTTACATCCTTATATTTATTGTAAATTATTGTATAGAACTTAATTTTGTATTTAAACAAATCTAACTTTTAAAATTCAATGCTTGATACCTCTGGATGTGTCAAAAATGAAATCAGAATCTCAAATCCACTAAATGTCAAGAAAATATTAATATTCAAGATTTGGTTAGCTGTATGCAAGAATCAAATCTCAGATTTCATATAGTTAAAGTTAAGAGTAATACTTGCTAACCACCACAACCCTGTATTTGCTCTAAACAAAATAGAATCCTAACAAAGATTAACACGTTTGCTACATTTTAATCTTACACATAAACCGGCTGTCACTTGGTTAACAGGGTTAACCAAGGGTGAAAACTTATTAAACAGCGATCATTTACTTTGCAAAACCATAGGGCTTATAGGCTACTAAGCAGCACAAGGAGGTATGTTTTATCTTATCTATGGTAATACGCTGTAATCGGGTTTGTAAATATGTAATATATTCATGTTTTTTTTTTATATTTTTGATACCCTTTTGTTATGTTGCATATTTGTGACGCCCGGTCTATAGAGAAGACAATTGTTAAAAATATTTTTTTTAATAGCACAAACATACATGCGACAGTTCATTTTTGTTTTTGGTTTTAGGTGAAAGTAAGTAAAAAAAACTTATGTTTAAAAAACAGTTAATAATTGAACAAATATAAAAGCTACATAGAATAATAATGTTTTGCCACAATGGTAAATTTTCATAAAATAAAATGAATTGTACAAAAAATGTCTTTTATTTAATTATAGTGTTCAAAGCTTATAATGAAACAAATCAAAAATCTACTTAGGATAAAGACGTTTTGTTGCAATAGTAAATTGTCTAACTATTGTATCATATGGCGTCACCAATTATCATATCCACAGACCAAGCAAAGCAGATGTGCGGCAGACATCCCTGTAGAACACTGCAAAGAATTCATGGCCTTCAAATAGACCGTTACAAAGATATAAGCGTTTTAATAACATTGGAACACAAATATTGGTTGGCAGCCTATTTTTATGTAACAGTCTATGAGTAGAAACCAGCCATCGCATATATGCGTCACTGGTCCATATGAATGACTTTTGTACTATTGCTGTAGCGAACGTGTTCAATAACAGACACACAACAAGCAGATCTTTAACAAATAGATAAAAAAATGATTAAACCTTAATAATTTTTGCTGTAGCGAACGTGTTCAATAACAGACACACAACAAGCAGATCTTTAACAAATAGATAAAAAAATGATTAAACCTTAATAATTTTTTATCTATGATTTTTGTTGTTTATTAGCGGTTATAAACATAAACAGAGTATTGGAGATTTATTTTAACAAAGTCAGAATTTCCAATGATTTTACCAATACCAGGTAGCTCCAAATTTCAGATAACGAGACTAACTAGTTGTGGTAAATGCAGTTACAATTTTACTGTGATTTGTCTTAATTTTTAGAAATCTGAAAGCAAATTGTTCACATATTCCATTTTAGGAAAGATGGGTAATGAATAGCAATGCCCCTACCCCCTTACCTCGTGTAATATCACATAAAGCAAAATGTATTGGAAGCAAATTTATCTGAAAGAGCTAAACACATTAACATTATATCTTCTGTCTAGTTTTTTTAACACGTTCGCTGAGGGCTATCAAATGGCAGGCGTAGCCCCAGTGCAGCGCCGCCCGCAGCGTCGAACAAACCCGATTGCCGGGTGATTGGCTCTCATATTTCGGTATAACGAATAGCAAATAACGTGCGGTGATGTCCTGTTTTATAACAAGAGTCGACATAGTTTGCTTAACACTCACAGATAGCAGCACTGCTTGGAACGTAGCCGGTCCCATCGTATTGCCAATTGGAGGGAGAAAGACGGGACAACAAGTTGATTTTTAAGTTGGCCAGACGGGTATTTTATGTGGAAATTTTACTACCAACCTACAACACAACAAAAAGCAAGTCACCCACTACACGCTAACATGGAATAGGTCTGACTTCGACCGATGCTAGAGCAAAAACGATGATATACGAAAGGCATTGCCGAGCGTATCTGATCGGTTACGGCAGCACCTGAACAGCGCTCGGCCCGTATCCGATCGGATACGCCCGCAGTGAACGTGTTAATACTTTTAACTTAGTAATGTGTTTGCCATTCACTTTAATATTTCCTTAATTTACCAAAAGAAAAATAACATGGTAGTGCCTGTGGTTTTATTAATGAAACTTGCTTTTATTGTTGAATATAAATATTGATTTTAATTAATCTTATATTTTAAAATTTTTTAATTAATGTTAACTAGCCTATTTAACACGTAGAGTGCGGCCGTTCCCGATCGGGTACGGCGCTTGGCCCCCGTACGGTGCGTCTGTACCCCATCGGGAACGCTCGGTAATGCCTTTTGTATATCTTCGTTTTTGCTCTAGCGTCGGCCGAAAGCGGACCTATACGACGTTAGCGTGTAGTATGTGACTTGCATTTTGTTGTGGTGTAGGTTGGTAGTAAATTTCCCCGTAAAATCCCCGTCTGGCAATCTCAAAAGTCTTCTTTTTGTCCCGTCTTTTTCCCTCCAAAGAGACCAAAGAGATTGTGTTCCCATTGGCAATACAATTCCAATGGGACCGGCTACGTTCCAAGCAGTGCTGCTATCTGTGGGTGTTTAGCGAACTACATCGACTCTCGTTGTAAAGCAGGACATCCCCTCACGTTATTTGCTATTCGTCAGACCAAAATTGAAAAGGCCAATCACACGCGGCAATCGGGTTTACTCGACGCTGAGGGCTGCGCCGCACTGGGGATACGCCCGCTATTTGACGTGCCGCAGCGAACGTGTTAAATGTGTATAAATTGCGGTTAGTTTATTCAGTAAACATCTTTATGAATTGACAATATATTAGCTGTTGTGTGTAATACTGTATACTGTATTATATTACTATTTCGAAATGAGCTCAAAAGCTTGCTGTCTCTAATTATTAGCTGTAACATAAATAAAATCTCAGTTTGATAATTTGGTATATAGCCTATATGCTTTGTATTTAATGTTGTCTATAAATCGCTATTTTGAAGTTATTGAACTCGTAAAGGTTGTTGATTGTAAAATAAATGTATTTGTTTTAATAACTACCTCTTGTAAACATAGTGTTTTATATGCATAGTTGATCTGTTATGTGTACTTAACATACAATGTTACGGTTTTCGTTTTTTTATTTGTATTTTACACATTTGTAATTTTCAATTACCAATGCCATTTCCCTGGACAAGCTGTTTGGAAGTAATTTTACCTATCTATGAATTCAACATTTCAAATGTTTAATTTTAATGTTTAAATTATATTTTATTCTTGAACTTAAAAATATTTTATTCAAAATGTTGATTGATAATCTTGTCTTACAATTGTTGTCATCAGTATTTTGGTGATCTGACCACTGACTAGATAGGTATGTAGATTGAAGCCAAAAACTTAGTTTGTACCTAACCTAACACTTTTGAAATCTTTGCAAAATCAATTGTGAGGTTCAATTCAAAACCTTATCTTGTGTACTACTTGTGTTTATCTTTAATCTAAGTATCATAACTTAATTTTTCATATTTATTGAATATCTGTCAAATGAATAAACATTATTCAATATTATTCACTTGTACTCTGAATTTAAAAAATGTTACTATCATACTAATTACATTAAATTACAAATTTTATAAAAAAGAAAACTAATTCTAGTGTATAATCTCAAGACATTTATGGTTTTTACATTTTTTTGTGGTTTTTTACCTGTGACTGTCATTTGATTGTTATTTTTGGGGAACTTGACATTTTGTAGCAACCTTTGGTGTAAAAAAACTTGGTCCTATATTGTTCAAAGTTGATTCTTCAAATCATTTTTATTAATTGTATTGTAAAATGTTTTAAAATAAAATCAGTACTATTAGGCTGTTTCGAAGGGACAGGGTCTTAATTTAACCATTTAGAGAGTTTGTAAATGTTGCATTTAAATATGATACCAGAATGGAATTTTCATCTTTTTTAAATGGTGCCTTACAAGTATCTGGAATAGAACCAAACAATTAACTTCTTATAGAAAGGTAGTGCATCATGAAAAGTAAACCAATGTATGTATAGTGTATAGCAACTTACCACTTATCAGTAACTTAAAGTTTTACTCTTTGTGCTGACATATTGAATGTTGAAAAAATTATACATCTACAGTACAACAATTTATATCCCATTTTTACAACTAAATTAGTAGAATGTTCTACATCCCCTTTCTTTAGTTTTTCTTCCCTATTATTTTTAAAAATTGGCGTAGTAAAAAAAATTGGGTTTTATATCTATTTGAATAAAAATCTTGTTAACTGTTATATTTTGTGTAATGTTTTGGGCACAGTTGGCCAGTTGTACTGGACAAGTTGTTGACGTAAAAGTGTAAAATTGTTTCAACATATACTATTATCTCTGCAGCTCATGTGTCCAGCTCAGAATTATTTTAGTTCCAAAGTTTCTTTCTATATAAGTCACACTACTAAGCTGTCTTGGAGCTGAACTTTCTCAACGCTTATTTAATTTTGATACCTTATTGATGCTGTAAGTGTAAGTGAATACTTTTTTGATAATAGGGCCAATGAAACTAAATTTTTTAAATAATGGTTACTCATGTTTTTTACTGTTAGTATTTATTTACATTAACTCTTAAGTAGTGATGTGTCTATACCAAAATTTATCGATTTTCGATACCAATACCAATACCTGAAAAATCAATTCTCAATACCAATATAATTTTTTTATTGTTTTACCAAATTTTCTGAATAAATTGGTTATACTAAACCAACCCCTGTCTTTCTTCCCTTAAGTATGTTTTATGTAATGGGATGTGTTTCAAGTAAAGAAAAAATGTATGCAGCAATGATACATTCCAATTAGCCAATTTAAGTTCAAACACTTCTAAACACATTATAAAACTACCACATTGAAGATAAATAAAGATCTAACAACAAAAATCAAAAAGAAAATGATTTTTTAGAGGTGTGCTAGCCTGACATTTTCAGTCAAGCCAAACTCAAGGTAATATTGTGATCATCGCCAGTGATCGTGGCGGTTTCATCTTCGTCTTCTGGGATCACTGCAAAATCCTAAATATCTCCTCAATTACCGAAACATCTTCACTGTCTTTCACGGTTGCGGAAAAATCACAAACATCTCCCGCGGCCATGTAGACATCATCATTGACTCCCGCTGTCACAGAAACGTCATCGTCCACGATGGCGGCAATATCATGAACTTCTTCTGTGGCCGTGTAGAAACCATCGTTTTCCGCAATAGCGGCAGAATCATGAACATCTCCCGTGTCATCATCCTCTCCCACAGTCGTTTGGCAATAGCGGTAATTTTACGAAAGCGCGGCGTGATGGGTATCAGTATCGGAATCAACTTCTGACAATCAATTCTCGATGCCGATACCAACGGCCAAGAATTTGTGGTATCAAGAATCGGTATTGAGAATCCACACATCCCTATTAAGTAAATTTGTAATTGTCTGTTATCAGTTTTTAGTTTAAGATATTTTGAAATCTCTTGATAAGTCAGTGTTAACTAGGCTGTAATGAGTTTATGTTGAAACATATTATATACTATATAGCAAACATTCCATTATTTTATAGATGTGCATATTATCCATTGTTTAGTGTTGTATATTAATATTCTTTAATTTGCGTTATACAAAATATACCATTAATAATAAATAACTGCTGTGTCTTATTTATTCAAGTTTATAATTCAAAGATATTATTATTGACTATTATTATATACCGTAATGAGTTTCTTGTTCTTCAATACTACTTAGTATATAAAAATAGGGTCTTGCCTATTTTACTATTCATTATTAAGTTCCCTTGGATTTAAAACTCTTTAAAAGTAACAATATTGGACAAAGGGGAGACAGATAAAAAAAAATACACATTAGTAACTATTTATTAATTTTAACAATATAAAACTTGATTACAGTAATAAATCCTTCAGGCAACAAATTCCCATGAAAATAAATTAATTTGAAAATTTAATCAACATTAAGTTACTTTTCTTTTTAACTCGAAAGAACAAATGTGTTCTTAAATGTATTTACACATATACAATATAGTACACAATCAAAATGTATCTCTTATTTTATACAGTAATACAGTTAGTTTTTGGGCCACTGGTTTTGATTGTGTCAAATCCAAACATTAAACGTCACAATCAATGGTGACGTAAGGTTCATATCAAAGTAGTTTATCACATCGAGTTTTACAAATTACAAAAGTTTTACAATCGAGTTGTCATGAAAACTAGAGGAAAACAACTATTCTGTTCAAAAAATGCCTAGCTGCAAACTGTCAGTAAAATACTTAAAGCATTTAGATTTTAAATTAAATAATTCAGTTAATTATAGGCACATGTAGTAAAATTCAAAAAGTTAATAGTTGTTGCAATAATTTGCATTTCTAAAACCATAAAATATGTTATGATGTGTAAATATCTACAAATTAGTTTTTGTAATATAAGGCCTGCTCTGTAGGTTGGAAGACAAACGTTTGTGTTTTAACTTCAAATATTCACATAAACAAAGAGCTATATTACATCTATTCTAGATTACACAGACATGCTAACTAAATTATGGTTATGACTAACAATATTTTTATTTTTACAAATTAACAAAAAATTGACATAAGGGAGAACCTAAGTATAGCTAAGTTGGGGACGAGGAACAGAAATAACCTCATAAACAAAGTAAACATCATAATTAAAATATTTTGGAATTAGTTAAGGCACTGAGATTTAAACAGCAAGGTATATGTATATATATATCATAAATAAAGCAATGAATGGAGTAACTTTTAATATTTATTAAACTGTAAAGTCTATATTTGGTCAAATATTGTTACACACTTTGAAAACAAACTCTTTTAAAACATAGTAATTGTTAAAGCAGTATTAATTTTAATCATGCTATTCTAAAACGGATATGATAAACTGTGTAAAATTACACACACTGTAAATCCTCATAAAATTAGTGTTACTAGGTAAGTAGTAACTTTCTTCATTATTTACAAGCATCTTAAAATATTAAAACTCTTCAAAGATAAAATAAAAATATCAATAACAAATACCTTTTACAATAAAACACAATTTACAACATTTACAAGTTTACCTAAACAACACAATTCCATCATTCTATTCACCATTCATTAATCAAAAAAGTGTTGTCATAACTGGAATAACATTTATTGAACCTAGACAGACTAATAAACAACTTTAAAATTTTATTTTAATTGTTTAACGTCTTGATTGAAAAGTACAAAGACATCCTATGAAACAACCCCTACAAATCCAATAAACCTGTGCCCAAGCTGTACTTGTACAACATATTATACAGAAATGTAATTCCAGTCACAACATAAGCATTATAAAAACCATTTCAGATTAACCATTTCTCAACATCCAATAATAACATTATCAACAACTATTGAAGGCTTTTCAATACTACTAAATCAAACCCTACACATTTACTTATGTTTTTAAGCTCTTAATGAACTGGATAGTTCAGGTAATGATATTAAAATTATTATTTAAATGTAAATATTGAAAAGAATAATATTTGTCAAGAACATTATTCCTCTGTCACTCTTATACCCATCCACCTGTAAGTTTATGGAAAAGCTCTTGGTTTAGAGACTGATTGGCCTCTTTGGATCGCATGGACAAGAAAATGTATCCTCCGATGAATTCATGGATTACTTTGCAGTCTGCTGAATGACAAGCAAATATGATGTTTCCCTCTTCAAACTGCACCATCATGTGCTTTACTTCCCAGTTAACATTCCATGCCTGAAACATTAACATTAGGTGAGCAAAATAACACGTACCTATACACTATTATTTTAACAATTATATTTTTAATCTTCTTTGTATCTAATGATAATACATTTTAAGTGAGCACACTAACATTTTGTGTGAAGATAAAAAGGCATGGGTAGTATACAATATTAAAATACCATGATAGCCAACAAATGGAGTTTAGGGTAAACGAACAGTAAATTAAATTTGCATTCCAATAATCTAAGCTGATTTTGTAGGATCGCTGAGGTGACATGATGACTTTACCGATATTGACAAAGTTTTACATCTTTCTTTGTAATTGCATAGGGTTACAAAGAAACTGGGTTTGGAACTGAACTACCTATCAGCAACAACAACACATAAAATGATGTTCATGTTGCCATAAATGTTACCAACCTTCATTGTGTTGTAAGTCCAGGTTTTGATGTGATCGCCTGTGCTCAGGTCCATCCTCATGAGTCTGTTGAATGCAACTCCCAACAACTCCTCCTTCTTGTGTCCCATGAACTTGATGACAAACAGAGAGATGCCAAAGTCTGGCAGAGACTGCCAAGCCTTGATATAGTTCATCTTGGCCTCCACTAGTGACAAGTCCTTCACATTGGCATGGGCTTCCAAAATCCTCTGTACAAGCTGGAGAAAGACAACATTTATAGTAAAAAATAGCTAAAGATATTAATGAGGTACTTTTCTATTTGAGGAAATTCCAGGTGTATTTTATGTGCATAGGAAAATTCCATAGTTTTTTTTTACATAAGAACCAGTTTTTTTTAACAAATGTATATCATTTCCATCCAAACAAAACTTAAGGCTGATGTCTCCCACACTAATTCCACCAAGGACTTGTTAAAATTAAAACTTACCCCTGGTTTCCCCTAACAATGAATGAATCTACAGTTTCTCACCTTTTTGCTGTTTATATAAATTCAAATTTATTTTAAAAATTGAAATCTTACTACACATTGTAGTCTGCTGTAGAACAAAGAACAATATGACATTAAATTTTGCAAGTTTGTTTAAACCTAATTATGATAATTATTGTTGTATAGGTGGTTTCTTATAATATTAATAGAAAATTTTATGGCTGTTAATGTTATTAAATATAGCCCTTGATTTTCCAAATTGAATTTCTTCCAAAATTTCTCAACTTGTTGAGGAATTGTTCCTCTTGCTCCGATGAGTAGTCCATATACTTCAAATTTAGATATTTGATATTTTTCCGAATAATAGGGGACAGTTTTCTTATAAATATTTACTTTTTCTTCATGAACTTCCTGTGGCTGATTTTCATTTGTCTCAAGACGAACTGTTGGGTCTATAATGAGACCAAAATCTTTCCTTTTGTCTATAACAATGATGTCACTCCGCCTCACAGAGCCCTCTTCTTCTATAGCTGTGACCTCTTCATAGACCTCGTAACTTTTCATTCTGAATTGATCAGCTATGATTTTTCTGATCGTATGGTGGTGGGTATTCCGTAGAAGACTACTAAATGGGCACTTTCCAAGGACGTGGGTAAGAGTTTCAAGAATAAATTTCTCAGATACAGGACAATACCTGCACTGGTTCCCGTCCCTGGATCTCCCATGAAGACTTCTAAGAGGAATAACGTCTCCGACCATTTTCAAGTATTGTTTGAACTGAGCTTCTGTGAGGCCACAACCTCTAACCAAATTGTTATTGATCTTATTACATTCTTTGAAAAGAACCACCCCATTCCCTTTGTATGGAAGTTTACACCAATTTTGATACTCTAAGTCTCGTAAGATTTCTTGCAGTATCTTGGGTTTTGATTCGATAAATTCATTACTTTAATTCAACTTTTCCAGGTAAAACCTAATTTTTTCATCAAATTGACGAATATTGAGTAAGTAGGGGTTTCCCGTTTGTTTTAATACGCGACATATGTTTATATGTTGGATTGATGATTCCCACATTGATTTACATAACCCAATCCCTTTGTTTTTAGTACTTGTATAAAACATAGAATTTGGCATATCATTTGGAAGATCTAAGATTTCCTTTGTTGTTGATCTTATCACTTTATCAACATCGTCAAAGAATTTCATTGTAATTTTCTTAATTGGTGCGGCTTGAAAAGGATATATTAAAGATGGCCAAATATTATGATTCAATACATACATTTTTTGTTCAGACCTTAAAAAAGGAGAACAAGTTAATTTTTCAATATACATTATTTGAAAGAGTAATAAATCTAAACTAAATAATTTATTTCAGTGTTTCATCACAACCCCTAAAAAGAACTTTTGATATACTTTGAATAATTAAACTGACAAAATGAATAGTAATCTGCTATAAGAAGTTTAAAATGGCAATAATTATATATCAACAAACCTAAATACAAAAGCCAAACGTTTGTAGGTATTTGAATATACAGTAGTTTCAAAAACGGATTAATTTAAACAATAACATATTCAATAAAAGTTTACTCATTTATTATTAAATACATTAAAACCTAGAAACACACCTTGCCCTTTAGTTTCTTGGCATATCTCGGGCTGACGTAGTCCTCAGGCGTGATGTCCAGTGATGCGGGGTTGATGGCTGGTGTAGGAGCTGGATGTTGCATCTGTAGGAAGGCTTGAATGGACGCTACCTCTGCTTCATAGGAAGCATCAGCTAGAGACCTTCCCTTGGCAGCTAGTCTACATGCTGCCATCCACTTGGCATACTGGCTCTCCTGCACAACAACCACTCAGTTTGATTTTTTTATGTTTGATTTTTGTTAATATTATTTTTAACAAACAGGCTATACTATTGAACTTCTTATATTTATTTTGAAAAAAATAATTACTGTACAAATCTAATTATTGTCCTTGCTAACCCAACAACTACTACTCCATTACTTCGCCTATAGTTTCATTGCCTCCTTACAAAGTGCAAGGACAAGTAATAGGTAGGTAATTTTCATCGTCCGATGGTAAATTTTTACTGTTATATTTCAAAGGTGAATGATTTATTTTTCTATTAAAAAATATCGGAGAGAAGAGCTGGCCAAACAGCTAGTCTTTTATAAAACTGAAAACAAAATTTCACCTTTAACTTATTGCTAAGAATACAATTTGTGTAATTTTTGTGTCAGTGTGTGTTTGAAATCAAATCATGTCTGTTGTCTTATATTAGCATTTTTTTACAGAAAGCTTTTTGGAATTTACATAAGCTCACAATATGACATAAAAAAATAGTTTTGATTTTGATTCAAACATCAAACAAACAAAATATTAATTTGCCACAACAAGCAATGCCTCCAACTGTAGTGGCTTATCAGTACTCCAATGAGATTTTATCAGGTGTACAGTGTACACTACCACCGAGTATTTGAAAATGTTTTAAAACCATGTAACATAAACACGAACTTTAAAACTTCATTTATTAGCGAATTTCCCTATAGGGAAGTAGCTATTACCGTAGGTCTCATGGTAAGACCTAAGCCCGGGACCGATTTACTTTTTCATTTTGATGTCACCAGAGGCCAAAAACACCATTCGTTCAAATTTTTATATATCTGTGTCCATCCGATAACTTGAGTAATTTTTGTCCGATTTTGATAAAATTTGGTTTGAAGGTGTAAGGCGGGATAAACTTGAATGAGTTCGCGAACCAGCATGATCAGACTATGAGAATGGATGTTTATAAAGGGGGTTTATGGGGTAAAAATAGGTTTTTCCTATTTTTGACCCTAAAAACACAAAATTTCACAATTTATTTTTATACCATTTTGTAGAGCTTAAAAAAACAAATAATTTAGTATATTGAAGCGTTATTATGCGCCTAATTGCTACGGATAAAATTTAAAAAAATTGTAATTTTAAAATTCTTATGTTATTCTTATGGAGAATAAGTCAACTGTTCTAGTTTGCTTGTTTATGAACACATTTTGATCAAATTTGGAAAATACATGAATTTCTTACTAAACCACAGTACCTTTTAACATTTTACATTAAAAAAAACTTTTTTACCCTCCCTGTTGCAGCAAACCTAAGTACTCATTAAACTAATTCTGTTTAAATAGGGAATAAATGTGATATTTTTAAGGAGAAATTTTAGTTTAAATCCAATCAGGCAAATGGAAATTTGCTAAGTCTGCAGGTTTGCTGCGGCGGGGGTATTATTTATCAAGATAAGTTAGCTAAGAAATAGTCCTAGCAATACATTTTATCCTAGATAAAAAAAAATAAAAAATAAAAATGTTAACATCATTGTGAGTTTTGGTTCCACAACAACTAGATCAAAATAGGACTTTGTACTTACTGAGTCACATCGTATCCACATCTCACTCATGCCCTCAGGACTGGGGACCTCAAGCTTGATAGCGTACTTGCCCTGTGAGAGGTTGACCTCTGGAGTGACTTCACAGCCTCGTAGGTTGACCTCCATGACAGGAGGAACCCCAGCACCACTCTCCTCCCGAGACTTGTACAGTCGCAACCGCATGTCACGACAGGTGAACCAGTACCGTTTGAATGCCTTCAGAGTGAATCTCTTGGGTCTGAATGAAATTAAGAATTCTGTTATTAGACTTGAATTTAGGTAGAGTGATGGAAAACTCTAAACAAGCTCAAAGGCCATGGGTCTATCTACCAATAAAAAAATATAAACAAACAATGTATCATCGTAACTAAGTATACTACTCATTCATGCATATCAAATGTGCTGTTGTGTATGATTACTAAACAATTTGTGTTTATCCAGGCATTACAGCAAATTAAAGGTCCTTATAATAAATATGTCATGAGGTTAGATGGTTGGGGGAAAAATCGGATGTGTTGTCTGTGCAACAAGAAGACAACAAACTAAGGTATGAATCTTGCCTTGGTTGTTTGCTCCTTACATGCGACTCATAAAGAATTCAGCTGTTGGAGGCAGAGGTTCTTTGAATAAATAGTATATGGCCAAAGTGGGTGGGACAGGAGAATTGTTTTAAAGTGGTTCAGTTGATTAGGTACCTATTAATTGGGCTACCACTTCTTTATCCCTTATCATCACTATGAAAAGCATATCTAAGCCAGGATTTATTTACTTTACATTTGAAAGGTATATTATACAAACCAAACTATTTATTCTTAAAATTTTAAAATTAAAAATTTCTTACGAAATACAGTACTTACTTCAGGAAACGCAGATAATCGTAGAGTTCAGGGACTTGCGTAATGTCATTGACGTTGGAAATGTGAGATCCTTCAAGAGATACCTGAAGATCTGTCAATGCAGCATCAATCTCATCATCAGCCGCAGATATAAGTGAACTACTGTCCATGTTAGGCTGAGGGACTCCTGACTGTAGGTTCACTTGCACCTGTACACAAACATATATGGTCAATTGGTCATTCACTTCATCCCCTCAGTTAATCTCATCATAGTAGCAAAAAACAATGTAAGGAAATCGACGTTCCCACCCATTATGAATGAGTATGAATCACATTGTACGTGAATAGATGATTGTGATCAAAGGTAAATCGCTATTGAAGTCCATTGACAGTTTACAAATGTGTTGCAGAAAAATGTTACAATGAAATTCTTTACAATTATAAAAAGTTAACAAAATATGTTTTAGGCTTGGGATGAGTAAAAAAGAGAAGTGGTCCTACACCCAAGTCTCTCCACAAAGAGTACGGTTACCACAGTGGTTACTTTCATGTAGATGATATTTAATTACTATTCATGAAAACAATGACATTCTGATTATTATTTGAAATTTATTTTACTGCAACTTGTACAAGCCAGATTGTTTGTCTTATTACATAAGACTTCATGGTGTCCAAAAACAACAAGAGGGTCCTCTCAAAAATTGAATGTTCAATGCTTTGTTATATAAGAACATTTTCTTTCTTATAATTTAAATGTGATCTGTAGCTAAACCAGAGATTGTTAGCAGCCCTTAGTAAAAGTGAAAATATTTGTATTGCAAAATATAGCATGAACGAAGGCTAATATTATATAAATTCCGTTGTATTACCTGGAGTGCCGCAAACATTAGAGCTTCCTCTTCTGTGCAGTCTAACTCATCGTTGAGTAGCATCCACTTGGCTTGTTCGTAGATCTGGTTGATTCTTACAGCATCCGTTTTGGGATTCAAGTCATAAAATGAATAAAACTTGAACCGTAGTCTCAGAGTGTCAAATTCTCTCACACCTTGTTCCATAATTGATAATGATGAATCTAACCACCTGGAAAATATATAGTAATACCTCATTTAGTAATTCATTTTAAAGTATATAGTAGATACAGCATGATTTTTCCTAAACACAACAAAGTTACAAGTGAAATAATAAAATAATGAGTTTAATCCTTCAAAATAAATAAATACAAAATAGGCTAATACATTTTCATGGAACTAAGTAAACTGGGAACAATCCCATGTCATTAAAAAGCGTCTCCAGGTTCTTTAATTTAGGTTAAAATAATTAGAAAAAGCACCCTGAAGTTTCTATCCTGTCATTCAAAAGTAAAGGTAAGTACCTCAAGAATGTAACATAAATTACAGTACATCTTCTTAACTCAAGACACAAGAGTTTTTAGATTGAGAAAGTCCAAGAGACAGTGATTGTGCTGTAAAACCAAGAATGTTGGATGGTTCAGGCCTGACATTATTTTAACGCACAAAACTAAATCCCAATATGTTTGCTATCCCACAGTATAATTCAAGTCGAGGTATAAGATAGATTATACTCAGGCTATCCAGAAAGTAAAGAACGTTTCGTTATGACGCCGCTAGGCGCGCGCCGATCTCGTACATTTTGGTGCGTGCGTACTCGGCAACTCAGTCGGCATCCAGCCGTGACAATTGGAGCATTCTCGCACTGCCCGTTTTTTCACAATTTCAACTTAAGATAAGTGCAGCGATTAAAAATACCACCAGTTAAGAGGTGCTGTCAGTGATACGGTTTGTGTTGGCAGTAAACTTAAAATCGATAGACATTTATCGCCAAGTGTATGAAGTTTAAGGAAAAGAACTTAATGATTGAAAGTTCTGAGAAAATGGTGCATTCAGATTAAAAATGGCCGATCTGACGCTCATGAGTCATGTCGAAGCGAAGGGCGGACGCCCGAGCATTGTGACTGATGGAACTGGTCGATAAAGTTGATGAAAAGGTTCGCAAAAGCCGCCGATAACGGGTCTTTTGCTTTGTTGTGTGACAATTTCAAACCACAAAGTCCGTGAAACTTGAGGAGAAGTTTCCGTTTTAAGTGTTTCCCAACAAAAACCGTATCACTGACCGCACCCCTTAACTGGCAGGATTTTTTATCGCAGCCCTCATCTTAAGTTGAAATTGTAAAAAACGGGCAGCGCGAGAATGCTCCAATTGTCACGGCTGTATGCCGACTGAGTTGCCGAGTACGCACGCACCAAAATGTACGAGATCGGCGCGCGCCTAGCGGCGTGATAACGAAACGTTCTTTACTTTCTGGATAGCCCTCGTATTACAGACAGAAACTTAAACTTCACCTAAAAATTGTAGAGATAATTCATTTAAAAAATGACTTTCTTTATGCTCTGGAAAACATGGTTCTGTTAAGAAACTATTATTGGTAGATAACTTTCAGATAATAAAAAAAATAAAAAAAGTATCTTGAATATTCCTAGCAATTTTGTATATTAATGTTAAAATTATCAAGATCATGAAAGACAGTCAAACGACAGACAAAGATGTCAGTAATGACATGGTAAAACCACATGTGAATGTGTTGTTAAGAAAACAGTATACCATCAAACCTAAGGTGGCATATTTGTTACAATCACTTACGATGATAATAATGTCACTACCTAATGTGAAAGTTTGTAGAATTAATAAAACCAAATTTCCCTTCCAACAATTTAAACTTTAGAGCTGTCTTATTGGCATGTCACAAGGCAAGGGTATTGAATTGCTTACCAGTACATGAGATCACAAGTCTTTCATCTCACCTAATTGTTCAGTTTTATCAAAACATTATGAGTTTATGATTTTTTAAAGTCAAGTTCAACTATACCGTAGTCCAGGGCACAAAGGTTTTGATTTATTGAAGATGCATACCCAACGTTCATCCTGGCCTTCTCCACCAGACTCTTTGGTCGCAGTAGGGATGCGCGAGACTGCGGGCTAGGTGTCGGACTGTTGGCCAGGGATGAGTCTAGGCTACCGTTGAGCATCTCTATAGATGTCACGGTGCCGTTGAGAGCCGGGGAGTAACTGCCATTAAACTCTGTGTTGTTGTTCCTCTTCCATGTCCCACCAGACTAAACAAAGTGTTTTATTACAAACAGTTTTTGGTTTTACAAACTTATGGTTTTTGTAAGTGATGCTGATATATTGGAAGAACAAGTTCTTGGAATGAAAGAGGGTTTTCTTAAACTATGAGGTATGTTTTGCAGATTTAAGAACATACAATTTTAATAATAATTTTAATAATAATTTCAAAAAGGTGCTGTGACATTGTATCAAAGGAAAACTAAAACTTTATTGTTCCCTAATATTTTGTTTCTATCAAATGCCGGTACTAGAAATTATACAAAAACCTTATGTCATGGCCAAAACTTGGGATTTCATCCATTGATTAAGAAAACATAATTTGAATGTATTGTACGTACAGTAGCCATGGGAGAGCTGATGGGGGTGGAGGTGTGATGGCGGGGGGTGACGGGGGCACACATGAATGTCCCACTCTTGTCCAAGGACCCGGTGGAGCCTGCAGGGCTCTGGTTAGCGATGAATGTGTTTGTGTCAGCAGGAAGTTTCCCATTTATCTCCTTCTTCTTGTGAGGCATGTCCTTCAGGTTGTACTTGAGATGGTTGGGCTCCAAAGGCTTGCAAAATGACATTTCTTCTGGATGACGAATGCCTGGAAAAACAAACATTTATTAATATGGAACAACCATGAGTACAAAATTTTTAAATGAATAAGCTACAGGATTAGATCATGTAAAGAGTGTTAAGTGATCATTTGCAATAGTTTTTAGAAAACATTGAATTTGTATTATGGACTTGTGAATAAAGCAAAGGAATGGGAATTTAGTTTTGACGTTCATACCTAGCAATATAAGTTAGCTTTATTTCCTTGCACTAAGACTCAACTTTAAAAAGAATTATATTAACTACAGATGAATAATTACGGGTCATACAACAGTGCCAACCACAATCCTTGTAGCTTTGACTATAAAGTAAGACTAAAGTTTCAACAAGACATTCCATCCCCACGTTAAAATTGTTGCCAGTTTTATAATCAAAATCATTGTACTGTAGTTGATGTGAGCCACTGGCTGTGCTGATCTAAAATACTAATTTTTGTTGAATACACACACTTTTTTACGAATTTAAAATAAGGTAGAAAATATAATTTTAGGCACTAGCACATTCGGTGACTGGTTCACACCACTGTCCAGCTGTCGCCAATTTTTGTTTAAAAAGAACATTTTAAACAAAAATTGGCGACAGCTGGTTCATATAGATGGGATGCCTACGTCAGTATCCAATAGTCAATACTCAAAGTGCAAAATATATTGCCATAACAAATTAAATGAGAGCCAAAATTAAATTGTTATTAGAGTGTCAAATACTCACTCACTTGAGGAATCAGGATCATACAAATAGATAAAAATCACAACATTTAAAATAATTATATCTAAATTTGTAGCAACAACAAAGTATCTGTTGTTGGTTCTATAAGTTATGTAGCTGCTACATTTTAATAGGTACTTTAAATATTAAAACACGGTGTTCTAAAGCGTAGAATATAGAATTAATTTGTTACTCGTTTATATATTGATATATATTTTTTAAGAGGATGGTCAAACTTTGCAGTTAACCATCCACCTGGGTCACAAGGGTGTGTGTGTGTGTGTGTGTGGAATGAATCAAGTGAAGCAAGGAGTGAACAGACAAATGTATGTATTGGGCTGATAAAATTCAAATGCCCGCACCGAAACGCAAACCAAAGATATTACTTGTTGGTTTCACACATGTTTTACTGAGCCAGTGAGAACAGTGATGATGCCATGACTGGACTTACCAAGTTCTTTACACAGGTTGATGACAGAGTTGAATGTCTTGATGGAGAAGTCGACTCTGCAGTCGAGGTAGCGCAGGTCAGGCAGTTGCACCCGCAATGTCTTGTGCATCGGGGTGAAGTGTAGTAATGCATCAGCCTGTACACCGTACTGGTCCAAGGTGGATCTGGTCCTGGTCAGCCAAGTGTTGCGACCGGGCCACCACAGCGCATGGTCCGACCAGTCCATGGCGATGTCTGCAACATATACATCATGTGTTAAATCACTTATTACTTTCAAGACACATTTTTAAACTGAATATGAATACAGTTTGTGTGTAGAATGGAGTAAGATGAACTGTGGAGCTTTGATGCTGATAATGATCAGTGGTGGTTCCAAGGGGAGGAGCCTCCCAAATGTAAACATAGCAGAGGTTTTTGGACACAGTTTAAGACCTTAGAAATGGCTTTTAAAGCCACTAAACGGCTTGAGAAATACCTTATTTTCCGGGGGAAGAGCCCTGAACCCCTCATGGTTCACCCGCATGTGACACCCGGTAGCCCCCCCCCCCCCCCCCCAATCTCGACAAGGTCCTAGAACTGCCACTGCCATGATCAGTTGTTTCTTCTACAATCAGTACAGCATAGTCCATCAGATCCAAACCACAAAAGCTACTGTCTTTGATGAAACCAGCTGTCTTTGTGACCAGGCGAGCACTGTAACCACTCAGCTACTTAGCTTCTATAGGAAATGCACAGAACATCTAGTGCAAACATAACTGAAATCAATGTTGACAGAACAAATAACTTCACTCAAGAGTAAATATCAATCATCTCAAACATATGATTTGTGTATTATGAAGTTAAATACTATTTACGAGTTCATAGTTATAAAGCTCATAGTCGTAGTTATAAGGCTGCACTGCCTATATTTGAATGGATGTCATCTATGATGGGTATATCAATTGAGGTTTAAAATAAGCATAAGGCGTTTATTTTCATTAATTCACAAAATAACTTATACAAATACTAATTTTAAATTGTTAATGTCATAGGTATATTTCAAATATTTTTTCTTTAATTAAAACGATTGATTATTTATGAGGAAACAATAACACCAAAATCTGTTAAAATTAAAACTATACTAAGGAATAACTTTACTACAGTATGTAAAGATGTCTGATTGAGAAAGACGTTTTGAGAAGATTTTAATCTTCTATCTATAGTGAAAAAATTATGGAACATTAAAGCAACTTACAAGTTTAACCTGACTCCACTTATAGTCCAGGCAACACAGACATTTTAGAGGAAAAAATTCATGTACATATAAGGCAAATTTGGTGCAGTTGTAGGGGAAGGGTCCCTAAACAACATAGGCTACTAAAAGTACCCACCGGTGGTGGTGGAGCTAAGGGAGCTCTAAAGGTCCCTTTTTCAGGTTTATCGTAAATTACTCGAAAACTATCAACTTTTTGTATACAATATTAGTAAATTAAAGAAGATTAAATTTGGTACGAGAAAAGTTTATGATGTAGGCCTAGGTAACTATTTTGGTTCAACCATTTACAAGATATAATAAATTAATAAATATTTTATTCAAATTAATACAATTATATTAAGTTTGTATGAAAAATAAATGCTTAAACTGGCATAGCCTATCCAGCCAAGGTCAATATAACCGATGTTCTTGAAATCTTGACAACATTTCCAGCAATTGACACTTTCATAAAAATTGGTCCAAAATTAAGGCGTTGGCGAGCTCACAAAAACTGTATTATTTGTAATATTTTCTTAAATTATATCTTTTTTGGGTGGTCACCCTCGCCTTAGTTTTGGACCAATTATTATGATTTAAGTGTCAAATTGCTGGTTTTGTCAAGATTTCATGAATATCGGTTATATTGACCTTGGGTCAAAATAAAGGTAGGCCTAATTTTTTTGTCTTCCTTGCCTGCACTATTAAAGCTAATTTCAATGTTAGTTAAAAACGAAAACAATCATTAAGGAGTTGGAAGAGAGCATCTTTGGCAAACATTCAAGGTCTGAGAGGGATTTTGCCAAAACTGTTTGCGACAAGAAATGAGGCCAAGAGCTGTTCAGCTCACTACTCCATTCATTCACTGACAGATTTACTTCTCCAATACAACTGTAGTCACACTGTCAAGAATTGTATATCAAAACATCGTGCTTCAATGTTGATACATTAATCCAGATAAACCTAGAAGAAAATTTTATTTTATTCATTTACTACTTTGTAATTTCTTACATAACATTTTAAATTAAATTCTTAAACAATACTAGTAATTATGTGTTTAGTATTTTTGTTAATTTTGTCCATGCATAAATTATTGTGCTGAACCACAGAAAACGTACTGTGGCTGAACAGTCATATAACAACAGAAAATGTATTATAAGTCACTGTAATAAAAATAAAGAAATATCCAATTTAGACGTAATAAAATATGATGTGCCATATAATTAGTGTTATCATAAAAAACCACCCTGTTCATAGGGAAACTCACTACAACATTTCTTAACTCAAATATTAATAATCTTTTCTGTTGAAAGTCCAATATCTGTCCTAACCCCCTTTTAAGTGGCATTTATATCTCAAGAATGCAATTAAAGTAAAAGCTTATAATATGTAATAAAAGGTGTTTTCAGATTTTATATTGTAGGCCTATGGATAGAATAGAAGAATTATTGGTGGATGGGGGTACAGTAAGTAGGGTCAATGTGTTTGAGCTGGGATCGATGTGATGAAGATCAATTCACTCCTTCCGACACAACCCACACCCTTCACCCTTCCCTAGGACAAGGACAATAATTCATCTAGGTCAATTTCACTTACTTTACTACACAATATACACCCTTCCTAGGACAAGGACATTCCCCTAGGACATTTACTACACAACCCTCATCTTCCTGCGACAAGGACAATTCCTCTAGGTCACTTACGACACAACCCAAACCCTTCCTAGGACAAGGACACTTCCTCTAGGACAATTACTACACAACCCACACCCTTCCTAGGACAAGTACACTTCCTCTAGGACAATTACTACACAACCCACACCCTTCCTAGGACAGGGGCAATTCTTCTAGGTCAGATACTTTACTGCACAATCTACACCCATCCTAGGACAAGGACACTTCCTCTAGGACAATTACTACACAACCCACACCCTTCTTAGGACAATGACAATTCTTCTAGGTCAGTTACTTTACTGCACAATCTACTCCCTTCCAAGAAAAGGATACTACTTTAGATCACTTACTTTTCATCTCACAAGTTACAAGCTACACTCGGCACTACCCCTCCCCTAACACTGTCACGGTACACAGGTAGTGGTGACAACTAGATCGATCTTACAATGATTAAGTTACCCGTAAATTTTCACTCTGAGGACACTTGGCTTCATTACATTGTCTGTGTCTGCAGGAAGTGCCCAAGTAAGCGATACCCGATAATAACAAGTGAAAACTAAAATATTTAGCAAAGAAAAGAACTGTGCGTGTGCAAGTAGTAGCACGGTAGTAACTTTTGAAGAAAAAAATACACTGCTTATTACACACAGAAGATCAAGTTATTGAGGAACCTGTGGCCAATGAATATGTTTTTACTATATTGTACATTCCTAAGAGCGCCATTTAACAAACAACCCCAAATTACCAGCCACGCTCCATCCAAAAGTGAAGAAGTTATAAATCTGACAGAGGCGGTATTATTGATGAGGCAATTTCTCCAAAACCTCCGGCGATAAAATCAACTGATGAACTATAACCAGCTGACGAGCTGGCAGGCGATTCCACTACGTGAATAAATTATGGAAGATAATAGAATCGAACCCGTCGCCTCCAGAGTGCGTGACGTCACTGCGCGGCGTTGGGTGTCACTCCAAACTTGGCAACATCGGCCTACAACTGAGCCTACGCTATCGTCAAACAGTCTACAGTTTAGTCTATAACATCGAGGTTACATACATCGTTGGTCTATCAATGAACCACCAACACCCCCCACACCATACGTCCAGCACACGTATCCATCTACAATGGTAATGGAGATTTTTTTTTTAATAATTCAATTTAATATAGATAATTACAAGACAAATAAATCTAAATTTACAGATATTACTAAAAATGTTGATTCTTTCAATAAATATGTTGGATGCCTGCTCCATCTTCGAATTCTCGAGCAGATCTCCATTTTTTTCGAGATCTTCTCAGGCACATACTTGTTGCCCTTAAAATTGAGCAAGTCAGTCTCGTTCTGATCCAATTAACTATACCAGGCTGTAAGGCTTAACCCATTTTTCTGACAATCTCTTATCCCTCTATGTTATATTCTTATCTCATGAAGATTCATTCTGTTCTATTGTCGGTTACAGAGTTGGCAAAAATATATACGATTCAAACATCTTTTGCTGTTAAGCAAGGTAGACCAACATGATACTGCACTAGAAGAGGTAAAAATATCAATTTGTGGTGTACTTAAATGACACATAAATTGCTTATTTCAATTAAATAGTAAACAGAGCATACGAGCGATAAAAAAAATAGTTACCACTCAGTAATCATTGATATTGATCGTTATACTGCTGACTGCAGGGTCTTCGAAATGTACACAATTTATTGGTATCTGTCGGCGTCGGCAGCTGATGTAAACGTTTTTGTGGCTCGTGTACATGATGACAGCTGCTCTGCTGGTTACCTGCAACTTATCATACCACAGCGCGGGCGTACAGCAAGGTCACAGCTGATAACGTAACATCTGTGAAATCTGCTTGCGTTTCGCCTACTCAACATGATAACACCACAGTGTTCAGTGTTCGCCTACGTATGATGGATTTGTGTTGATGGTTGTAACTCATAGTGATGGAGGATAACTAGAATTGATACGACGCGTATCTCATGTTAACAAGTACATATATTATATCATGTCGTATGTATATATTTTCAATTGTAAAATGGCATCCAACAGCTGCTCCTGGCTACTATAAAGCATCCCATGTTATTTCTTGGTGAAGAATATTGATCAAGCATTCAACATACATTTACAGTCTGAATATCTGTTAAACTGCATAAAGAAAACAACACATTTTAGGACACAACACTTCTCAAGGATTTTTTTAAGAGGTTGGCGGCCTCTTTTAACCCAGCATTTATTTGCCCGTCCACACAGCAAAGCGAGCCGGTACAGTACGAAGGTGAACTGTACTGATAAAACAATTATTTAATTACAATACTTACACTAACGA